GATAAGATCTCATCTTTGTCAGTTGAGTCTTTTGTGCCACTTGAGGACCTCTGACTTATTATTAGCTTTCCTGTCCAAATTTAACTAATCCACTTTGATGCGATTTTCCTGATTATGTTTGACACCACTGGCTTCCCTGAAAGCATCATAAAGCTGTGGTTTAAATGCATTCACTGCTATAGCTGCACTCTGAAAATAAATGTACCAGGGATGTAGACCAGAAATGTTCTATTTTAGGCAAGCTTTGTAGTTTCAAAGTTTTTTTATGTTTGTTTTTCAAGTGATTATTCTAAAATACCGATAAGCTAAATGTACACTGCTAACACTGTTAAACACTGCTAAGCTAAATATATACTACTATTCTCTGTTCCCCAATCCTGTTTACAACATTCCAATACTAGTATTTTTTTTCTCCATCAAAGTTTGAATTTCCTTTAATGTAATGTCCTGGCCTCATAAAATACACCAGATTTAATTTTTTCACATTAAAAATAGAATTCAAACACTTATTCAGACTATAATTAATGAAAAAATGTCCTAATTCAAAATATGTTTTATAGGAAAATTTTTCTCATTCAATTTTACCAGAAAAACTACACTTTGAAATGTACAGTAAAAGTTCAAAGAGCATTTTCAAATGTTTAGCTTGATACTTTAGGGGCATGGTAATTCCCTACAGAAAGAATTAAATCTTCATCTTTAAGCAAGAATTTGGATCGACGAAATGTATCTTCATATTGATTAGATTTTATCTATGTTCAACTTCCTCCAGCCTATTACTTATTTTGAATAACCTTAAACCAGAGCAACCATTTTCTTTAAATATTAGCTGTCACAAAGCAAATACTAAAAATAAAATAACATTCAAGATCTGCAGCGAAACTGGACTAATTTAAAATAGTTATAAATTAAGGTGATTTAAACTAGTAGGATGACAATATTTTAATCCAGTGTTTTTCAAGCTTGTGATCCTTAGGATATGTGGACTTTAACTCCCAATATTCCCCAGTCATACTGGGGAATTGAAGTCCACCATAAACTTCACAAGGTTGAGAAACACTGCCTTAATTAAATGTATCACTTCATATATTTCTTAAATTGAAAAATTTCTGGAAGTAAATGGGTGCCCTCGAGCAGCTTATTGGCCATCTTGAGTTATATAGCATGATTCCTTCTTCCTTCCTTCCTTCCTTCCTTCCTTCCTTCCTTCCTTCCTCCCTCCCTCCCTCCCTCCCTCCCTTCCAACCAAGACAGCTCACAGTGTAACATGTGCTGTTCTAGAGGCACACATAACTGCTCCTGCTGCTGTATTTTTCACCAGTCTGAAGCTTCTGGATATCTTCAAGAGCACATTATAGTAATACAGTTGGGAGGTGACTAGGGCATGAGTGTCTGTGAATGGAGCCCTCCAATATAGGAACTGCTGTAACTGGTGCACAACATGAAATCATACAAAAGCCCCCATAGGCGCATCTACTCTTCAGCAGGAGTTGTTAGTCCAAAAGGACTCCCAAGTTGCACATCAGGTCTATCTGGGGCACTGCAACCCCATCCAGCACCAAAGACTGCATAATCCTCAAACAGGGCCCAATATCTAAAGCCACTTAGTCTTGCCAGGATTCATCCGAAGCATGTTGTTTCCCATCCAAACCCCCATAGCCTCCAGATACTGGGATGGCAATATTATCACTTAATTCATGAGGATCAGAGATGTATTGCTGAGTATCATCACTGTACTGATGATCCTCATCCCATGGTGACAGATGAGCTCACCCAGTGGCCTATGTAGATATTGAATAGGAGGAGAGGGAGAGCACCGAGCTCTGGGGCACCCCATATACCAGTATTGGAGCTGAGGGTAGGATTTCTCTTTTCCATTCATCATTGGCCAGAATTGATCTGGAGAAAGGAGGCAAACCAGCAGAAGACCGTGTCACCCACCCTCAATCCTCTCATTCGATCCAGAAGGATACCATGGTTAGTGGTATTGAAAGCCGCAGAGATAAAAAAGGATCAGCATAGATAAGTGCCTCTTTATACATATATACATGCTACTGATGTCAGTAGATTACACGAAGAAAACAGAAGAAAAAGCAGTGCAGGATCTGCTCAGGGATCCAATATTCTCTTCTCTTGGATATGAAGAAAAAAAAAGCAGCATTTTTCTACATTTTATAACTTACAGAAGCAGGAAAAAAATGACCACATCTGAATACCATGCAGGGAAAAAAATCAAAATTAGATTCATGAAATTGTGTATCAATAAAGTCATGCTAAAGGGGTTTTACTTTTGTGTTCTTCCCCACTTCGGAGAGCAACAACGTATAGGTGGTTGTCAATTTAACAACAGTTCATTTAGTGATCAAAGTTACAACAGCACTGGAAAAGTGACTTATGACAGTTTTTTACACTTATGACTACCGGTATTGTAGCATCCCCATGGCCATGTGATTAAAGTTCAGACACTTGGCAACTGATTCATATTTATGATGGTTGCAGTGTCCTGTCATGTGAACACCGTTTCCGACCTTCTGACAAGCAAAGCCAATGAGGCCAGATTCACTTAATAATGTATTATTTACTTAACAACCACAGTGATTCACTTAACTGTGGCAAGGAAGGTTGTATAATGCGGCAAAACAACTGTCTCACTTAGCAACAGAAATGCTGAGCTCAGTTGAGGTTGTAAGTTGAGGACTATTTGTATAGGCGGACTTCAATTTTTTTAACCATTTGTTTAGCGACCATTCAAAGCAATTGTAATGAAAAGTGACTTATAACCAATTCTCATGCTTATTACCATTGCAGTATCCTCATGGCCATGTGATCAAAATCCAGGCACTTGGCAACCAGCATGTATTTAGATGAACACTGCTTCCCAGGGTCACGTGACTGTCATTTACAATCTTGTCAGCTTCCAACAAGCAAAGTCAGTGGGGGAAACTGCATTTATTTAACAACCGTATGATTCACTTAACAACTGCAGCCCAACAATCTGGTTGAGACTCACTTAACTGCCTTGCTTAGAAATGAAAAGTCTGGTCTCAACTGTGGTTGTAAATTACCTGCACAGAGAATGTTTTCCTTTCATTTACATGCTTGAGAACCCTGGATTAGGTAGGTCATCCCAAGTTCTAGTCCAGGTCTCTACTTGAGAACTGTTGCCTTGGCCTACAGAAAATACTTATCTAGGTAACAGTCTGATCAGGGTATGTTCTAGAGACCCAAAGGTCTTGCTGGACCTAGCACCCAAGATGCACACCGATTTCAATTCCATCTCCAGCCGTTTCTTCCCTGCATGCTCCATTGCTCTGGATTTGGACTTATTCCCCCAGTGGCCACGGCGGCGATTATCTTTGGCCACGGCATGGGAAAAGCCGACCCCCTCCAACTGCGCCCCCTCTCCAATTATTTGCCGCCTCGTAACGTCTCCACCCTGTCTTTCTTTCCCAGTAGGACGACGCGTGCCGCGGATCCTCGCGGAACATCCCGCCCCCGGGGTGTTTCAATCCGTCGGTCTCGCCAGTCGCAAGGAAGCTCCAGAGCAGCCTCGGCAGAAACGGGAAGCGAACCGATCCAACATTCGCCTCTCGCATCGGCGCGCTCCAGCCTGGCGGGACGAGGTTTCGCTTCGTCGTCACCTGACCTAACCTGGCGGTTTGCTGCCGGAGCTGCCCGGAAGGGAGAATTAGGCTGAGCATAAGGCGCAGAGAGGCGAGGGAAGGGGAGGAGAGAGAAAGCGAGAACCGCCCCTTGGCGTCTGGAACCTGCTGTGCAAGTCAAGGCGGGAGGCGGCGCTGCCTACTTCTTCGTCCCTGGGCAGCGAGAAAGATCCCGGCGCCGAGGAGGAAGGGAAGAGAACCCGAAAAGCAAATGTGGGCAACGGCATAATGGCAGCGCCTAGTCGAGGAGGCTGAAGGGAGACTCGAGGCTGCCGCCGCCACGCTGAGTTGGGCTGGGCTCGGGCGCTCTCACCTGGCGCAGCGCTGAGGGCAGGACGTCGGAGCCGTTGGTGCGGGCAGGGTAAGGTGGACAGGTAACCGGGAGGAGTCTGAGTTTACGGGAAGAGCAGTCATCCCGACTCCCTGCTGAAGGAAGTCCAGGCCGGGTCCTCTCCTCCAGCAGGAAACAGCTGAGCCTGCCTTCGGGTATTGCCCGAGGCCTCCGCCCGCTGAAGCAGCACCTGGTCGCTTTGCGGAACACAGCCCAGGCAGAGGCCTCCCTGCGGGGATGAGCAGCCGGGCCGGGATTGCGGATAGAGAGGGGAAGGGAAGGCGAAGGGGGGGCGCCCTAGCCTTGCTGCAGAATCGGACCGCGGAGAGCGGGTGGGGCTGGTGATGTGGGAGAGGCAGACGGCGGGGTGGGGTGGGGGAGAACTATCCCTGCCGCCGGATTTGGGGGGGGGGGGGCAGAAGGAAGCAGATGTGACTACAACAAAGAGTCTCGTGATGCCATAAGAGGCTCTGGCTGGGAGCAGGGGTGGATCTGAAAGCGGGGAAGGCAGGTGTGGCAGAGAGGAGACTGCGGGTGCAGCGGTTTGAGTCCTGGGCAGGTAAACGGACGTAATACAACACTTCTCCAGCTAGGATGCGGAGCTGTGGGTGTCACTGGGCGTGTCTGCGTGGAAAGAACAAGGAAGAGGCTTGCAAGCTGGAGGGAGGAGTAGTGGGATTAGTATTTCAGTGACTACAGGTAGGGCATTATTTTCAATGAAAGCAGGTGTAAGTCTCCTGCCAGGTTTACAGTATGGGATTAGTGGGACTTTGGATTCTCTCTTTGCTTTCTTCTTCTCTTGTTCTCCCTCACGTCTGTCACCAGCTCTGCCTCCACCCAGCATAATTTTTATGGTCCCAACATCCCCTCTGCCCCTGCTTTGAGCCAATGCTTGCCGCTGTCTCAGTCTTCTTTCTAAACCAGTGTTTCTCAACCTTGACAATTTTAAGGCATGTGGACTTCAATTCCCAGAATTCCACAGCCAGCAATTCTGGGAATTGAAGTCCACATGCCTTAAAATTGTCAAGGTTGAGAAACATTGTTCTAAACAAAGAGATTATGGTGCTCCAACTTAGGTTTTGGAACTGTGGAGTTAAAGGAGCTTCACCTTTTCCCTCTGTTCCTTATTTCCCATCCCCCTCCCACTGAACTGCCAAAGATTTTCTGAAAGAAAGGCTGGCAGTTTTGTGGTCACACCTTGACTTGGCTGTTGTGTGGCTTTTTTCCTCCACCCTTTTTCTCTAGGTGTGGATAGCTGCTGGCAGTGGCTTCATAATGGTGAAAGATCTGGGATGAATCTTGGCCTAACTAGCTGAATTGGCATTTGGTGGCTGCCAACCAGGCAATCGCCCTTGAGCATATTCTTCTACTTTTGTTTTAAGTGCCTTCCTGTCCTTCTGTTATTAAACTTTTCTAATATTTTGTTTCATTTTCTCCATTCCACAGTGCTCTCTCTTGTATTTTGCCTTATTCTCCTTATTAAACTCTTCTCTCCCCTTTTCTCCTCCATCAGATGGATTATTGAGGCCTGCCTGTCTGTGTTTTCCTTTAAATCGTCCCCTCCTTCTCAGAAAATGTCCATAATAAGCACTCATTGCTGCTGAATTTGCCACCTCTGAGGTTTAGCGAGATGATTAAAGATACAGCCGCTAAAGGGGGGCAGGGAAGAGATAACATAAGCACTGCAAGCTTTGATTACTGCCCTGACTTGTGTCTGCATTGTGGGCCAATAAGAGCCTGCTTAGCATGTTTATTCCCTTCCTTCTAGTAACAGATGCAAACATGTCCTTGCAGTTAGTTGCATATATTAGAAGAGCAAGCAGATTGAGAAAGAGAGATGCTGTGTTAAAAATAAATAGTAAAAGGAGGTCTGAATTTTGCTCAACATTCAATTTTTAGGAAGCATCTTGTGAATATTTACAGTAACACATCTAGTATTTTCATAATCCTTTCAGGGATAGGTCAAGTTCTTATCTTTATATGTTAGATAGTGGCAGGACCAAGAGAGAATGAACAGTATAGCCTTTTCCATCTTGATGCTTTTCAGCTGTGTTGAATGACAGCCTCTAATAACTCCAGCCTCTTGGGCTGTGTTGTGTAAGTGCCAATAAGCCCATTCGGTATATAAGCTGGGAAAGATGAATGTTATGATTCGTACAACTGGAGGGTATTAAGTTCAATTTGTTTGTTTAATTTCTGTATGGAATGCTGGAATAATATCTTGTTAATATTACTTTAAACAACAATGGCAGTTACATGAGTTGCTGCTCATCTACAGTATTTTGTGTGGTAGAATACACCTATGTCATGAGATCACAGTTTTGCACATTTTCGTATGAGAAGCTGCTGGTGAAATTGGCAGCATAGAATGGGATATTTTGGGATGTGAATTATGGGAGTACAGATCTAGTCTTTCTCCTGATGAACTTGCAGCCAGTTTGAATCTCACTTGTTCTAGAGCTGAATCTCATAGAATACAATTCTACATATATTTAATTGGGAGTAAGGCTCTTCAGTTTCAGTGGGACTTAGTCTTGCTTAAATGTTTCTAGGATTACAATCTGTTTTTTCATACTATGCTTACATTCTAAAATTGTATGTAGTTCTTGTGGTCTGTGCACAATTTCTTCAAATGTGTCTTTTCATAGGTCACTAACTAAACAGGTATTGGAATTATAGGTTAACAGTTTGCTTTTAGTAATTTGCTGCATTAAGTTTGTGCCACACAGAATAAATTATTCTGTATGGCACAGACTAAATTCTCTTCTAGTGTTTCAGCCACCAATGCTTTTTAAAATCAACCAATAGAGTGATCACAGTTATTTTTTTTTTAAATACTTTTGTTGGCAAAGGTGAGTAAAAAGACAGTCAAAGGGATAACCAAAATGGTCCTGGAACTGAATGGAAAAGTTACAACATATTGTTTTCTTTTAATTTAGAAAAAAGTTAGTTGAGATGAGGTAGGATAAAGACAATATATTAAAAGTCTTGCAAAATATTCATGATTTTGAAAGCTCATCCAGAGTCATTCATATTTCTTTCCTGTAATGCAAAGCCATTTGTCCAGCAGAATAGAAGTAGTTTTGGGAACTGTCCCAACATCTAAGGAAAATTACCAATGTAAATGGCCTTAAAAGAGGACCAGTCAAATAATGGAAGAAAAAGCATAAATGCATACTGCTTTAATAGATATAGATTACCTCTATTATTAGTTGCTAAGAAATGTGTGGAGAGGTGGTGTTGTCCTCATGACTTTAGAAAGCTTGACAGATATCTGGTTAGCGGCCCTGGGAATAAGATTCTTGGCAAGGTGGATCTGGTTTAAATCTGGCTCTTATATTCTTAAACATATATTTTAAAAAAGCATTGTGGTTCATTTGGATATTGAAATTATTTTCAGTTTCAATCTAATTTTGGAAATGCTGTGTTACTTAAGTATAATTATTAAACATATTACCACATTTGGGCTATCTGCTTACCTGATTGAAACAATGAAACAAATATATTTAACTTCTATGAAAGTTGTTTTCTTTGGCTATTTTTGTGTTTTGCTAATTTAAAAATATTAATTTTATTTTATTCCTGTTGCTGTATTTAATTTTTGGAAAGATGGTGCACAGTTTTAACCAAGCAAATAAATATTACATGGAAAAAGAAATCCCTATGTAATAATATATTTTCTAGCAGTCTATCCTCCACCACAGTGGCTTTAGGTCTCATAAGATTGTTACGGGGAGAAATAAGATGGAACATTATATGTTCTTTGAGCACCTGTATAAAAGGCAGGATATATATTCAATAAGTAATGAGAATATTTGGAAATGCATAAAATGCTTTTTAAAGGAGATACAGCTAATTGTGAGTATTCTTAGCTTACATACAAGTATTCTTATTAAGATAATTAAATATTGCATGATAGAAAGTTAGGAGACAGGAGCAGTTTTTAAATTATTTAAGGTGTGTTGGGAGTGAATTTATAAGTAAAACTGTTCATACAGAAGATCTGTTTTTGCTTCCAGTATTCTTATTTGATATCTTAATATTCTGCCATTGCTACTTCCTGGACATGTTAATTTAATGCCTATTATTTTATAGAAAGAGAATATAAAAGTGTTGTCACCTTTTCCTTTCAAAGAAGACCAACATGCAGAAATTTATTTCTGGTTGAATATGCTTTCCTGTTTTATGGTTGGTTATTGTCCTTTTGTTTCTGTAAATTGTACTAATTTATATTTTGTGTATGCTTCCCTGAAATTAATTTTTGAAGTTACGATTTATATTTTTTTAAAAAACAAAACCATTTTGATTTTTTTCCTTGAGTGACTTGCTGCAGATTGCCCCAGAGAAGATTATGTAGCCCTTCTCCTTCAACTATATGGTCAGAACATATCTGTAAATTAAGTGAAGTTTTAATAGAAAGTCTGGTCTTTCTGTACCTGTAATCTGTTTTTGAGCATGGTAATAAATGAAGGTTGCAGGGAGCTATGTTACGATATCACACAAATGGTCATGAAGCTTGGGCCTTAGAAATGTGGGGTGTTGTTATTCCTTAGATTTATATTTTGCCTTCCTTCCAGAAACTCAGTGTTGATGTATGTAGTACTAATTCTCATAATTTTTACCTATCCAATCTTGAGATGCAGGCTGGTATGATAGTGACAGGATCAAGGCACTTGGTGAACTTTCCTGGCTGAATTTATATTTGAACCTGGGTCTCCTTAGTCCTGTCAAATGAATTAATTATTACACATGTTTAAAGAAAGACTAACACTTTAATGCTTCTTTACTATTTTGGAAACATGATGAAAACCTAGGACTGTTTTTCTTGGGAGTGTCTTTCTAAAATTTAACAGCATGAATTCAGAAAGCTTGAAGGATGACAAAGAGTGTTTCTGGGACTACATTTGTCTGGCAGGTTGTAAGTTTCCCACTACTATATTACAGGTCAGTAGATGGATTCAGATATAACAAGCCTGGATGTTACAGAACTTTGAGAGTGGTACATTGTTTAAATGATGAATTATATCTGCTAAGATATAATTGCAGGTGTAATGTCAATTGTAGAAACTCTTTGAATGACTATTGTCTCTTAGATCAACCTATCTTATAGGACAGTTGTTGAGAGAATATTTGGAGGCAGATGTGCTATGTACATTGCCTTGAGCTCCTGAAGTAAATATGAATTTAATGAATGAGTATATTAAATCTTAATTGATTGACCAAAATAAATTACCATGAACTCTATAGATATTCTTCCCTCCCCCAAGAGTAATGAATTAAAAGCAAACCCTGATTTGTAACCGTTGCCTTTTAAAAGAGGAATAAATCGGGATTATCAGTTTAAATGGAGATTAAGTAGCCACAATTGTTTTTGAAGAACCACCACTACTCCTGACTCCATGGCTGAATTTATACACTGTGCTAAACCAGGTCAGTTACAGTTGCACAGCATACGAGATATGCTTTATTGTTTTGTACTTTAGCGTGTTGTGTAACCTTCAGTTTGTTTGTGTAAATGCCAGACAAGTTAATTTGCTTGGTTGTTTTCTTGCAGACGTTTCATTACCCAAACTAGGTAACATCACCATCAAAGACTCCTCAAAATTAAATATATAGTATAACTTCCTTTATGTTTCATCTCTAAATCTTGTACAGAGATGCACTACTTTCTCTTTTCCCTAAAGGCCTCATTCATTGCTCTGCTAACATACTTGACTGTTTTGTATTGGACTGAACATTATATTCTATTAAGATATCAGAATAATCAACTGACAAACTGTCGTGTCTCTCTCTAATGTGTTTGAGAAATTAATTTCCTATTGGTAATTTTTTTTCAGACTTGGTTCCTGGTGAGCTTTCATTCATGTCAACAATTGATTGTTGTTTTAATGGGACATAGAAATATATAGTGTCTAGCTCCTGTAATTTAAACATGATGGATTTTTAATTGGAAATAATTTGACTTCTAGGAAGCTTCTTATTACAAACCTAACCAGATTTTCTCTTTTGCTCAGATAGGATGGTGAAAAGTTAAAATGCCAAACAACAAAATGAGCACGACATCATGGTTCCTGGTGAGTGGGACAGGTATTCGCCATCGGCTTCCTCGGGAGATGATATTTGTTGGCAGGGAAGACTGTGAACTCATGCTCCAGGTAAGTGCATTCTCTATATAAAGAGCAGAGTTTTAATTCTCATCATGAAAGCCAGATTTCAGCTAACCATAATACTTACCAGTATTCATATTCAGTTTTGAAGCAGGAAGGGATGATTGAGGTCCAGCCATAGGCACCTTTATTATACAGTCAGTCCTCAATTTATGACTGGCTGTGTAGCAACCGTTCAAAGTTATGATGCCCCCCTCCAAAGATATTTACAACCCTGTTCCAAAATTCTGATGGCCGGTCCTGCATTTATGGCTGTTTGCAGCATCCCATGATTGAAATTTATAATGATTTTACTGAAAACTGCATTTGCTTCCAGTTTTCAGAAAAAATACCCCATAGTGAAAAATGGGTCTGCTTAATAACTGCAGATTCACTTAATGACTATGCTGATCTGCTTAATGACCCAGCCAATGGACCACACCCACCTGGCACCTGATGATGCATAAGTGGGTTTTGGGTTGCAGTTTGGGCACTCGGTCTCTAAAAGCTTTGCCATCACTGGTGTATAGTGAATCCAGCATTTTAGCTTTTCAACAAACAGTGTTTAAAACTTTATTGCCACGTTGAACCAAAAACAGTTGAAACAATTTTAACCATATATCTATGGGAGGAAAGGTGAGATACAAATTACGATATATAGTTTGAAATTAGTTTATTTTAATTCATCTTAAAAGGTTTACTCACAATTTTGTCTAATAATTGCAGTTTCTTTATTTGCATTAAGAAACATAATGCTTCTTAAGTAGTCTTTAAGGATGTGCCAAATGAATCAGGGAATATGTGAGTTAGAGGCTTGCTGGGCTTTGTTTTTGGGCCAGATGTTAAGGCCTGGCATCAGTTTTTTCATAAGAGCTTTTGAGAATATGGGGCAAGAGTTGAGTTGGTTTAAACCAGTGTTTCCAAATCCTGCTAACTGGTATGGACTGGGGAATTCTGGGAATTGGCAGTCCATATATCTAAAGTTGCCAAGATTGGGAAAGACTACTTTAAACACCGATTGTAAGCTAAACAGTTTTGCTGAACAGAATACTTAATTATATATCTACTTATGGAATAACCAACAGCCATTTTCTTTTAAATGTGATTTACGCCTAGTCTTTCTACAAGCTTTCTGACCCTATTTCACAATTTGGAAATATTCAACATGCTCATTATGATTAAGGAGGATGAAATTATTATATACTGAAAAATGGGCACTTCGTTTGAACTAGGCCTTATGTTTGAACTAGTTGTGGACAAAACCCAGATGCTGTGGGGTTTTTTTTTGGCCAGGAATTCACTTCTACATCTGCTCTGAATTCTGTGTTTAGATTTGGAAATGCTCCTGGACTTGTGGACACATGCCTGATCTGTGCTTCAGGCATTCCAACTTGCACTAAATAGTCAACACTGAAGGAAAAGGTTTGTGGAAGAAATAGAACAACTCCACAAATGGATAGTTGGGCTGCTATTTAAAATATTTGTTCCATTGAATGACTTGGAACTTTGATCTGAATACTTCTGCATGGGGTAGCAAAGCATAGGCTTCTGTTAATTAAACTAGCAGAAAGATGTGATGAGACATAGTCATATACAGTACTTTAGGAGGTAGAGTGAACAATTATATAAGTTTAATGTTGAACCTTTTAAGAAAACACTTTGCATCTTTTGCTTTTATTCTGTGTTTTCTTTGTGTAGCATTTTAACAGACAACTTGTAGATAGGCCACACTTGGAATACTGCATCCAGTTTTGGTCACCATGATGTAAAAAAGATGCTGAGACTCTAGAAAGAGTGCCGAGAAGAGTAACAAAGATGATTAGGGGCTAAAACATATAAGGAACGGTTGCTGGAATTGGGTATGTCTAGTTTAATGAAGAGAAGGATGAGGAGTGACATGATAGCAGTGTTCCAGTATCTCAGGGGCTGCCACAAAGAAGGAGTCAAGCTATTCTCCAAAGCACCTGAAGGCAGGACAAGAAGCAATGGATGGAAACTAATCAAGGAGAGAAGCAACCTAGAACTAAGGAGAAACTTCCTGACAGTTAGAACAATTAACCAGTGGAACAACCTGCCTCCAAAAGCGGTGAATGCTCCAACACTGGAAGTTTTTAAGAAGAGGCTGGACAGCCATTTGTCCGAAATGGTATAGGGTTTCCTGCCTGAGCAGGGGGTAGGACTCGATGACCTCCAAGATCCCTTCCATCATCATCATCATCATCATCATCATCATCATCACTACTACTACTACTACTACTAGTAGTAGTAGTAGTACTTCTACTATCAGTATCAGTATTATTATCTTTTAGATTTCTAAGTAATCTATCTCTCAATGACTTTTGCTGTATCAGTCAGCATCCCCTTTCCCCCTTTCCCCGTTTCCTATGTTGTATTGGGGGCGGAATGAGAATGAGATAAGTTTTCCTGCTAGATATTATACCCAAACCATGGTGGGCAGCTGGAGGAGTTCTAGAAGCATTACGATTTCTAGAGACCAATCTCTTATCCTTGAGAGAAGATGGAGGGTATTATTAATTGGGTTTTCCACAGATTCTTCGAGGTCCTGCGACTCATTCCAATCTTCCATTTCTTTTCTCTGCATCCATGTATTGTGTGAATGCCTTGTTTTGAGAAGAGTAAACTTTGCCTCTAATTCAGAAAAAATGCTCCATGTCCCACACTAATACTGATGAGACAATTCAATTTCTTTTAAAAAGAATACCATTCTCTTGAACAAATCTAATTATAATGGAATTCAATAGGCACTTTGCAGATGAATATGGGGCCATTGAGTAATGCCTCTTGTTTCTAAGTTATTGATATTTTAAATATGTACTTCACTATGGAGTATACTCTTTTTAGATATTAAAATAACCTCTGCAGCCTTTTGGTTTTCTGCTAAACCATCGACAGAGCATTACTTCTCATCCTCTTTTAGCGATGAAGCAACAAAAAGTGATAGTAATTGAAAGACTTGCTGCTGTTCTCCTAGTAAAATTCTCTGCATCTGACATTCTGGTTAAAGATTAGGAGCTAAAATTAGAAAAGACAGTATGTAGCTGAATAGCAAACCTGAAAACAACTGGAGAAAAGTAACAGAGTAGCAGAGTTGGAAGGGACCTTGGAGGTGTTCTAGTCCAACCTCTGTCCAAAGCAGGAGATCTTATACCATTCCAGACAAATGGTTATCCGATCTCTTCTTAAAAACCTCCAGTGATGGAGCATCCACAACTTCTGGAGGCAAGTTGTTCCACTGATTAATCATTTTGACTGTCAGGAAATTGTTCAGACAGCCACTTGTCTGGAATAGAATAGAATAGAATAGAATAGAATAGAATAGAATAGAATAGAATAGAATAGAATAGAATAGAATAGAATAGAATAGAATAGCTGGAAGGGACCTTGGAGGCCTTCTAGTCCAGCCCCCTGCTCAAGCAAGAGAACCTGTCCTATACCATCTCAGACAGGTGAATGTCTAGTCTCTTCTTAAAATTCTCCAGTGATGGAGTGCCCATGATTTCTGGGGGCTGTTCTCCTACCGGACTTCCTCCTTGAGTAATTGCATCTCAGCAGCTTGTAAGATGCTGATTTCTCATGCTGGGTCTTCTCATGAGTGTGTTTCCCCTCCCATTTCCTAATGCAGGGAGCAAAACTAATGGTACAAAAATGCTCCACTGACAAATTTGAAACCGGTTTTTCAGCTTCTAGAAGCAATTGGATTGGCTTGAAACAATTTTCTTTTTGAGACAAGGGATAAATCCTGTTGGGATACGGTAACTTACTTTGTTGAATAACAGGATAGGTAGAACATTTGGTATCTGAGAGATTGGATTTCTAGATATCAGTGGTGTGACGTTCTGATTTTAGCCATAGGAGGGTGCTAGGTACCTGAAGGACTGTTTTCTTCAAACCACTCAATCTACCCAAATCATGACCTGAGAGATGCTGTTTACAAGCCCTCATTTTCGTTTTGTGTGGGGCTTGGGTTCAGAAATATTTTTCAGTGATGGTCCCTGTTCTTTAAAACAGCCTCCTTTAGGAAACAATCTAGGTTTTTGTCTTTAGTTCTCCACAAATTGATTAAATATGTGTTTTTCTGAAGCATGCTTGGAAAATAATTAAGGTGTTTTCTTTTTTTGCTTCAGTATGTTATGATTATGCTGATGCATTTTTACTGGGAAAGTTTAATGTTCCTTTGTAATTTTCTATGGATGTTGTAGCTTGTTATTCAACACTGGGAGTTCTTTAAGATTACATAAGTCCACACAATGAATAAAAGAATAAAACTTACAAGATTCCCTGAGCATTTTCTTGGCTTTGGGAAAACAAGATCTAACTAGTCTCTTCAGATGTCATTAACAAAATTCCTTTCATCCATTTACGTTTTTTTTTGTTGCTATATATATGGAATTTTGAACTGACTTTTGTTTAGCAGAGGTCATAAAGAAATAGCTGGTATAAATGCTTACTTTCTGCAATTTAGAAGCAATAAATTCATGCTTTCAGAATTTAGAAAATATGCATATACATAAACATGCATTCTGAAGACTAAATTTCCCCACAAAAGATGGAAATCTGCCTTTTAATGTTGCGCTGGTCTGCCTTATAGAGAGCATCACTAGTGAAGTTCTCATTGCCCACTAAATCATAAGACTGTTTACATTATGTAGCAATCTCAAAGAAATTAGAAACACATTACTGTGTGGCTTTAAAAGTAGCCTGGCTCATGTTGAGTCCCACAATATACAATATCCATTTTAATCTAGCCATCTGCAGATCCAACTGAAGTATGTTTGGGCTAAATGGTATTGCTTAGGTGATGTGTTGATGATAGGGAGATGGCCTTTGAAACTCCCTTTCCATATCAGATCTGTTAAATGATACAGACAGTTAACATCATCTTACATTGATAGTAGGTAGCTAGTAAACAGGCCAAGAAAACATGGTCGCCAAGATTAAGATCTGATTAAGTAAATGCCAGAATGGGCAGTACTGTACTTTTATGGAGGGGATACTATAATAAAGTATCCCCTCCATAATATTGTCCTAATCTGATAGGCCAGCGGTGGCGAACCTATGGCACAGGTGCCAGAGGCGGCACTCCGAGCCCTCTCTGTGGGCACGCGCGCCCTCGCCCCAGTCCTAGGCCTTCAGCTGGGTTTTATAAAATCTTTTTGCTTTAGGCCTCCACCGCCATGTGCAAAAAAAAAAAGGTTCAATCAATCAATCAATTTCAACTTCTTGCCAGAAAAAAAAAGATCTTGCAAAGTTGGAATTGATTGATTGAACTTTTTAGTCCCACCCAGTCTGCCGTTACCACTGCAGCCATGCCCAGCCAATGGGCCACGCCCACCTGGCACCCAATGATGCATAAGTGGGTTTTGGGTTGCAGTTTGGGCACTCGGTCTCTAAAAGGTCGCCATCACTGTGATAGGCACTATGCCTGTTAAACAGGTACATTTCCCTTTGTGTTAATATTCCTGATATATCACTGGAGCTATTAAAACAATTTCTGTCTTATAACTTCCTAATTTAATGTTGTTGATCTTCTCAGTCTCGCAGTGTGGATAAGCAGCATGCCGTCATCAATTATGACAAGGAAAAAGATGAGCACTGGGTGAAGGATCTTGGAAGCTTAAATGGGGTGAGTGATAAGTGAGTGCCAAAGGGTGTGTGTGTCATATCCAGGTTTCATTTCTGTGGATGGGCTTTTCAGTTTCAGTTTGTAGAAATGAATGAAGCATCTGAGGTCGGAGTTAATAGGAGAGGCTCTAAAAGAAAATATTTCAAATATTTTGATAAACCTTGTGAAATGTTAGGATATATGTAGCTGCTCCTTTATTGAGTTCTACTTGATGCTTAGTTTTGCCACAAATTCAGATTAGCTATTCATAGACTGTTCTAAGCTATAGTATGATTTGCTTGATTTTCACACTGTTGTGTGAAAGCAATCAGTGTTTAATAAACCATTGTTAAACAATGTATAGTTCAATGCTATCCAAATATGTCAATCTTCTGTAGATTAATATAAATTTGTACTCACTTGGAAGCTTTATTGTGAATTAAGACCCGATACTCATCTAAGCTTCTTTTTGGCCATCCTTATCTCTTGCCTACTGGCTGAGCTGCAATTACTTGTTTTTTTAAACCAGTGTTAGCTGTTACAGCTTGTTCTGAAGAACGTTAAGCCATTCAAGGTAGGCATGATCAGGAAACAGGAATTACTAAGAGTGCTAAAATGCACTTTAATGCAGTTTGAGTGTTTTTATAGAATCTGAAAGCCCCCCCTCTTTTAATGTACCAGCTTATACAATCAAATCAAAATTGTTTGAATTTCTTTTCTAATTTCTCAAGACTCAGATGTATTTTCCTGTAATAATATGGCATTTACCACCTTCTTTTTTGAGTCAAATTCACATTTTTACACCTAGCTTCGTTGTAACTTAGCATGATTCTTAAACCCATTGATTATGGCTCAGCTTTATGTACAAACCAGGCCATTAAGGTTATTCAACAAACCTTGGTTTTATAATATCATGAGTTACCAGTTTATATCTGAATTTTTCCTAGAAAAAAGTAAGGATTATAATGTTAAAACTGATTTGAAATGGGTTTAGAAACTGGTTTGTGTTTGCAGAAAGGTAATCTATAATTTATGTCACTAATTTTCCTGATTCTTTGAGGAGAAATAGTCTTCTAATGCTGTTGATGCCAGGATTAGTTCAGCAACTTGACTATTCTGATTTTATCTGGAGGCCAAATTAATCCATTGTGTTGGGCTATAATATGGTTTGTTTCTCATATATTATGTGAGAAACCGAGATTGTGGTTTATTTGATAAATATATACAATGGTCTAACATGATCTATCATGATGTATAAATCTTGTTTGTCTTCAAGATGTCAAGTAAGATTGAACAATCATTTCTCTCCATATCACACTGATTCCCAAACAAACATTTCTCGCTACAGTTCACATATTTCAATTTTTAGAGTTTGCCATGTTTTTTGCAGCAATATTCTGTTACCTCTTTGCTCTTAAGACATGATTTATCAATTCAGTTTAAACTCAATTTTTTAATCCTGCTTAAATCCTGTCCATTAATTCTGCTGCTTGGTTTCTTTTGAGATATTAGGTTTGTTTGTTTTTTAATCTCCTGTTTGGAATTTTTAACTGTTTAACTGCATATTTTACATTATTTTAAGTAGCAATATATAAATGTTTCTGATATATTGATGTACTGTTTATATAGTGAATTTCAGTAATGAGTTCTCAACCATAGTATCATCCAGATATGTTGTACTATCAGTCCAAAAATTCAGCTACATAAACTGAGAATTTGGAGAGTTTAATTATAGCATCAGATCCTAAAGTTGAAACTCAAATACTTTGGCCACATAATGAGAAGGAAGGACTCACTGGAGAAGGGCCTAATGCTGGGAAAGATTGAGGGCAATAGAAGAAGTGGACGACAGAGAATGAGGTGGCTGGATGGAGTCACTGAAGCAGTAGGTGTGAACTTAAATGGACTCCAGAAGATGGGGGAGGACAGGAAGACCTGGAGGAACGTTGTCCATGGGGTTGTGATGAGTCGGACACGACTTCGCAATTAACAACAACAATTATAGCATAGCTGGAAAATAACAGGTTGGGAATGCTTGTTATAGCAGATAAATAATATCATATGAGTAATTTTACCTAAAAATTACAAAACCAGAAAACCTGAGTTTTGACCAAATGTGAGTATCTACTAGGAGAAATACGCTGTTTTAGGAAAAATACCACATTGTTCTGATAACATAAGCAATAGGAGATATGTTATTAATAGGAAGCTGACACAGAATTGCTCACATAAGTATGTTATTTCTTGTTAAAGAATGTGGCTGCTCAGTCTGGAGTATTGAATCTGGAGCTGGGATGAGGTATTTTGTGGCTTTGTGTACTTGAAATACAAGTATTGAATTTAGAGTAGGGTATGAAATGAATGACTTATATAAAATGTATTTAAATATTACCTTTGACCTTGTTCAAGTTGTTTGCTATTAGGATAAACTTTAGAGTGGTATAAGAGCAATACTAAAACTTGACTTTTTAAAGACTAGCTGATACAGCTTTATTTTTGTACAAAACGAGTAACATAAAATTATTTGGATATTTCAATAATCATTTATCTGCCTCCTTTATTGCATGTTCATTAGTTGATAGGTACAAGAGGATTATCATTGGAATTATGCCTTTTAATCATGAGGCAGATAACAGTCAAGAATAACACACAGGAAAGATGAAAATAAAACTGTTACATTATGGGAGAGGCCTTTTTTAAATGCCTCAAAGCCCCACGTGAAAAACTTTAGAGTGAGCAGGAGCCTCGGAGCTGAAAATGTGCACCAAGCTTTTCAGGTTTCTTTCTCCTCTTTCCTTCCCTTCACTTTGGAGACGTTTTAAAAGTTTTCTTATTTTCTCAGATTACATTAACCCATTTTAAGGTCATCCACTCTACTTTTTTTCCTGCCCCCAAGTTATGGGAAAATATAATCTGAGGCCAATGGAAAGGAATAAGGGAGTCAGGGCCTGTAGGTTTTCTCTCTCTGAAACTCTTACTAACACTGTCTTTTAACATTGAGAGCAAGATTGAGGTGACATTGCGGGTGAAACCAGCTTGTGACATTGAGGATTCCCAAGATTTCCTTGCATGAAGCGCTGCTGAGAAAATGCACTAATCCAGGGGTCCCCAACCCCCGGCCTGTAGACCGGCACCACTCTGAAGCATGCCAACAAGCAAAGCTCTATCCTCGGGATGCAGGCATTATTCAAAATCACACCCCCTATGGTCCGCAAAAAAATCTTTCACTGTGGCACCAGTCCCTGGTGCCCAAAAGGTTGGGGACCTCTGCACTAATCAGCTCGAGGTGATCTGCCTCCTTGATCAGATTCCATTTGTTTCTGATCACGGGCTTTGTCCAGCAGGCATCTCCTTGATATGTTTGATAATCTTAGGACTTGTATTTGAGAACTTCAGGCTACTTGTGGGGAATCTTGTTCCCATTGAAACAAGTTGATGGACTGCATCAGGCACTTAGTTTGGTCTATTGTACATAAAAAAGGAAAAGATTACATTTCAAGATAAAGAAGTGTCAGTTGTATGAGGAGAATGTTGACATCTTGACAATTTGTATACTTGTATTAAAATAAAAATAATAACTTCTGTCTCACCCCCCCCCCCCAAAAGAAGAAGAAGCTTAAATGAATTGAGACCAATTATATATCCAGAATCACAACAGTTTGGAAGCAACGTGTTCAGGGAAGGACCGTTTCCTCTGTCTGCTTCTGCAAATGAGATATTCTTAGAACAGCTTTTGATGCTGAATAGGGTTTCTATGATATAGATATCCAATTAGATCTTTAACATTTTGAACCAAGCCCATTAAGAAATTAGTGATCCCTGCATATCATTCAGCATAAGTATAATCTGGTCATCTTTCCATGTACTGATTAACAGGGTAGTTCTTCCTTCTTTGGGGTAGCTCCTCAAAGAGTCCATTGTAGTACTCTAGTTGACCCAAGTAGATCCAAGCAATTTGAGGAATGAGTGACATCTTTTATGGGAAAAGCACAACTTTGTAGTCAAAACCATGCTGTTTCAATAGAAAAAAAGGATAGGTTATTTTCTGACATATGCAAGCTGGAAGAATCATTGTAAAATGCTAATTAGAAAGACTAGAGTTATGATTTTTGTGTATGACAAGAGTGTTGCTTATTAGGTACACAGTCTAATTTCAAGAGCAAGGGCTTTGAGTGTATCCCCGGCAAGATCTTTATTACCTCTTTTATTTGTCTTTGTTTATATTCTTGGCTATCTCAGTGGCTTTTAGGTATTGTAATCAGCCTTCCCTATCTTAGCATTTTCCACATGTGCTGACTTCAGCTCTAAAGGTCTTATAGATTGCAAATTACAATTGTTGAAAGCCAACATATTTGCAAAGTTGTCAGATTGATAAATACTGCTACAGAAGACCACATTTTTCTGGTGTATCTAACATAACCTGAAGTAGGTAGCAGTGCTTTGCAGCTTTTTGTGCCTGCTTGACAATTACACTTCAGAAAGTAAAGCACTCTTATTTTGACCTTTATAGTTTTCTTGTTGGTGCCAAAGAGATTTACAGTATTATAATCCTCTTGGCTTGTAGGTGTAGGCACTTGTTATTTCAAGGAGATCATTAGGAGAGTAGGAATTCATCATCCAAAGCAGAAGTCAAGATGAAGTGGGATCATAAGGAATTCATGAAAAAAATATCCACTCCCTAACTATCTTACAGAAATATCTCATCTTAGAGGGCTACACAATGCATTGGATTTAAAGGGGAAAATTTGCTTCAACCCTGGGGGCTCACATAATTGTCAGAAATTCCTAAATATCTGCATCATTTGCTAGGATTGCATGCCTGCCCTCTGCAGCTGCAACAGCTGTACAATCCTGGAATAACAACAACAACAACAACAACAACAATAATAATACATATTTGATTTATACATATTTGATTTAAAAATTTCCCAACAAGTTCATGGCAGTTCTACACGTCTGCCATGAGTTTCAAAACATGTTTTTGCTTTTGAATCTGAAACATCGCATTATCTTACTGTACTGTATATTCAGAGCTAGGTCTGATTATTTTGCATATTAGTATTGGATATAATCTCATGAACAGGGAGATTTTAGTTTATGACAGAATTGGGTTGGGGAGGGGTACTTTAGATATTTACAGAAGGGAATGGTTAAAAGCAGATGGTGAATTAGCTGCTGCCAGAAGCTTAGTAGCTGCCCTCTCTTCAGTCTCCCATCATGAAGAGGGGAAAAAGGGAGGGAACCTTTGGCCCCTGAGCTACAAGTGCCAGCAGCATCAGGCACCAAGGTCAGCAGCAAATATGGTTCAGTATAATCTGGAAAATCTCAGTTGTGTCCCAAACATATTGTGTTCCTTATTCTCTCCTTTGTTTTAAGAGGACAGTGCACCATTGCACTGAATAGTCATGAGGAACAGGATAAACTTCAGTGTGCCTGTGGTATCGGGAGAAAATGACTGCCAGATGTTCTAGGAGTGCTGCTATTGTTGCTGTAGAACGTGCATCTCTTACAATGAAAAAGATGGACTTAGGGACATGCAATGAGCATCTATTTGCTTTGCAAAGCCACCCAAGTTTAGTGAGAAAGAGGCAGTTTCATTTTGATCTTAATGTTCCAGTTTTTGGTTGAAGTCTGTTTCTGCAAGGAAGAACAGAAAAAACTACAAAGAAGCAGAACATTGACTCATATTCTTATATCTCCCAAGGGAAAGGTAGGAGCAGGAAAAAGATTTGCCTGAGACTCAGTTCTAGCCCATTATTTGAACAGCAAATTGGACATAATCAGGGTTAGTGAAATAGTGTGTAGAAAACAATATAGATGCTGTTGTGGATATAGCTAACTCCCAGCCCAGAATGACAAAAAAAAATAAATTCTTGTGGACAGAGAAAAGCAGGTAAAATAGATTGTACAAGCCTGTTTGGTGAGCTGCATCTTCTAACTGAAGGGAGAAGGAGAATACTGTTTCTGCACTAGATTTTTGTTGATAGATGATGTCTCTTGACTACAATCATAGTGAGATAGTTAAAAGTCCTCTGGAGAGAGCCTTTTCCTTGACATTTCTCTTCCCCACTTTTAAAAAAGCTCAAATGAAGTTAAATCTGCACCACCTCTGAAGGTCTGGCTGCAGATAATTTCCTGGGCCTGGTTGCTGCCAGCCCCTTCTGTAAAACAATTTTTTCTAGTTTTGAGAATTCTGGTCCAAATACAGCTGTTCTTCTTGGCATGGCTTGCCTGTGTTTCCAATCACGTTAAAATAATAGCCCCCCCCCCCCCAAAAAACCATGTTCTCTGCTTGCCTTTGCCTTCCTGGATCCTTGGGTAGATTTTACTTAAAAGTTTGGATTTCACCTAGAGTCTGGCATCTGAAAACATTTTCAAAGCAATCCCATTTACAGAAGAGTAGAAGTTATTTGTTATAGTTGGCTTATCAAATTGCAGAGTATTCCTTCCTCTAGCTACCGGTATCAAGGATAAAGCCATTGATGTACGCTGTCATTATACATACAGTATAATTGATTACAAATTCTTCAGCTGGATGGTTTTTCCAAATTCTTCCTACTCTCCTTGCAGTCCTCTCACATTGTTTAACACATTTTGCAATACTGATGCCTCTCAATGAATCTTACATCACTGATAAATGTTTGGGTGCAGCACCCTGAATAAATAAAGTACATTTTTTAATAAAGTATTGTGAAGAAGACAAATAATTACTTTAAGCTGTTGAACTGTTTCAACTGTTAAAACTGAAATGGACAGTATTTTAGAGCTCAGGATTATATGCTTGTCTTTGACAGTAATAAAGTTTAAAGTTAAGATGGGGTATGATGAGGGGTACAGTAGATGGAAAGTGATAGAGTGGTCATAGTTGTACCAAGTTTTTTTTTTTTAAAATAATCCTGTGAGCTAGGACTTATTTGTTTATAACTTTTTATGCCACTCATTCATTATCCAGAGCAACTCTGGGCAGCTTTTTATGTTCTGAACAAAATTAAATCTTTTCAAAGTAGTGTTCACTACTTGTTTTTATATATTTCCTATATGAAAAGTGGCAAAAAACCACGTCATCAGTTTTCAGCAATTGTGAGCAGAGACGGAGTCAATCACAAAAAACAAATGTAACCTGGAGTGTCATGTTACTTGACTTGACGGAGAAATCTTTAGTATAATGCAATTATACATGAAGACAGTTCTCTATATTTATCATACTTAACTCTCTGGGGGTTTGAGATGTACTATGACATGCAATATGTACTTCTTGCAATTGTTTGGAATAAATTTAAGCACTTTCAGTACTTCTGTTGTCTAGTGGTTAAGGAAGAGATGCTTGGTCCAAATTCCTTTTCAGCCATGGATTAAGGCAAGTGGCTGTTCCTCTCTGGGGTCCTCTTTCCTGTTTTCACTATGTGGATAATCCTAACCAGCCTGTTATAAATTTGTATCTGTTATAAAGATTAACTGACATAAGTTTTTAAATGTTTTTAAAAGTATATGTTAAGTTTGTGAAGTTGCTTTCTTTGAAGTTTTACAAGGCTTGCTCTTTAGCCCAAAAAATGCAATAAGGGAGCTTTTATGGTTTGGAAAAATAGCTTTGTGGTATTGCCTCAGTTGCTCTATCAAATGCTTTGTACGGCTGACAAAACGTGTTTGCCTGTTTTTGTTTTTAAATGCAGTCTTTTGCTGAAGCTACTTTCAGCAACAGAGAAAGGGGCCAATCAACCAAGCACGAAATAATAGGGAATTGTATGTGGGAAGGAAAGAAAGAAAGAGGTACCAGTTGATTGGCAGAAAATAGAAATTTGGTAAAGCTACTTTCATCTCTAAACTTCTCCACACTGACTTCTTCCTCCTCACATGTCACTTGAATGATATTTTTGTCTTTCTTTTCCACAGACCTTTGTGAACGACATACGAATCCCTGACCAGAAGTACATCACGCTAAAACTGAATGATGTGATTCGTTTCGGTTATGATATCCTTTAGGATGTGTCGTAGAGGCATAGATGCACAATCTCTTCAAGGTTCAGGATTCATTGTTTTAAGAAAAACACTGTGTTATTTCTTATAAAATTGAAATTCACTAAGTCTAATTGTATGAATTGCATTCCACCTGGAATATCACCAACATGAGCTTAAATATATATATATGCTCTTTTGTTGCTGAGAGTTAGTCTGGGGTCAGATTAGAACTGGGGAGATCCAGGCTTAAGTCCCACTCAGGCATGAACTGTAGTTTTGATTATTGTATTGTATTACTTGTATTGTATTGTATTATTGTAGTTTTTGTTATTTCTCAGCCTAAAGATTGTTGGGAGGATAGCACTTTGGATTTCCCTAGAGCAAATTTGAATGGTCTCATTCAATGGAAGTGTTTATACTTCATGCCAAGTTACCTATGGTTTGTTTGCGGTTAGTATATAGGTAGTCTTCACAACTATGGTAATTACGATAATTGGATCGGCATTTATGTCACTAAGTGATGCAATTGAAAAGTGTGATGCCATGTACCAGGTTGCCATAGTTAAACAAGGATTGCAAGGGTTGTTAAGCAAGGACCTCACATGACTGTGGCTTCTGATTTCCTGATAGCTTCCCTATTGATTTTATTTGTGAGAAGCCAGCAAACAAGGTCGCAAATCATGATTATGTGGCTGCAGGGGTATTGCAATGGCTGAAATTTCAAGGACCAGTTGTAAGTACTACTTATTTAAATGGTCGCTAAACAAGTGGTCCTTAAAGAGATCCACCTGTAGTATATAAATGGAGCTCTTAACAAGAAAAGCAGCTTATTAATATTTGTTTCACTGAGCCTTCAACAAAGAGGTTTGTGGAATTTATCTTTGGTCCTTTGCATGGGAGGGAGAGGCTTGGCAAAACTGAAAATGGGTTCGGTTTTGAGCTTGATGAAACAGCTGATTTTTATTAACTTCAGTGTGAGGATTTTCCTGTTGAAAGGTTTTGGTGGATCTTCTCTTGGCAGTAACAATATTCTGTTTTTGTAGGCATGTTTATATTGTCTAGATAAGAATTGCAATTTATAACACCTTGTCATTATTTATGAGATGAAGATATGCCCGTACTTAACTCTTTTTGGAAAGATTTGTAAACTGTATCTTGGTATTAAATCAGTATACTCAGTGCTGGTTCTGGTGAGCAAATAGTCTGATGTGGACAAAGAGTGCAGCATATTTCTTTCTAAGCACAAGCTTTATGAGGTTGGAAACTCTACCCTTCTACGTTTAGGATTATTTCTGAAATGTGTCTTCAAAATATAATACATATGTTTTTCCACCTGAGAGTTACTCGGAGACCACATTAGTTTATATTATAAGTGCAGAGGAATATATTGCTAGTTGCTGCTATTCCAGTGGTTCTCAACCTTTTTAATGCCGCGACCCCCAACTGGTCGTAAGTCGAGGACTACTCAACCAGTCGTAAGTCGAGGACTACTCAACTGGTGCAGCACCATTTGCAGAATGGGACTTTTGGCAGGCTCAGCAGGGCAGAGACAGCCTGGACAATTCCTTTTGGCTTTTGAAAGCCAATAGAATTAGATTCTATTCAAGAGAGTCTATTCTATTGGCTTTCAAAAGCCAATAGAATGAAAGGGAGTAGCACAGCTAAGGAAAAGGGGGAAAAAAATGGCGGACTGCGTTGTTTGGCAACCACGTGAAATCGTCGTTCGACCCCAAATGGGGTCCCGATCCACAGGTTGAGAACCACTGTGCTATTCTAAGATGCAAGTTGGTCTGGAAAACAATAAGTGGGCCAATTTACTCCACAAGAGTATTTGAAAACATTTTTTGTGATTACTCTTGGTTATGTTATGCAAATTTATTACTTTATCTTTCCCACACCACTTTCTAAAATAAAATTCATCTTTTATCCTTTATATTTGCTTGCTTCCGGGTTTAAGATACTTTTGACTATTGGAGACTAATTCATCCCTTTTTATGTTGTTATTGAGAAGGGATTTGGGATGTGCAGAATATGGCTTATTCTGTCACAAAACAGCTTGTTTCCAGGTTAAATAGCTTGACACTTGCAGTTTTATTCTCATCATAGCTTTCCCATCAGTCTTTTCTCAATAACCAACCTGAATGCAAAACTCAGATCAGGGCTTAAATTCTCTTCCCCATTAGTCAACAACTTCCAGAATTATGCCACAATCTATACCATTCTTAAATTCTGAGTTTTTCTTTTTCTTTGAGTTTAGCATTGTGTTTTAGGGTGCAAGCCCAGGCACTGCTGTCATATGTTCTTTTCTTGACAAGGAACCTTTTTTTTTCAAGACTAGATTAAAGCATGGTTGACATTTTGGTATTGGCAGCAGATATAAGACTGTCTGAAATTACGTGTGTGTCTGCATGCATGCTGGAGAGAGGAGAGAAAACTGGAGAGTTTTACTGAAATTGAATCTCTAAAAACAAAGTCATATGCTCAAATTCAGCTCATTTTATTCCTTTTCTACTGAACTATCAGCATGAAGAAACAAAAAAGAGAAAACCACCCCCACTAAGTTCCCTTCTCCCTTGATTCTTTATATATTACTCCATTTTTACATTCCCTGAGTCAGCAGAGTTCTCATGCACACATCTGTTCACTGTAGCCAACAATACTGTAGCCAGAATATAGCTTGTCCTTGCTTTGTTACTGTTTTTTTTAAGTAATATTAACAATCTTGTCCTGCTTTTTCTGGCATCCTTAATTTCCTCCTGTTCCCCACTCTTTTGAGAAAATGCAGGCCAACTATGTTCTGGAACTGTAACATGAGCCTGTGCAAATCTTGCTATTGTCATCCTTCATTACAATTACTTTTTTTTTCCTGTGGGGATGTCCCACATGTTGAGTGTTTCTGGTTAGGAATAAAAAGCCTGGCTAGTCTGCAATTCATGCCAGGTTTTCAAGATTACAAACTGATCCAAATGAGATATTGCATGTGGCAGTTTGCTATTTTTGTTGTTGGAGGAGGAGCAAGTTGTGATTAGCAGTTGATTTGAGTGATGCTGCTAGCTAAACAGTCATCCCCTTCCTTTTCCACCACTCCATGTGCATTCTAATGAAAGTTTGCTGGAAAAGGATGATCATGTCAGATAGAAGCATATTGGAGATGCAATAGTTGCATTCCTTTGCTTGAATATAACTAGTCAGTTCAAGTTCCATTGATAGAGGTATGTAGAATAGTCAAGCTTCAAGATTTCTTAAGAAGCAACTTTATTTGGATAACAGTTTCAGTCAAGCCCTGATTTTATCAGTTGCTTGAATGAGATATACAGATCTCCAGATGTATTCCTACAAGCTTTTGAATAGGAGAGCTTTCAGAAAATGACCACCAATTTAATTGTAGAATTCTGAGCTTTTTGCTGCTTAGATTAGAGGTCCCCAACCTTTTGGGCATCAGGGACCAGTTCCGCGGACCAGAGGGTGCATGGTTTTGTGTGCTGCCTGCATCCCGCGGATGGGGCTTTGCTTGTTTGTGTGGACTGGTTGCTGGTATGCCATGGCCTGATACTGGTCCATGGACTGGGGATTGGGGACCCCTGGCTTAGATGTTCTTTTTCTTTTTAACTAAGAGCTCTCATAGTGTATTTTAGAATATTTGTCCATTGTTTCTGGACAAATTTCTTTGTGAAATTTTGCTTTTGATAGTGCCACCCTAAGCCTCTGCCTTCTTTCCTTCATGGCTCTGTGGAGATAGGACCTCATTAACCAAAAGACTGATTTTATAAGGAAGATCCACCATCCTAGAAATAAATATTTTAATTCTTGAATACTGCAGAGCAGAAGAGAGAGGTCTTGCCAGGAGCTGTCATCAAGCAGAGATTGAATAAGGAGATGCGCTCTGTTCACTGCAGTCACAGAACATATCAACAGCATTGGCTCCCCAGCTGTGCACCACAGACAACATGGCACTCTTGAAGAATTAAGCCACTATTTTGGGAAGCATCCAACACTATCCCTGTTTGTTAGAGTAGGCAGGTTCCTTGGTGCATTAATATTTCTTTCTGCTGGGAAATCATGAGCAATGAAGGAAAGAGTAAAGCTGCACTTGATGTAACCTGTGAAAGCAATCTTTCATTGCTCAGAAAGATTAATTTCATCTATCAACTAAGCCAATACAAAGATCAAATTTCTAAAAGTCATTGTATTTATTAATCAAATTTATACACTGCCCATTTAAATATCTGCTTGACTCTGGGCAGTTTTAATTTAATTTTAATTGGCATCTCTTTTCCCAAGAAACTATTGCTTTACAGCAGCCTAGAGAAATGGACATTCTTTGAGTGGAATGAAGGGAGACTTAAGTTTTAATTTAGACCAGTTTTATGGTTGACATACCATCTTAGTTACCAGTCATTGTTGAACTAGATAGGTGTTACTTTCTGGTGTCCTCTCCTCTTTTACTATTCATTTCTGGTAATTAATGGGACATGTACTAGTGTTTGCAAACTTTCTGGAATGTGTAAGTTGTAGCTTTTGCTGCTAACTACTAATGTTAAAAAATGACTTTAATGAACAATTTTCCATTATAGTCCATTAATGACTGGTATTGCAAATATATATCCAAATTGATGTGGTCACTGTTGGCCTCCTGAGTTCCTTTGGTCAGTTTAAGTATAGTTAGTGTGTATTGTAGCTTAATGAATATATGTAAGAAAAGGAGAGGGGACAAGGAAAGGAGTGATATTGTAACTTTATCATCAATCTCATGTGATGTTGATTCATTCATTCTTTCCTGTTAGAGCACTGGATAGCTTGGGCTACCCTACAGGGAAGATTTTAGATTCAGTCAGTTTTTAGAGAAGGCATTGTTGCTTTGCTATTATTATTAGAATTAATATTTTTGTTCTAAATAAAGGAAAGTGCTTATATGAAACACTTTAATACACTTTAGAAACAAAAATTACCTTCAAGTAAAGCCTTCTTCCAAGTTTTGCAATAATGCTCATAGCTAAATTCTCTTTTTTATGATCTTCAGTTATGATAAATCATTTGACTGAAAAAGAAATCAAGTTGTGTCTGTTTGCCTTCGCAAATGCTGATAATTAACCAGTATTAATTGCATGAACCATATCTTAATCCTTTAATAACAGCTTTAATAATCAGTCATGGTTTTTCACCTCTTTTAAGTTTACTTTTATACTCTAATCTTCATCCAACTTTGTAGCCTTGAAATGTTTGAAAGGCTTCATGTGGTAATATCTTGCCTATCTCTGCTTAAAATAATCCCAAAAGAGATGGGATTTGTTTGTTTGTGTGAATGATGCATCGCCTGAAGTTACTGTTAACCTATGTCTGAATTCTTCTGAAGCTGCATTTTTCCTTAATACTTTTTCTACATGCAAACATGTATGTCCTAGAACATATCCAGCACAAGGTTCCAGAAGAAGTGCTAAAAGTAAGTATCTGTGTTCCCTTTTAAGTGGCAAAGTGAAAAAAAAACCCTCAAAATATGTAAACTATGGTTTTAGTGGAGAATTCTGCCTGGAATTTAGTTGACCTTCATCAGTGCTACTATACTTTATTGTATTTTTGCCATCTTTTACATAGGTTGTTAAAAAAAAGGGGAGGGGGAAGCAAGAGAGGAAGAAAGGACCAGAATTCTTGAAGAATTGTAGTCCTAGGTCATTAACAGAGTAACAGCTCAGTATAGATTTTATACATAAAAGTGTTAAGTTCAGTCCTAAAGAACTTTCTTTTAAATAAGGACCAAGTATAGAAGATAATGGAAAGTGGTTGTCATTAAAAAAAAAAAATCCTGTAATACAGGTCTAGGTAGCCACGTAGTCAATTTGGTAAAATGCTTGTTCTTATTTTTGTTTGTTCAAATGCCCAATTCTCATTTTCTAAACTTGTGTATAAATTAGAATGCAGTTAGATGTGAAAACTGCACTTTTCCAAATTTTGCAGTGCAGTTTACAGTTCGAGAAATATTTCCCAAAATACATTATATTCAGGTAAATTACAAAAATGAATGCTTTGAAAATCACTGAAATCCGAGTTCATGTAATAATAATTGGAATGAACTTTTCATGTGTTGGTCCTCAGAAAACCCAGCATGGAACCAAGCACAGTCAGTTTAAATGTTTTCTTAAGCTTCATTGATGTGAAAGATCTGCTAATCTTTCTCAGATGCAGATTACTACCTCTCCCATATATTTCCACAAAACTTTCCCATGAGAAATTACCAACATAATATGCTGAAATAATCTTAGATTAAGATTAAGAAATAATCTAAATCTCCTTGAAGGCAGTTCTGCACTTTGCCAAATCCTGAGTGATAACTTAATGTTCCACCTAGCCCTCAAGACAGGATTCCTTCACATTTTCAGGCTTTTACTGGTAGTCTTGAGTTCTAGAGACTTGATTTATTAAAACAAATCAACTATAAACATTGAGAAATCTTGGCTCGGACAAAGTAGGGATGTAGGCTATAAGCTTTGTTTTGATTACCCAACTCTGAGAAAATATGCTTTGCAGGAAAGATGGCATCTTTCATTGCACTAATGCCATTGTTGGTCAGAAAACATGAATCATAGGCTTTATAGCAGTACTGATTGATAACCTTACCCGAATTTCGGTGAGAAGCTAATGGGACTATTTTGGCAAAAAACAGCAATTTAAAATGGACTTAGTGACTTACTTTCAGCAGTGGATTATACCACTCTTTACCTTTCTCCAAATTTGCTCCAAATGTTTTCATCCAAACAACCAAAGATTCCTAAAGTTTACCTATTGATTTTGTCTCTGAAAATTAAGTGAAAAATTAAATGAATTCAGCTACTAAGCTACTGAAATGAACTCATCTCTGTACCTTGCCTCTTGTTTGTTTGCATCTCCACTGCAACAGAGTCAAGCTTTTCCTGTATGCCAAGATTTTCCTGGGGTAGATTTGCATGTAACTCTACACCAAGATTTAATGTTACATGCAAGAAAGTAGTTGCCTAAAGGGTAGGTTTGGCCTCCTGTTCCATGTTTGGCAGCAAAAATACTTTATAATTTAGTTTCATCCTTGTATATTTCTAGCTTGTTCTTATTAGGCCAGTTTGGTCTAGTGCTTAAAGCAGGCTAGAAAGGAGCAGACTATGAGTTCAAGTCGAAGCTGAATTTTAGCCATGAAAGCCAGCTGGATGACTTTGGACAGTTACTCTCCCTCAGCCCAACCCACCTCACAGGATTGTTGTTGTGGCTAAAATAGGAGGAGGAAGATGGGGTAGATATGTTTGCTATCTTGAGTTATTTGTAAATAATATACAAATAAATAAAAAATAAAAATAAATCATTGAGTAATACTTGAGTAATACTCAAGGAGAGAAGCAACCTGGAACTGAGGAGAAACTTCCTGACAGAACAATTAACCAGTGGAACAACCTGCTTCCAAAAGCGGTGAATGCTCCAACACTGGAAGTTTTTAAGAAGAGACTGGACAGCCATTTGTCCGAAATGGTGTAGGGTTTCCTGCCTGAGCAGGGGGTTGGACTCTATGACCTCCAAGGTCCCTTCTAACATCATCATCATCATCATCATTTAAAGGAATAGTCAGTTGTGGTCCATTGATATATCTGGTTTTTCTGCTGAAGCCAGTGAACAAGGTAATCCTATGAAAAATGAGCTCTTTATCTTCCTGAATCAGGTGCGGTGGGGAGAGGTTAAAGGTATTTTGCTTAAAATTAGACATGTGTGAAAGAACAGGAACCACTTGTGTTTCTTGTTCCTTCTGCTTCTGCATCATTTCAGAAATTACTGTTCAGTGGCCAAAAAGATATTTGCTGAATCTTCCTAATTCAAAACTTGTTACTTTTCTAAAATTTGATACAGAGATTAGGATTGGAACCAAAACTCTGGAAAAATAGGTGTTACAATATTTCTTAGTTATTTTCCTGATACAAATTCCTTTTCACCATCTACCTTACAAAATGACCTTTCTTTGTGACTTCCTGTGCATTTCAGAGTATGCACACCAAGTTTCTTTCCTTTCCTTTTCAGCATGAGAAATATACCAGTCAACTTCAGATGAGCTTTAAAGGCACAGCAATGAAAAGAGCAGAGCAGCCAATGGAACATGGTGGAAATATTGAATTCCCCCAAGCCAAGCTGGAGAAAGGAGAGAAGAAAGCAATTACAGGTACCAGTTTAGAAAAACCAGTTAATTAAGATATGGGAGAGGCCTTTCTCCTCTAGAATTTTGATTTATATTTATTTATTACATTTATATAGTCATCCATTTCACACAAGTGACTCTGGGCAATTGACAAGGATTAAAACACAGAAAAATCTACCACGTACAGGTATAACTGTCAATGCCCAAGGATAAAATACCCTACTCATTGAAAGATACATAGTAAGAACAGAGCTCATCTGCTTGATGCTGCATTAGTAGTGTTATAGTGTGAGGAATACTACCTCTTTTGTTTCTTCCTATTGAAGTTGAAATTAGTGCTTGAAGAAGGTTTTAACGAAGCTTGTTCTTTATTTTCCAGAGGGAAACTGGGATCCAAAGAATAAAATGATAGATTTTAATAGATTGTTAGAAAAAGCATCTTGTTATGTGTGCACCCAGTGTGCAGTATATGCTACATTCATGTGCATATTGATATGAAATCAACTTTGCAATGGAATCAATAATTTGGTTTTAAATATTCACTGCCTTTAGAAACAAAACTCTCACTGCCTTCCTTGAGCAAAGGACTAGATAATATAAGGAAAAGGAAAGGAGTCCCTGCGGATTTTACTCCACTGTCATAACTGACTATAGGGGGCAGTGCTCATCTCTGTTTCAAGGGCCATTGAGCCAGCGCTATCCGAAGATGTTTCTGCAGTCATGTGGACAGTATGACATCACAAAATGCTGTTTTCCTTCTCACCAAAGTGGTATCTATTAATCTACTCGCATTTGCATGCTTTCAAACTGCTAGATGGGCAGGAACTAGACCAGGGGTCCTCAACCTGGCCACTTTAAGACTTGTGGAGTTCAACTCCCAGAATGGCTGGCTGGGGAATTCTGGGAGTTGAAGCCCACAAGTCTTAAAGTGGGAAGTTTGAGGACCCCTGAACTAGGCGAAGGTGGGAGCTCACCTGGTCCAGCGATGCTCAGGTCTCAAATCTGGGCTGTCAGCTTTTCCAGCTGATAAGCCCAGCATCTTAACCACTAAGCCATCGTGCTACTTAGATAATATAAAGGATCCCCTAATATTGCAGTTGTTTGTGTTGTGTTTTTTTCACCACAACATACTCTGGCTGATAGTCTTATCTTTACTTGAATTGAAAGTCACTTTCAGATTACCCCAGTTGAACATTTTTAAGGTTATAAACTTAAAGGTAAAAAACTTAAAAGCTAACTATTAAAGTTATTAAACTTGAAAGCTATCTAAATCAGAAGGATTTTGGAGAAGATTTTTTTAAAATTAGAGGGTTTTTTTTCCTATATAAACAAGTCACTGTTTCATTTTCAGCAACTTCAGTATTTATGTGTGTATATATTTATTAGATTTGTGTGCCACCCATCTTGTCTGGTATTTTTTAAGTATTTTATGCCTTTAGGGTTTAAAGTAAGTTCCCTATATCTGTCCTTTCCATTTTTTTTCTTGCTGTTTTTCTTCTCTTGCTTGAAGACTGTGTACATGCTTATTATAATTTTTTTTTTCAGCAGGCAAATGAATAGGTTTTCCCAAAAAATGTGCAGGCTGGGCAAACTTGTCTTTGTCTTACAAGTCGTGCATGAACAGTTTAGATTAGTATTTCTCAAGTTGGGCAACTTTAAGATGGATGGACCTCTACTACCAGAATTCCTCAGCCAATCACAGTGGAGTATTCTGGGAGTTCACAAGGTTGAGAAACACTGGTTTAGATGATTCATGGGGCAGAGAATGCAAAATTTCTGATGAACTGTATTTCCATAAAAAATTACAAATTGAATCACCTGTTGCAACTTTGGGAAAACAATAAAAACAACTTTATTTTAATTTACCTCATTGCCTTACCATCAGTCTATCATTAGTACTAGGCATTGTTCTTAAAATTAATTTTGGATTCTAATTTTAAACCATCTCATAAAATGTTAATGTATAGTTTGTCAGCTAAAAATGCCCAAAGCAATAAGAAAATAACAATATTTTAAGAAATTTAAACAAAAAAAAATCCAACTTCTTACTTTTTTTCCTTGATCTATCGTAACTTGCAATATATTGAAATTTTCAAACTTCACATAGTCTTTTTTTAAATAAGCTTTTGCAGCAGTTTAATTTTTTAAATGATTTCTGTAACTGAGATATGTGATTTGTGTTTCTTTTGGGCTTCAGAAATTGTTTATTGCAGAAATAAAATATAAATAGCATGACAAAATAAATCAATATAGTGGAAGATGATAAGGAATTCTTGGAAGTGATTTCATCTGGTTGCGTTTGCATTTTGAAGTCCACTCTTCCATACTTAATGTGACTTCCAAAAAGGTATTTTGACCTCGTCTTGATGTAATCAGTTAACTGTGTTGCAAGAATAGATCAGTGGCTGAAAAGTGGTTTATCTAAGTATAAGAAGTAACACAAGTAGCAATACAGAGACCCACAATTCAGAAAATTAACAATAATGAATGGGGCTCAAAACTGAAGGTTATGCTTTGTGGAAGTATGATCTCATACAAGCAATCCTAAAAGAAAAAAAATGTGAAAAGGAAGTACAATTATGAGTGTCCCAAAATGGGAAGGAAATCTACTCATTCGTAGTCTTTAGTATTCTGAGACTTTGGTTAAACTTTAACCAGCAAATTTGTGCCAAGAGCTGTTATTATGGCATGATTCATTTAAGTATATCATATAAGTAAATATTTAATTTGAGATTAAATGCTTTGGGACTAAATTAAGGTCTTTAAAATTGAGGAGGATGGAGGGCAATGTGAAAAAGGAGTTGTTTTTAATTGTGTTTGAGATAATTCTGTTTCTGGTTTCTTCTTAGTATAGTACATGGAATCTTGTTAATTAGATCAGTATATAAGTATTTCTAAAATAATAAATATAACCATAATCATTATCTTGATTTCCAAAAAAGTTAACTCTCATACTCTTAGACAAAACATGAAGAAAGGGATGTTTAAGAGGTTGGTTCTCACTGGTGGTCCAGGATTGCTGGAATCTCTAAGCTCTAAAGGCATAATTGATGATAGGAGACAATAAAGCTGCTTAAAGGAACAATACTGAAAACAGCCAGTGCCATGCAAACCACAAATGCTAAAATATATCCTCTCCTTCTGGATAATGATAGAAAGAAAAAAATGACTACCTCATATAACTTGTCCCCTTTTATTTAATCTGCCATGTTTGTATATGTGTGTGTATCCATTATTGTTCATAGATCTGCTTTCTTATTATTTGGTTAAACAAAGTCTGGTTAAACAATTCTCCCATATGTGGCAGGTAACATGCTGCATTGCTCACTAGGAACAGTGATCCTTAAACTATTTGACCCAATTACTCCTTTTCCCAACCTCAAATAATGTAATTACTACCGCCACCCCACAAAAAATCCTTCAGACAGTTGTTTTCATAAGTGTCTTGGCAGCGGCAGTCCCAAACAAGCAATTACAAATTGCTCCATTACCCCCTGAATATGCCCAAATTACCCTCAGTTTAAAAACCACTGCAGTAGAAGGTGGTTAAAGCTCATTTTCTCAACCTGATGGAAATAACAACTTGCTGGAAGAAGCTGTAATGCAAAGCTGATTCTGCAGTACAGTTAATTTTACATTTTTCTTTGGCAGTTGTTTAAGATTACATGGATGCTTTTCCTGTATGATTTGCTGTTTTCTGACTAAAGGTTATAAAGATTTAGTTCTATGAATAATAGGTTAAAAAAAGATGAACATTCAAGATTTCTCTAATACAAAACCATCTATGAAGTAGGATTTGGCACTGACAAGCATAGTAGGATTCTGTGCTCTGTTCAACAATACAGATACAGATTTTTAAAAAGTTTTGTTCCAAATTATAATGACCTTCAGGTACAAAGGAGGTTACTTCCTGTCCTAGATGCTGACCCTCTATGGCTGTACATAAAAACTTTCCTCTTATGTTAGGTGGATTAACAGAAACATGTACATTAAAACATTTAATTTAGTGAAAACAGACTGATATATTGGAGTAAACAAATATGGATGGGCTATCAATTGAAAGCTGCCTCTGAGAGTTTTTTTTAAATATATAGCTCTTTTTCCTTACATTTGATTAGACTGTATTTTTAGCACAACACTCTGGAGAGTGTTGGCAGAGTGCTCTTTCTAATCTTCCAGTTAGTTGTCCCTGTCTTTTTAGTAGATATGGATGAGTGTTGCTGTCTTTAAGTATTCCTAAATTAACCTGCTTCCTATTCTCCTTTTAATTTCAGCTGTTTGCTAGATTTGTTCTTTCTTTTTGATCCCTGCTTTTATCGCATTTACTGTGGATTTCCTACTTCAGCAGCAAAACCAAGTGCAGAGTCTTCACATAATGTAAAGATAGGCAATTCTTTCTGCTTTCTAGAAACTTCTTAAATGAAGGAATTTATAATTGCTATATATCTCCAATATATGTTAGTTGAAGTTTATTGACTACATTTGGAATAAGCAACCATTTCATGCAAAATAGTGACTGAATCACTGACTTAATCAGAGATAGGATAAAAATGTCTACAAGTTGGTTTCTTTCTTGCCAGCCACTGTATAGATTGCCATGGCTTTCTTCCCAGATGTTTTTTGGATTTCCCTTTTCTTAAAAAATGGTTAATCTGTCTAAAATTCTCAGCATTGTTGATAGGACATCCCTCTCTAGAATGGGCATACTATCTGCTTGGTGACAAAATGAAGGACGTTTGTTTCATGTTTTTATGACATGATTTACATGGATTTGGCTAGTCTAAAGAAAAGAAGAAATAGGGGTAACATGATAGCAGTATTCCAGTATTTGGGGAGCTGCCACAAAGAAGAGGGGGTCAAATTATTCTCCCAAGCACCAGAGGGCAGGACAAGAAACAAGGGCTGGAAAATGATCAAAGAATGAACCTGGAATTAAGGAGAAACTTCCTGACAGTGAGGACAATTAACCAGTGGAACAGCTTGCCTCCAGAAATCGTGTGCATTTCATCACTGGAGGTTTTTAAGAAGAGGCTAGACAGTCACTTGTCTGAAATGGTATAGGACGGTTCTCCTGCTTGAGCAGGAGGCTAGACTAGAAGACCTCCAAGGTCCCTTCCAGCTCTATTCTATTTTACATTGCTCTTGTAAAACAGTGGTGGCCTGCTACTGGATACTCAGTTCTTGGTATTTCTACTTTGTAATAACCTCAGATAACTGGGATAAGAAATATGTCTGCCTTAAAATGCTGTTAGTAGCTCAAATAAATAGTACTGGGTTTCATGAAGTAGAGATGTGACTTGATATAAGGGGACTTCATATATTTGTTCATTAATGTGTACTGAAGTCACAGCCTTGAGAAGACAAGAGGATTCTAGTTAGACAGCTAGAAATGTGCCTAGGGAGCCTCCCTCTCTCCAGGCTATGGACATGCCCAGAATAGTTTTGGATAATTTTTGTCACCACCTTTGAGAGGCAAAGCAGGCATTCTTTCAGTTCAGCCTCAACACAAGACTCCTTTCCATCTTTTTCTCTTCCTTTAAATTCTCTGTAACCAAAATCTACCACCGAATCAGGAAATAATCTGTTTCCCTGATTATCTCTTTCAGTTGAGGACTTTCTGCCTTTTTCCTAGGTTTGCTAATAACATTTTCTCCTGGAAGAGTTCACATCTTTGCATTCTTTTTCTCTTCAGCATAAGTTGCATTTTAAAAATGGGATCATGTATCAGATTTGTGGACATGGTGCCTCATCTTCAAGAATAACTTTGAGGAGTGAAGAGTACACTGCTCTAAGAGTACACCTATGTTTATTGCTCTACTTTTGTTGATTTTAATTGGTTTAATTCCATGCGGATCCTACCACCCCAGTATTTTTAACAGACTACAGTTGCAAGGGCCAATCTGTAAAGAGGACACATGCCTATTGGTTATCACACACTGACATAAATACTGGTACTCCTCACTTAACAATCCTAATTGGGACAAACTGTCCCATCCCACTGAGATTGCCCAGCCCTACCTGTGCTGGCAGAGGAGGCATGCTGCAGGCCCTATCAGCCAGACTCTTCCGGCTGGCCCGGAGTCCAGGAGAAGAGCCTTCTCTGCCATCACACCTGCCATCCTGTCCCCCAGTCGGCTCCAATCCTCCTGACCTTCCACAAGACCTTAATGAGCTGGCTCTGCCAGTTGGCTTAGGGCTCCAAATGTGGGACGGGCTTTACACAGGGGGTGGTTGAGATTAATAACAGATCCCACTTCCCCCCTGCTCATCCTACTTCCTTCCTCCCCATCTTTTATCTAGAATCGTGTGTTGTATTTTTGTAGTATTTTATTTTTATAGTTTTATCCATTTATATTGTAAGCCAGCCAGAGTTATCCTGTGGTAAGATGGGCAGCTAATACATTTAATAAATAAATAAACTCCATCGCTGAGCAGTGTCATTGTTAAGCAAAATATCAGGTGGCAGCTTGGTTACTGATGGCAGTTTCAGCAATCCCAGCTGCTGTTGTTGAGCAAATCTCATGCAGTCATTAGATGAGGACTCTCCCAGATGCAAGCCATTATTGGAAGACAGTGGGATTGCCTCCATTTCAGCCCTCCCACCTAACTATTCCCATCTCTGCCCATTTCATCGCCATCTACCCACTGCCACCAGCTGCCCCTGCCATATTCAGTACTGCCTTGAGAATCATTTGTAAGTCCCTTTATTCAGTACCATTGTAACTTTGGACCATCACTGAATGAATGGATGTTAAGCAAGGATTACCTGTAGTTCAATATGCAAATGCCCGATTGACCTTGATGGTATCTTTAAATGGATCTATTCCCTGCCCTCTACTCCTTAAGCTGTCTGCTGGAATTGATGAGGCAAGAAATGTGCTTGAGGGATTAATGCCATCTGGATAGATGGACATAAAAATTGTGGTGGTGGAGGGAGGGGGATAATTAATGAAGTATATTCCAAGAAACCAGTTCTAATGCAGTTAAAACGACCGAGCAGTTTAGTTATTATTTATTCAAGCTGCAGTGAAAATTGAATGATTCAATACTCAGAGTATGGCAATGTTTTTTTTTTGTTCTGTTAATCTTTTGGCCCTAGAAAATAATCCCAAGGCATATGACATAGCAACTAAGCACAACTAGTCTATGTGCCTGGGTTAAGAATGCTTACAAACTTATTTCTGTCTGTGTTATGGAAGGAAGGTGGTACATAACTGGAACATAAGACTGCTTTTCTTCTTATTCCAAAAGAATTTGTAGAAACAACAGACCCTTGACAATATGGCTTTATGTTTTTTTCCTGTCAGCAGGAGCCAGTAATATAGAGGAGAAGCAAATAATATCATGATGACTGTAAGACTATTTCCAATATTAAAACTGCCTACTTGCCAGTTAATGGGAATGTCATGCAGACTCTTAGGAAAAAAGCATGGGTTTGTTTCAACAGCAATTTTTTATTTAAATCATGGATCACAGATCTGTTTTAATAGTATCTCTCTCTAACCACTTTATATTGGACAAATTGAATAAAGGATCTCATTATCTCTTTTATTGTAACTTGCATTGAGGCCTGATGCAGGTGTTATATTGATTCATTTTTAATTATGCCAATATGATTACAAGCCAACCTTACACCTCTTTGAGGGCAGTGGGCAGTACAGAGATATGAAAAATAAATAAATAAACCTTCAGATTGTACTGCTGCTGGCTTTCTGCGAACTCCCTTTCTTAAGTACAGGTACTTATGACCAGAATTTTGCCCAAAATTTATATTGCTAAATGAGATATTTGTTAAGTGAGTTTTGCCCCATTTAACGACCTTTATTGCTGCAGTTGTTAAGGGAATCATTGCAGTTGTTAAGTTAGTAAAACATTTGTTAAATGAATCTGGCTTCCCCACTGACTTTGTTTGTCAGAAAGTCACAAAAGATGATTGATCACAGATCTCGGGACCATCATAAATATGAACCAGTTGCCAGGCATTTAAATTTTAAGTATATGACCATGGGGATGCTGCAATGGTCATAAATGTGAAAAATGATCATAAGTCACTTTTTTCAATGCCAATTGTTGTAAGTATATACCTGTATATCTGCACTGGATGTAATTGTGGTTAATTTTGTCCAGGTAGTACGAATTATGATTTGAAACCAAAGTTTGAAGTTGTTTAAAGATATAATGTAGAAGCCTTTTTTCCCCAGGTAGATAAGAAGTGAATGGTTGACTATTTTTAAGGTTGATATTTTGTTCTTAATTAAAACACATACTTCTTCCTGTTTATGTTTCTTGTCTACATTTTTGTCCCCAGAGGTAACAACTACTTACCGCACACCACTCTATGGCCAGCCATCATGGTGGGGAGAGGATGATGCCAACAATAAACTGGATTCAACAGGTGACAGAAGGCCAGAAGAACAATATTCAGGTCAGTACAGCTTAGTTCCCATTTAGCAGCAAAAACATGTCTTTTATAAATAAGCAATGAGTTCTAACTTTAGGATTCAACCCTTCCATACTTGGTCACTATCTCTATCTTGCCCTTATTTATTAAGATAATCCTGTTTTGTATTAGGATCTACATGTGATTCATTTTAATAGTTGCTTTGAATTGGTTTGTTGTTTGACCTATGTTACTTGTTATATTATTAAGTTATGAAATTGTGAATTGTTGATATTTTATGGATGTTAAACCTGAGAGCTGATTTCCTCCCTATATAGACAGAACAAAAGACTTAATCCAACACGAAGAAGAAATCAATGGCAACATCTCTGGCTACAGAGAATCTCAAGGCGAGTCTGTCTACGCATTCCGAAGGGAACCCAGCTACTTCGAAATTCCAACGAAAGAATTCCATCAGCCAGTAAAATCTCCAGAGGTGCAAGTCCATGAGATCCCCACCAAAGATGTTGATGTGGCAGTGTTGCCTGTTGTGCAGAGCCATGCTTCTTTTACAATTGAGTTTGATGATTGCACTCCAGGTAAAATTAAGATAAAAGACCACGTCACTAAGTTTTCCCTCAGGCAGAGACGGAACCTCAGCAAAGACACTGGCCATGTGGAAATTATCTCTGCAGAGAGTAAAGTGGCCGACTGGCTGGTACATAATGATCCAAGTCTCATAAGAAGGCAGTCTCCTGGAGATGATGTATACAGTACCAAAAGTGACCTCCCTGTTCACGTGAAGACTCTGAAAGGTAAAGCTCTCACTAGAGGAATTGATGCTCTATGCTTTGTTTGTAACGTGTAAAAAATAAAACAATAAAATTCAGAGCCAGGGAAATTTTGGAATTAAAGATATTGAGAAGGAACACTATGTAGAAATCCAGACTATGTTATAAAATAGGTTCAAACCTCTTTTCCCTTCTGAGAAGGGTTGAGCTAGCATGAGAAGTAAATTGTAAATGCAGTTTCCAAGTGTGCTTTGGAACGTGATTTTAAGAAACAATCAAGGGATTTGTGGTGACTCCTAACAAATAATCTGAATGGGAAAACATAGGAAATTACACATTTTATGGATTCCTGCATTAAAGGGAATTTCTAGTAAAAAATGTCACCAAGGTATTTCTTGGGTTTAATATATTTTTCATACCAGCTGACTTATCTCTCTTTAATATGTTGGTTGTAAGGAAGAGGCTTTTCAGGTCACAATTTCAAATAGTTACATCAAAAAAAGTTTAAGACCTAAAATGTATATATTTTAAATAAAAAACTATGGTTTAAAATTCCTAGTGCTGTGTAAATGTAATTGATAACCCTTAATAGACAAATATATACACTATTAAAACTCTCCTGTTTTGTCTGTTTGTAACTTTCATTTGGGTGAAATGGTGTATCACAGGATAACAATTTTTCAATCAACATGCCTCAGATGGACTCCCTCAAATAATATGTCTCAAATCCCATTGGATTGAACTTTGATGAAGTTGTGGCCACTTCAGTACTGCCATGCCATTACACACCTGTGGTCGCTGTTTCTAACATCCCTTTGTGGGGAAGCCTAAAAACAGTTGAAAGTTACTCTCACTCCCACTGCTTTTTTGTACGCCCCGGTCATTCTTTTTATCTGTTTAGGTAAGGAAATTTCTCTGAAACGAGGATCCAGTAAGTCCTGGGTTGTCTAATGCTGTCTAAAGGAAGGGGCAGGGGGACAGTACTGACATAGAAAGGATGTCTTATCCTAGAATAATCTGATCTGTGTTCCTATTTTTTAGGTAACAGGCATGAAGATGGAACCCAAAGTGACTCAGAGGACCAAGTAGCACCCAAGCCAGAAAAAGAGACAGTTAGCAATGATCATATAGCAGAGCAAGCCAAACTCCAGCGCCAAATTCGACGTGATCCCCAGGAAATGCTCCACAACCAGCAGGCCTTTGTCATTGAGTTCTTTGATGATGACACGCCCCGGAAGAAAAGATCACAGTCTTTCACACACAGTGGCCATTCTACCCAAAATGAGGTTGATCCCACCTTGAAGACAAAAGTTGAAAAACGCAAAATTACAGTGCCTGCTGAGAAGCCAGGAAGTTCTGTGCCCTCCCAACATGCGCCTGCAACAGGAACCAAAGGGCCGAGCAACGCATTCACCACTCCAAGAGCTGGCTCCTTCAGGAGGGAGAAGGCAGATGAGAGGATCAGCCCTTCCTCATCCTCCACATCACGAACACCTGTAAAAAGTCATGGGAGTGTTGGAAGGAAGTCAAAATTAGCTCAAGATTTTGCTGCTGAATGTTTAAGGGAAAGCTCTCAAGCGACTCAGCTCAACACTGAAAAGCCCCCTCCTGTGCCAACACCACTAAACTCCCGAGCAGTAATTGTCCCATCAGCACCAGAAACAATTCCTCCACCAGTTGCTGATCCTAAAGTGGCCAAAGCTAGGAGACAGGAAGAGGAAGATAGCTTGAGTGAAACAGGCACTTACACTATTGAAACTGAATCACAGGACAAAGAAGTAGAAGAAGCTCGAAAAATGATTGATCAGGTAAGCTCACAGTTTTTAAAAATAAAAAGAACTAGCACATTTTTGCCATTTAGAATTTGTTTACCAAAACATTGGGGTAAGAATAGTAAGGCCTGGTACATCCACTATACTGCTGCTAACCAACTAAATTAATAGGATTAGTAGCTTTCCTTGGCCCCATCTTGCATTTGCTTATGAGTTTACTTGCTCTTGCTTTAAATATGGCAAATTTAAACTAGTTTTCTTTTTATCCAGCTTGGTTTTATAGCTGCCAAACCCTTCTTTGATGGAAACCCAGATTAAGCTTGTGCAACTAAAACGATTGCAAAATCTGCTCTTAAATAAGGCATTAATGGAGAAGGGCCAATTGTCTTGTGTGTGTGAGTGTGTGTGTGTGGGGGGGGAGAGAAGGAGGGAGAGAGGGGGGCAAAAAACTGGGATCATACAAAACCTGTGGCTGAATCCTGATCAGACAATCCTGACTGAAAATGTCATGTCTGCACTGGAACAAAATTTTGTAGTAGCTAAGTCTTATTTATCATAGACTGCAGGGAAGGCATATAAATTTAATAAGTAAGCAAATAAGGTTGATTAGGGGTTTATCTTTTACACAAAATTTTAAAAATCATTGCATGTTGAAAGAGAAAAGGGTATTGGGGTTGTGTTGTGTTACATGCAATATTTGAAAGAGCCGAATTTCTATTTTTCTTAGCTAGGCTTGTGCAGCTTGTGACCTTCCAGTCAAATGTGGTTGATCAAGCATCTTGACAACTACCTAGTGCTTATAGAGGTATTCTGCCGGTAGTCAAAGGACACGGTACTACGTCACTAATCCTATTTCAGTTAGGAAACAATGCAAATTTTAGAACAAGCCAAGTTAAAAAAATGCAAGAGGGTGCTTGGAAACAGGGCACTCAACCAAGCTGCAGTCAGTAGATAAATAAACTTAGACCCTGTCTCTGGATATATAAAAAAATGTAACTCAAGATTTCCTTTACATGCAATTAACTGCTTTCCAGAGAATTCAACTATGAAGAGAATTTGATGTAGTAGCCATGTTAAGACTAAGAACTGGGAGATCGTAAGTATTAGGCCTCTCTTTGGCATAAAAACTTGCTAAGTGGCTTTCAGCCAGTGACTCAGCCTAATCCAACTCACAAGGTTGTTGTATGGAAGGTGGGAGCATTTTGCATGCATCCTTGAGCTGCATCAGATAAAGAAATTGTAAAAACAACAGCTCTTTTCCCACTCAGGAAAGAGTCTAATTTTTCTGAGATATAATAGTTGGCCATGTATAGGGATAGTTAGCCATTTATAAAAGAAAAGCCTTCAACTGCATTTGTAGTGGAAGAATACTTTTACTAAGACAAGTGGTTACAGAACAGGAAAAAACAGATCTGAGGTTTGCGTGCGAAAGCTGCCTACGTACTTTCCCCTTTCCCAGGTCCTCCCGCTGGTTATCTCCCTAGTGTCCAGTTAGATTCAAACTTACTGTTTTGATAACAGTTCTGGTATTTGGCAGTCTCGACGATGGTTTGCATTCCATTCCCACCTCTGACTGCCTTGGGGTCTCTGGCAGGTTCTTGGATTGGTTTCTGTTTCTTGTCCCCCCCCCCAGTTGATAGTTCCCTCTTCCCATTATTCATGGCAGTCTGGCATCAACAAAGCAGCAGTAAGGCAAAGCAGGATGGCAGCACTGAATCCATTGCCAAATGAGAGACTTAATTTCCCCTCATCATCCCCACATGATAGTGTTATCTAGTATGGGGATGACATTTGCAACCACGAAATCTAGTAACAATACAATAGGCTAACTTTGAATTACATACATTCTCTGCTATATATGTATGTATTTACTGATGGCTTGTTCAAGGAACCCTGTGAACTACTACAACAGTTTTGCCTCTTCAGTTTTGATAAACCTGCTCTTGCATGAACTGCAAGAATAGGGGGATTGTAAACATGTAGTTGGACAGCTGCATTGGGGTTGATAATTACAGGTTGGGTAGACATGTATTATATAATAATTAACAATGCTATATCAATTTGGAATGTGTTTTCCTATTTGTTCTAAACTAATGCTTTCTTATGCAAAAATAGATAAAAGATGGTAAAAAAGATGTGAAAGGAGTAGGCACTCTGATGATTCCCAGTGTTTTAAATTACAGTACAGCTTTCATATTCTCAAACATCTCAGCCTGTAGATTGATAATGGTGGACCTGGAAGCTCAAAATATCAGGAAGGCAAAGTTTGCCTTTCCCCATTTTTCCGTGGTGACACATTTCTCTGATTCATCCCATATTGGAGTAATAATTGCAAGAATAACATCCTTGTCGCCTGAGAGCTGCCTGATTGAGCCTCATTTTTTTGCTTCTGGCCTCCCAGATCTTGCCATGCCAAGATGAAAAAATCTGTAAGAAAGAGCCTCTCAACCTGCTAATCCAGAATTGAAGGGGGGATTTGTTTAAGCTTCCTTTATCTTTCTGGTCACCAGGTTTTTGGTGTTTTGGAGTCTCCTGAATTTTCCAGAATTTCTTCAACCTACAGGCCAGTTATAAAAGGCGAAAAAGAAGAATTAGGGCACAATCATTTGCTTGGGGAAAACGGCTCAGCTCCAAAGATGACGATGATGCAGGTCATCGCTTCCAAAGTGGCAACGGGTCATCATGCAGATATGCAGGTACAGTCAATATGTAAAAATAGTATCCAACTTCTTATTCACCTACACATTGAATAGAACTGGAGGAGATGTTAATGCAATTTTTGAAGAATGTTTCCTTTTGATGTTATTTATGGTAATCAGAAGTTTAGATTTACATTGGTCACAAGCTCATGTCACTTACAGCAGGGAGTTTTGTTGATATTACACAGATAATTAATACCCAACAGTTTTTGCCTCAAAAGGTGCACAAAATGGATTTGTAGTTAGAGATGCTTGAAAAGTTCAGTTACAAAAAAGAAACAAACATACAAGTGAGCTGCCTAGACTAATATGCAGATTGGAATGTGTTTAAAGTGGGCTTTTACTCCTCTCCCCCAGGTTTTGCAATACAGTGCACAGGTGTTGTTTTTTTTAAAAAAAAGCTAATTTAAATACATACCCAGCTATAAATTCTAGGAAAAAGTATTTGGAAATATAACCTGCAGTATGCAATTTATTATAGAAAGTGAATAATCATATGTATAACAAGTGTGGATTAGAATTTATATCCCTATTTTTTTGAAATGCTCAAATAGCCTTAAAATATTTATTTACTTTGGAATAAAACTCCATTTAACTCAGTGGGTTTTATTTTTGAGTTTATGTACAGAGACTAATGTTTTTAACTGCATTCTTTTACATTTGCATACCTGGAAATTTCACAGCAGTGGAAATCAATATAAATGCCTGTACTTTATAACCAAACCAATCTTAATATTAAAGATACAAAAGCATTTGAAAAAAAACCCTTAATGAACTGAGTCCATCCCTTACATTACTTCACTCATATTATTTTAAAACTAAGGTTTTGATCTATGCCTTTTTTTACTGTTATATAGAACTTATTACTCTGATGCTAATATAAATATGTTCCAGCCTAGATTTGAAATATATGATTTCAGTGTTTAAATAAATATGATATTAATAAATGATACTGTAGACTTCATGTTGACTTTAAAAAATTATTACTATTTTGTAACTATCATGTAATACAAGCTCATATTGGGAGCTCTTAGACTTCGATTACTATCTGTAATCAGTTTGATTCTGACTTACGTTCATTGCTCTGGGTGAAGAAGTGGGAAGCAGTTTTGGACTACCTAGAAAAACCTGAAAGGGCATCATTGGGAACTGTAGACTGATTGAAGAGGGAAAAAAAAAATCAATGTGCGACTTCTTTTCTCGGTTGAATCTTCCACTGATCTCTCACTTTCCTTTAAAAATCAAATCTGAATCCAGCTGTGTTTCAGCAAAGCAGTTACTTATGAATATCTAGCTGTGATGGAATTTTAAAATGCCACACTAAACTTTGGACAACCTTGTTTTAACCATGTCACATCTTCTGCCTTTTGCAGATGTCCTCTTCAGCCCAAGGTAGCCAAAAATGGGTCTCAAGATGGGCAAGCCTTGCAGATAGCTACACAGGCTCAGGTTCTGCCCCTGGACCTGGGGATGCTGAGCCGGCTTCCCTCTGTCACGTTAACACAGGTAGATAAGGCAACTGATGTCATTCTTGTATTTCAAAGGACTTTAATTGTATAAAATCAACTTGTTTCTGTACCCATTTTCCATTGATTTAAATGTGGGTTTATATTCCAAGCTTATAATTTAATGTTCCTAAACTGGATATTTTTGCTGGTAAGAATTCTTTTATATAGGAGGCAATATCAAACTATGTGATACCTGAGGAACATCCCCCATGTCCAAATGTGAGTAGCTTCTGCTTTGGAATTCAAATTGGCTAGCAGTGCAAATTTTTCAGTATTGAAGTGATATGATCAAAGTAAATTTCTTTGCATATGTACGTTGTATTGATGTAAACTTTTCTACTCAAGGTTTATTGATAATTTCTAGGCTGTCATTTGTCAATGACTCTTATTGTCTTACAAGGATTAGCATATACTACATTGCAATATTTTAGATAGGATGTAGATAATTTAGAAATGGACACAGGTGACATACTAAATTAAATGCCAAGTTTTTCTCATCATTTGACAATCCTTTGAAAGCATATGGTTAAGGAGCCAGCCCATACTGTGAATCAGGTTTTTCAGAAGAATGTAACTTATTTATGAATCATTGCATTCCAATATAATATGAGTTCCCTACTGACAACAAAAGCTCCATCCTTTCTTAATTGAATCTCAGGTTATTCATCTCTGCCATCTCACCATCTCATTTAGGCAATATTAAAGAGTATCAACCAGCCATTTGGAGTTAGATTTTATAAAATAGTAGAGATGAATGTCACTATTAACATTTCATTCCAGAGGACCCTTCCCAATGAGACTACATAAAAACAGCATAGAAACCTGTGAGACTTCACAGGTCCATTATCTGTGGATTCACTCACTTCGTACTATCTGTACACAAACTGATAAGAAATATTGGAAATGTTGCAGTACAATGACTTCAATGCTTCCAGTAGCTCAGAAAGATACTATAATAAATGGTATTACAAATTGCCTTGAAATACAACAGAATCCATTTGATGAAGTTTAAAACTTAAGCTTAAAAAATATTGTATCCTACAATTTGAGTTTGATGAAATGTCCTGTTCATACTGCCATATTTTACTCATGTCAAAAGATTTCTGGAAAAGGGAGAGAAGAAATACCTTCAAAGCAGAGTTTAGTTGTTCTTCATGCATCAAAACACTAAACATGAAAACAAGTTTTCTATGCCAGTTCCCTTCTTTCATGCCTTTTTTTGCCTCATGGAATGTGATTGAATTTATTTATGGAGCTGTCCTGAAGATTTTAGAATTCTAGAAAATCAGTTCTAAAATCTTGGCAAGAAACTCCATGGAGGAGGAAGGCATTTTTTTTCTCTGTAGAGAGTGATGAGTGGGACAAAGGGACAAAGCTAAGAATAGAAGAACGGCAAAGACAACACAAAGCTCTCATTTCTCACTATCTTTGCATACAACAAGACATCCTAACTTTTGAGTTTAGTTACTGTCTCCCTATCTTTTTCAGAAAAGGATTCCAGTTCCAGAATGGGAGAATCTGAGATTTCAGTGGCATCACGGACCAGAAGACTTCTTCCTCAACTCCCTCCTGGTGAAAAATTGGAAAGTCCAACACCAACTATTTTAATTTGTCAGGAGACTTTTCCTGAAGTTTCCCAAAGGAACTTTAGTAATGAGTCCAGGGAAGAAATATATGTGGATTCTGACACTCGGTTGTTAACTCAGGAAGATTTGGATCCAGATAGCCTTAGTGATGCCAGCAAATCTGATGATGGTATCAACTTGGAAAAAGGTAGGAAAAGCCAAGATGGCACCAAAATATTAGAACAGGATCGAATAAAGGCTGAATGTGCAAAATCTAGAAGCTCTCAGTGTCCTATGCCAAGACTTTCAGGCTTGAGAGCTCTAAGTGATCCACTGTCAACATCTTTCTATATGGGTGATGAGGCAGAAGAGATTGGGGTGCCTTCAAAGCTTACTTCAAACATACCTCCTCCTCCTCAAATAGACAAAGAAGAACCTCCTTTCAAGTATGGAAAGACAGCTGCCAAAGGAATGAACAATACCTGTCTTTACTCAAATGGAAAAATGATTATGTCATTACACCAGGGACTACCAGAACAACAAGTTGTAGCCACAAAAGAAATTTCATCTTTTGTTAGGCAAGAGAGTTTTACCAAAGAGAAGTCAAGCAGCAACATTCCTCAAAACAGGCTGCCGCATATCTCAAGTCATCCTCTACTGAAAGATCTTGAGGTCACACGAGCAAATCGTATGGACTATAATCCTGAGACCCATCTCCTTCTTAAAGACACTGAAACTGCACTGGCAGCCTTGGAAGCCAAAATACTTTGTCAAACTCACCAGCTAGATGCTCCAGAAAATCCTTCTGGGCAGTTAGAAGATTCTTTATCTGGAGAGTCTGATGTGGACACAGCCAGCACTGTCAGCTTGGTAAGTGGTAAAAATCTGCCAAGTCACCCACCAAAGCAAAAATCTGTGACATCTTTACAGAAAGAGAGGTCATCATCCACACCATCTTGCCAAGAGCAAAATGTTCAAGCTAGTGCACGTGAAAGGCTTTCAGAAAAACGGAAAGCAATTCCACCTGAGACTGGGAGCAAAGGTGAAAATGCAAGGCGTTTTCAAGTGAAACACAGCATAGGAACAAGTGGATCTCAGGATTATACAGATGATGAGAGAAGTAGCAGCCTCCCGTATTTGCCTCCAAGTGAAGTAGCCTCCTCTGACCAAGAACAAGCCCCCTCAAGGCCTCTTTCTAAGAAGAAGCCTTTCTCGCAGTCAGCCAAAGAAGATCATAGCAAAGTAACCACAACGGTTCAAAAGATTCAACAAGTTCTTACCAGGTCAAATAGTCTATCAACCCCAAGGCCCACGAGAGCCTCCAAACTTCGCCGTGCCCGGTTGGGAGATACCTCAGACAATGAGAGTGCCGATGCTGAGAAAACAGCAGCACTTCCTGAAGGAACCACAGCATCTTCCAAGCAACCCGTAGAGGCCAAGAAGCTCTCAAGGCTTGACATTCTTGCCATGCCAAGGAAACGGGCAGGATCTTTCACAGTGCCAAGTGACTCTGAAAGTGCCCCATCAAAGCCAACCTTTTCTGGGCGCAGTGCAGAGTCGTACTATTCTACTCGAAAACCGCTGGTGTCAGAAGCTAAAAATGCTGTTAAGAAAACAGCAGCAGCAGTCGCTGCTTCCAAGCAATCTTTCAGCAGAACACGTTCCAGCAGTGTGAAATATGCCTCTACCTCCAGTGAGTAATTGGGTCTTTGCACTTTTTTTCTTTATAATTATGATTTTCCAACACAAATCGCCTACATTATGCAAAAGATAACAGTTGGAGATGACTCTAACCCCTTGTCATAATATAATCCTCCTTCATATTTTTTTTTTACTTTTCCATTTGTATAATCATAACAGAATTCCCTTCTTATTGGTTTATTTGAAATTTCAAACACTATTATAATGCAACTGTCATGTTCAAAGTCACTGTGTCTACATCCTGCATGTCCAGCCTCTTATAATTTCCATCACACTTTTCTGGATAGCTGCTTAGATAAGGTACTGATAAAATGCTTCTATTTCTATCTAGGAAAAGAATGGTGTATTTTCTCAATATCCTTCTTTTGAATTTTCTAAGGCTCCTGAAAGTGCCAAAACTGCATATTTCTTAGATCAAGCAATATACTTGGGAATTATAAATCTCCCTCCAGTGTCTTCTAAATTAGAATTTTAGATTACACTAGCAAAATAGGTGTGATATAAGTCATAGTACTGACATGGGCAGCATATACATTTAATAAATAGTAAAACAAACAACTTTATAACCTTCAAATGGCAAGGCAGCTATAATTGATATGGGGTCTCCTTGGTAGAGGATTATATTTACAGAAAAGACAGAGTCCATTTTCATCAGATATGCACATGTGGTTTGAGTAATAACAGTGTAGGATGAGATAAGCAGCACTATGTTCTCCAGATATTTTGGATTGCAACTCCCACAATTTTTGCCAGGAGCAATAATATCTGCGACCAATAGGAGTTGACATCCAAAAGTTCTGACGGCACCAAATTTCCTATCCTGAATCTAAAAAAACTTCTTGCCAAACTGCGTTATTTTACTAACTCCTGTGTTTTTATTTATCACTGGGAGACACAGAGATTGTAACAAAAGACTATAACTTGACATATCTCCAAGGAATGAGTTTGGAATATGCAGAACCATTTATTTATAAGTAATTTCAATTTATCTCTAGTGAATATTTAAGACAACTTCTGTTCAAATGAATCAAAGCATTTGAATGGCACCACATATAAATGGACTACATAAATAATAGTGCACATGATGTGTCAGTAAGGACCCAAAGTTGTGGATCATGTATTTTGGGGCAATGCTGCTTTTTTCAGTTTTCACCTCAGTCTTAATTTTGCCCACTCTTTCTTTCAAATGAATTGGTTTTTTGATCTTCTAGTGTTTTGCAGCAATGGCTAACAAGTTTCAGTGTAAAAATTAAGATTGGGATTATATACAAATCATCACGTGACTAATATTTCTAACCTAACTAATGATCTGTAGGTTGTGGACTTTCTACCTAATCTGTATTGACTCTAGTTTGTAGAAGGGCAGTTCTACAAGTGTTTTAGCATTCAGTCTTGACTAATAGCATATATAACATAGTTTTGTCTCTTGTGAATACATTTTGGGATGGGTGAGACAGAAGTAAACATAGATAACTTTAAACCCAGAGATAAAAGAACCTCATAGAGCAGTTCTGAATCATTACTTTCCAAAAGCAGATTGCATTGCTGCTGAAGTATGTAATAAAAAGATATTCTCCAAATTGTTGCTTTTCTAATAGACCTATAGCAAATTGTTGCTTTTCTAGTAGACCTATAGAGTTGGGGTGCTAAGGGAACTGCAGTCCAATAGCTCTGGAAGTTACAGATAGTCCTTGACTTATAACCATTTATTCAGTGACCATTTGAAGTTGCAACAGCACTGAAAAAGTGACTTATGATCATTTTTCACACAACCGGTGCAGTATCACATGATCAAAACTTAGATGCTTGGCAACTAGCATGTTTTATGACAGTTGCGGTGTCCTGGTATCATGTGATCACCTTTTGCAATCTTCTGACAAGCAAAGTCAATGGGGGAAGCCAGATTCACTTAACAACCATTAATTTAACAACTGCAGTGATTTATTTAACAACTGTGGAAAGAAAAGTCATAAAATGGGGCAAAACTCACTTAACAACTGTCTTGCTTAGCAACAGAAATTGTGGTCATATGTCAAGGACTATCTGTATTGTTATAACAGAAAAAAAATCAATGGATTTGTCTTTCAGTAAATGCAACCAGGAACATCTGATTTAGGCAGGCCTTTGCCTTTAACTCTTCATCATTATGTACAGTGTGAAGGCCACACAGCCCCACAAAAACAATCTCTTATATATAACATGAGAGACCACCAAGTTACCCTTCTTGTAGAGTTTTCTTTTTCACTCACTGCCTGTTTACACAGTCAGTAATTCTGAAGTAATTAATTCCCCTTTGTTAATTGCTGGATGATATAAATTACAATTAAACAAAAAGACTTGGAAAGTTAAAGTTATCTACAGGTCACTGTTCTCTGTGGAGATAAATAGCCACATAGTACCAGCCTTTGTCTGTTGCCTTGAGCATTTAGTTTAATAGAGATTGGAGCTCAGGGTAAAGGCTATAATTCAGGAATAAAAGCTCTTTTGAAAGTCTTGATTCCCATTTCTGGCATCTCAGAAGATGAACACTTAAGATCCCTTTCTAACAGTTAGAAAGCTGCTGCAAGTTAATGTAGGTAGTGTCTAAAACAAGCTAGACTGGTTAGCTCTCTGGGCCTCAGCATATAATATGGTGTTGCAAGCCACAGAGTCACTCAATAGTGACATGGGTATTTTATTAATGTAATAAAATATAAACAAGGCAATTTAGAATCAAATGTGTCATTCCATAGCAAAAGAAAAAAAGTACTAATCTTACTTTAAATAAAGGCTTTCTTCTAAATTCATTTTACTGCCGTGCTGTCACAGCTACTATAAAGTGTAGAATGCAGACTTAGATAGATTTGAAGTCTAATCTAAAATTTTGAATCTTTGTTTTATTTTACTTCTTTTTGTAGTTTCTATAGTCAATAGTTAAACTGTAAATGTACTGCTGGGAAGATTGAACCATTGCTTTATTAAAATTGTTATCTCTGTCTTCAAATCTCTTATAAACTATTTTGAAACAGTTTGAAACAACTGAATAAAAAAAGAGCAATGCTGAATGAAATATCAATTTAAGGAACCTGTAGTATGAGGAGTAGTATAAGGAGTGGGGTTTGCTCCTTACGAGCACTGATGATGTTACCTAGATTGGGTAATGAAAAGTCTGCAAGAAAGCCAGCAAGCTCAGAGAGCACCAAGGACCTCTCATCTCAACTCTGAGTTACAAATATTCCCCTTTATTGGAACCTGTAGTATTCCTGACTGTGTAAACAAGCCAACCATTTCTGCTTTTCCTGCTAGCCTTAGAGGTACTTACTTACTTGTACTTGGAAATGGAGCCATCTGAAATTAAAGATTCCCAAGGCAAACACATGGAAGACTAACTTGTCTAATTGTCTCTCTTGCTGCCTTCCGTGCACGTTGAGATGAAAAACCCATGCCACATGTAGAAAAATCCTACTGTGTCAAAGTTTACAGTTGTATGTATATCTACCTAGCAAAATATTTTTCATTCATTGATAATTGATTAATTTATGACAACAGGCAGAAGATGGGGGTGACCACTTTACCACACATTTCATCACACATTTGCACTTCATCTGATGAATTATCCCTACTGCTTGAGAGGTTGATATAAATGTTCTTAACCCTATAGGATGAATTGCTTCTCTGCTTGTGTGCCTGTGGCTATATAAGGAACTAACAAATGTAGAGCATGGGGCAGTGTGAAACAACTGATCCCCGATATTACATGTCCATCTAACTGTACCCAAAAGTTTTGCACATTAGACAAACCTGCAGAGACAAAGCCCCTAAAGGTTTCTGTACAATAGGAATTGGCAATCTTAAATTTGATGGAACCACAAAACTAAAAATACACTGTAAAAGATAGCTGATATCTCACAAGATAATTAAATTTCTGGTGATTTTGGTATTTCTTCATATTTCTCAAGACTTTGGGCAAGAAATTTGGTGTTCTCATCAAATCTTTTGAGATAGCATAGTACAAAGAAATTCTATTAGAAATCTCTAGTGAGATTATAAATGAAATTTGAAGTTTTTATGCAGTTTGGGGCATTGTTTTATTTTTTTTTTCAATGCTTATGTCATTGCAGTGAAGCCAGGCCTTGTCCTACCTGATTGAGGGGCTGGGGAAAAGGATCCAGTTGAGCATGTAATCAGCTCAGCTTCCAAATGGAGTAATATCTCTTCACTGGGGAGCATGTCTTATCTAGCAATGATGAAAACATTAGCAAGTGGCCACCAGATGATTGGAAATAAAGAGTATGACAGATGTGTGATGAAGCGTATGATAATTGGGTCATCTACATTCATTCCAGCTAAAGTGCAAGCCTTTGATTTTCTCACCTATTAAAAATTTCTTCCATCTCATGGTATGCACAGAAGTTTTCTTGCCCCTTCCTTCTTTTCTTGGGCTGATTGCATTTGTGTTATGGCTTTTTTGAAGTCTTGTCTTTACTTTTCTTCAATTTTTTCTTCCTTACCACCATCTGAAAACCAATTCATTTTATATAAGCTTCGAGGAGGCGGCATCAGGGCTCAGATTATACTTCCACTTCCGAGGAGGAGTATGGCTCAAATCACAGTTCCCCTAAACACAAACGCTCCCATACCTCAACAGCCACCCAGACCCCCAGGACCCGCGGCTCCGGGTTGAATAAACAGAAGCATAGCAACAACCGAGAGATGGAAGATGAAGATTATGGTGAACAGGATCCCTACAGTTTCATTGTGCAGACTGCAGAGATAGCAGAAATAGCCAGGTGAGACACAGGTTGGCAATACTTTGAGCAATGGATCAAACTGTTGGAGTGGACACAGGTGAGAAAGGATTACACTGAATCCAAAGAGAAACTAATTTGGCATTAAATGAACCAATATGGTGAGTATGCTGTACAGTGATTTTACAGTACTTTTTAGCACATTTGCCCCATGTCTCCTACCATCCACAACACAAGCTTGACATAACTGAGAACTGCTTCATTTTACCATGCCTACCAAAAAATAACATTCACAAAAATAACATTCACAAAAAATTCCATTCAGCTGCTGCTTCAAATGTACAAAATAATCGACCCTGTCCATCTCCAACCCAAGAATGGATAGCCTGTGTTTTTGGCAACCCTTGGGGCTTCCACTGATTGGATTGGCTGAAGATCAGCACCGCAGGTTCTTTTGTTTGGAATGTCAGGTGTGGGACTTGCAAAACTGCAAGTAAGCTCTATAATAGGCAATCTTTAGTCCTGCCACTTCTAATCTGCAGCCGTTACTCTCTCCAACCTCAAAAGCTATTAAGTTTTTGCCTCCTTCAACATGTTTCAGTTTAGGAAAATGCAAATGTATATAATTAACTTACCAATTTAAAATAGTAAGTTGAAATGGTTATATGACAATCCTGATTAAAAGACTGGTTCCAATTCTGGCAAACCTAACTTTGTAGAACTAGATTTAAAAACATCAACCAGAACATTTCGAATTACGTCCCACAGCATTTGTCATAATTGCATTTTTATTTTCAGATACAGTTTATTGCCCTGACATATTTAACAATTTGTTTATTCCAAGCAATTGAGGGAGCAGGGCAGGTAATGTGACTATTGGGATTAGCTGGAAAACTCCAGAGCCATTTTCCCTTTGCTTTTACTTCAACAGTTGATTGGGAAAACGGACTCCTACTAGCTCAGTGGTCAACTCAGGATTCCAATGTCTTGGTTCTGACAGACAGAGACAAAGCAGAACTCTGAGGCTTGGAAATTCCTCAAAGAACATGTTTATTAATTACAAAGTATCGGTACGATCAAAAGTGAAACTAAGTCTGAATTTCCAATTAAAAATTACCCAGTTACAAAGTATATTGTCCCACCTACCAAACTATGCAATCAACTACGTTCCCCAATGTATTCATTTGAGAGGCTTTTTATACAACACCCAGTCCCTGATCGCGGGAGCAATAGATGACCTTGGTTCCCACAGGACAGAAGATTATTTTGACTAGCGAAGCACCTGGGCAAAGCCCCCCTTCCTTCGTTTTATGTGGCAACCTAGAATGAAGAGAAAAATTACTGCAGCCAGGTTCATTGGAGAGTTGACACCCTTGTTCTGTTGGTCCCGTGTCCCATGACATACTGGTACCTGAAATCTGAAACCCCGGAAGTGGCAATACTAAGTTGGATAGATCAAATTTAGGTTCAACATGTTACTGTTTTCTAAATACTTTGTAATTTTTGATGTCCTGCAGCATAGTTGCATACTCAACCCCAAATTCACTGATTAGATCACAGTGAAATATAGATTTTGGGACTATAACTGCCCTTCCCATTGGCATTCTGGCTGAGATTGATGAGAATGAAAATCTGGAAGGTACTTGTTGTCTATTCTTTATAGTAATTTTCTTCAGTATATAAGTATAGTTCTTCTATAAAACTCTCTATTTACAACCCTATAATCCCTTAATTCGGGGTAGAATTGGGGTGCTGGATGGAGCTGAGTATTTACTATCCAGATGCCTTTCTGATGCCTACATGGAATTTGCAGCAGATATTTTTTCTTTGCACCCTAGGAGAGAAACATCTGCTGCTACCTAGGATAGAACTAGGCCATCACGCCGGTCAAATACAGTCCTTCAATATCAAGCAGAAAACATTACATGAGAAACAATTTTTATATTTTTTTAAATAGCAAAACTAGACACTGTGTTTTTCAAATGAATATAATTAATATCTAGATTACATTTTAGATGCTTCCATGTCAGGAATCCTTCTCTCTGAATTCTTTAACTTCTATTTATTTTGTATGTAGAAGGAGACAGAAAGTTCCTTCTAGTTATGAGCAATACATTGTATTAAAATTTATCAGTCCTGTTTAAAGTGTTCATACCATTCTTCTAGATTAAGCCAGACCTTGGTAAAAGATGTAGCAATCCTTGCTCGAGAGATTCATGATGTTGCTGGAGATGGAGATTCCCAGAGCTCATCTGGAACAGGCCCAAGTACTGCCCACAGTTCTGTGCCTAATACTCCTGCTTCAACCATCTCGGCAAGAGAAGAGGTATGGGAGTTGCTTAAAGTTGTGAATAAGTGGGTGCAACTTCATCGACCAGAAGTCCAACCTGATTCATAACAAGCATTCAATTATGTTCGCATGCAGGCAAGGTTATTCTATAGATGGTTATTCTGTACTAAAGTGGTAAACTTCTTGCAACATATCCATAGCCAGAATTTGGCTATGAAACAGCTGGGATTCCTGTCAATCATGAGGGACTTTGCAGTTTGTGGGAAAAATTTCTCACCCACAACTTGGAAGAGGTTTTATTTTTTTAGTGATGATTAGACAAATCATTGTGTTAAACTTGTATAAAAGGCACAATCAAGAAAAACATGACTCGTGGATTCAGTCATACCTGATCCGTATGAATATTGCAATATTGGAATTTTAGGGGAATTTACCTTCCAGGATGAGTGAAGGGGCAGCATTAAAACAAGCTCTGGAAAAGTTAATACTCCATTGAAAATTGGAGTAAGAGATTACAAATATTTTGTAGGACTGTGCCTCTAAATTTTCCTCTGGGTGAGAGACCTTTTGCATACTGTATGTCTCAACTTATTTTTTTAAATGTATTTAATACATTGCCTATTATTTCACCGGCCTTATCCAAAACCAAAATTAAAATAAACTGAGAAGATCAGTTGTATGTATTTAAATTATCATGTGTGTTCACCAACAAGATCTAAAACTATCCCTTGTAATTAGAGAAATGACTTCAATTGGGGCCATATTAATCTTTAGGCATTTGAATTGAATTGATTGTCAGATTCTGGTTTCCATTTTGAAGAATCCTGTCCACAGTCTCCCGACTCCAGCCTTGGGCAGGGGGTTGAAGAAGACGACCTCCAAGGTCCTTTCCAATCCTATGATTCAGTCTCAGTACTGCACTGTGCACATATCTGGGTGTGGTAAACAAAAATGTTTGTACTTTGTATTATTATTACTATTAGTGTCTGGTACTTTGGCCACCTAATGAGAAGGAAGGACTCACTGGAGAAGGGTCTAATGCTGGGAAAGATTGAGGGCAATAGAAGAAGGGGACGACAGAGAATGAGGTGGCTGGATGGAATCACTGAAGCAGTAGGCGTGAGCTTAAATGGACTCCAGAAGATGGTAGAGGACAGGAAGACCTGGAGGAACGCTGTTCATGGGGTCGCGATGGGTCGGACACGACTTCGCAACTAACTATTGTTACATTAGCCAAGAGACCACAATGCTATTGCAGAATAATAGTATGTGACATTTTCACGCGCTTCCCAAGGTGTGCCACTAGAGGGCAAGCTGGCTGCGTTTTGTCATAGATGTGAAGCAAACCAAGTGCCAGCTGCATTTATTTGTATTGTTTTAGGGCTATGAGATGTAGATTGCAAAAATGGAGATGACCTCTAGATGGTAGAATCTTATGGTTCTCTGATAGCACTAGATGTGATGGGTATTGTTACTTCTTTGATTTTATTTGGCCTTTTTGATTGTGCTATCCTCTTCTTTGCATTTAATTCTTCTAATCTTATGGTCAGCACTGACTGCTCTGTATCACTCCCTCCCCCCTTCCTTTCTTTCAATACAGATTGCTCATTCAGCTTTGCAGGCAGCAATTCCATATCAGGTGCATTTTCCATCCCACTGTGTTCTGCTTTTAAAACTTTTAGTGTTCGTTCTCTCTCTCTCTCTCTCTCTCTCTCTCTCTCTCTCTCTCTCTCTCTCTCTCTCTCTCTATATATATATATATATATATATATATATATATATATATATATATATATTCTTTATTTCATTTTTTCATTCTTTTAAGCCTTCTTACTTTTCCTTTTCCTTCTTCCAATTTTAAATTTTACTTCACCAAGATTTAGAGCTGAATCCCTATATTTTCTCCTAACCTAGTTATATTTAAATAAACACTGAATTTAAAAAGTTAATACCTGAGGAATTGCAGATAGTCCTTGACTTGGGACCACAGCTGAGCCCAGAATCACAGTTCTGAGTCATGCCAGCTGTGAAGTAGGTTGTCATGTGACCAGCCTGATTTCATGACATTTTTTTGTGGTGGTCATTAAGTAAAAGAGGTCATGAATCGAACACCACGTGTGTTTAAGTGAACACTAAACAAATCCATCGTTCACAATGTTTGCTTTTTGTCGGAAAATAGAAGTAAATGTCAGTTTCTGGCAAAAAAAAAAAAAAAAGGCAAATCACAGTCCCCTGACCACAGTAGATGGCCATAAGGGCAGCCCAATTGCTAAACAGCCAAAATGTGATCATGTGGTGGTAGAGGTGTGCGGGGCCTGGCTGCTGCAACTTTGAACCCAAGTCATACAGTAAGTATCTTTTGGGGGTTCATTATAAGTTTGAATGGTCACTAAGTGAGGATTACCTGTACTCAGTTGGGAATAATCATTTCTTTCCCCGCTTCTCCCTAAAACTCATTACCTCCACCTGACCCCCATACATCAGATAAAACCTTGTCATGCTTTGTGCAAATTTAGATGTCGCTCACTTATTGTGTTTGTTGAATGTGCAGGAGGGAGGCACATGTGCTACCTTTGCCCTTCTGTTGTTTATGCATTCAGAGAAGACCTGTCTGAGTGACCTACCACATACAATTGCACCTGCATGCATGTATAAGTTCATGCAACTGGGAATTCTGTTCTTAAGTGCATTTCATGTTCATGTTTCCTAAACAGCAAAAAAAAAAAAAAAAAAAACCACCTCTCTAAAGGAAAGCTTTAATTGATAAAATGACTGGGTCCATTGAATGTGGACTGCCTTCTACAGTTGCATCATTTTTAATGTAAAATTTCATCTGATGCTAGTTCATGTTTTGAAAAGAGATTCTAATATTTTGGAATGATGGAAATAGTACTAGTAACATGTATTATATTGAAAGCTGGTGAAAATGACACTCCTATATTGGATACTACAATATTCACTAAAGATCTGATATAATTTCTATTGTGAATTTTGCCACCATTTGCAGGCAGTGACAGTGAGCAAACTACTTAATATTGAGTCACTAGATAAGTTGTGCAATGTTTTATAGAAATGAAGGAGACGAACTCAACATCATGTGTCATTTCAGAGCTTCTCTGCAAGTAATATGATGCTCCAACCTAGATGAAGAAGACTAGTATTAGACGATCACTATAGTTGCTTGTTATTTCTTTCTTATATTGTCAACTAGATAATTCAATTCAATATTTAATTTTTTTATTCTTAAGCTGGTACAGCATATACCAGAAGCAAGTCTAAACTTCCAGAAGGTGCCTCCTGGCTCATTGGGATTCCGTGATTTTGACCAAAATATGAATGACAACCGGGAGGAGGATATCACAAAAAGAACACGGATAAGAAACAGGGAAGAGGCAAGTGTATTTCCATTTCATGGAAATATGGGAAATTAAATTCCTCCATGTCTAAGACAATGGACATAGGAAACTACTTCTGAAAGATCATCAGTTCCATGAGTAACTGGGTGAAGGTTATCAAAAATATTCACATTAAAAATGCTGTCTTTGAAATTTGTTTTTGGGATTGTGTTCCAGGTGATCTTCGACAATTTGATGCTAAACCCGGTGTCCCAGTTATCTCATACCATTCGGGAAAATACAGAAAGTCTGGCAGAGAAAATGAAGTGAGTGTATGATGCCAATCTCTACGGCTCTCTTGTGTAACCATTTAGGGATCCTGCACTACTGGAGACCAGCGTTCCATACCAGAGTTGGAAAAGTTAATGCCGGCTCTCAATTTAGGAGAAAATTAAAATAGGCATTTGTATCTTGGCTAGGAGTATTACGTTTTATTTCATAGTCTTGAACATGGCTCCTTGAATTCTTGGAACTTATTTCAACTAATCATGCTTGGAATTAATCCAGTAAGATTTAAATATTAATAATTAACTTACTTTTTAAATGGATTAACTGACTAAATAAGCTTTCTTATGGCCAATATTTTGGTATATCCTTGTAGCATTCAAGTATACTGATACATAGGGTACAGAGATATACATATAAAATGAATGTGTGGTTGAATCACTACTATAAAACACTTGATTTTTATAAAGTGGGATGTAAATTCTGTTAAGTGGGTATCCTTATCAAGCCAAACTTGGGTGATTTCAGAAAAGCTAAGCAGGGTCAGACTTGGTTACTACTTGGATGGGAGACTTACCAAAAAAAAACCTGTGGTTAGACTAGGAAGATGTTAGTCACTGTGGCCATTTTAAATTGAATAACCTGGGTAGGAAACATTTAGCTTCTCATCTGAATATGTGATGTATTATTTTATAGTTGCAATAAATAAAAGCACCTGGTTCTGAAGTTTATTTTATGCTTTGGTGACAAGTAACAACATTAATGTATTTGTTTCAGAATTCTGTTCCAGAATACTGAGAGGACATGGGAAGAAATGGAAGCCAAAATTAATTCTGAAAATGAAGTGCCAATTTTAAAGACATCAAATAAGGTAGGAAATCATTTCCTTAAATTATGTGCTTTGGAGTCCTGCTATTAAAAATATGCATTGTTAGGTTTATACAAACGTTTAAGTCTTGGAATGAATCTGAAACTCAATAGTCAAAATGTGGTTTTTGCTCAGGATTTGGATTTTAATCTTATTTCTTTTGTATATATTTTTTCCTTTGAGGAAGCATGTAAGTAAACGTATTTTACTGACAAGGTTCGCATTGCGGACTTGAATTTTAATACAATATAATGAAAACTAAAAAGGATTTTAAAATTGAAATCCATTTATGAATCTTTTTTTGAAAGTAAATTTAAAGAAAATATTTTGGTATATGCTGTTTAAAACAGGATTGAACAAGTATGAAACTAGGTATAAAGTGCTTTGATTGAATTTTTTGAAATGTACACAACAGGCTTGTTTTGCTAAATTTTGTCAATGTTTAATGTTTTTAATCTAGGAAATCAGCTCTATTTTGAAGGAGCTTCGCAGAGTCCAAAAACAACTTGAAGGTTTGTAATAATTGCCTTCACAGTTCTTTTTTTATATAGCATTAAATAGATATGATTAAAATTTAAAAAACAGAAAGGTGGAGATGTTGCAACATGCCATGTGTTGGAGTGCAAAACAAGATTTATTTTTACTTATCTTACCCAGTAAGAATGTTTTGAATACTGTAGGGAAAACAAATTTAAATAAGAATGTAAACAGGATTTATGATGAGGCAATCAAGATGATCAATGAAATGAAGCTTTATACCGATGTGGTCAGTGCTTTTTTTCTTAAAAAAAAAAAAAAGGTGCCAAAACTCACATGTCATACAACCCACCTTGCCTACCCTACAAGGTTCTATCCAAAAAAGGTGCCGGAACACTGTTCTGGACGTTCTATGAGAAAAAAAGCCCTGGATGTGGTAATCATTTGCATGACAAAAATGTTTATATTAATTGTCATTTATTTAATTAAGAACTGTATTAATTTAAGGTTGGCTAAAGAGAATATTATTGGAAGAAGAGGAACTCAATTAAAGTTATTATATGGACTATAGAATTATAGAAATTAATTGTTATTGTTTGTTTTTTAAATACTAACCCAGACAACACAATGTTTACCAAATGTTAAGGTGTATGTTAAAAATCAATAAAACATATTTTAAAAAAACAAGATTTATTTTCATCTTCAGATAAAACAAAATATCTGCTGAGAAACTTCAAATGAGGATAAATATATATCTGCCCTCGAAGGATATTGGAAGTTTCAACTAGTGTAGAATGCAACCGGTTGCTTGATGCATATGCCATCACTGTTTCAGGTGCTGCACTGGCTGCCAGTATGCTTTCATGTACAATTCAGGGTGCTTCAATTCAATTCAACTTTAAAAACCTTCATGGCTTGGGACTGGATCCATTTACTAATGGGACCTTCTCTCCCCAATTGTCTCTGCCTGTCTAGTAGGAGAGGTATGCTCCAAATACCATCAGTTAAGGAGTACCCATAAGGCCTTGGAGACTTGGTTTTGTCCCCAAGCCCAGGGCCTAAGGCATGTGATAGAGCCTACTGTATCCAGTTACTATGGATACAGTAATTGGTTAGATGATGCTGAACTACTATGTATTTTATATTTATATTGCATATTTTATGTATTTTATTGTAAGCCATCTAGAGTCAGATACATGAGAGGGGCAGCTATATAAATCAAATCAATATAGTTCAGTCTTCACAAAGCAGCCATGAGCTTTCATAGCATTAAATATCTGCCTGGAGATCATGCTTCTGAAATAGAAGCAATTCACTGTCCATGCGCTCAGTTGTTGCTCGGATATCAAACATCAAGAGAAAAAGTAAGCTGGAATTTTGTAAGAGATTCTGATCATGCTTCTTTTTTCCTTTTTGGCAGTTATAAACGCCATCATTGACCCAAGCGGGAACTTGGATTTGCTCACCAATAACAAGACCTGTTCTGTGCTACAGCCTGAAGCAGCTAAAGTCAGGACTACCAACAAAACTTCAGGATCTGTGTTGGAGTCTTTGTCACCTGTCAAAAAAATGAATTACATTCAAAAATCAAACTTTGAGTCTACTGGCCTGCAGGATAAAACATTTGTTTCAGATGGGGAGAAATATGTGATCTGACAGAACATTTTCTATTGCTTATCCTGTAGTATGTCATTTACTGTGGCGTTTAGTATTGCATATGAGTTGTGTGTGAGTGGTTGTGGGCAAGTCCACGTGGAACAGTTGTTTAGATTGTTAGCACATTGCACAAAATGGGGGAGAAGGTACAATCTCTGCTATGTGAGCAGTTGAAGTCTGGGTGAAGCCCTTTGTGGGGAAGAAAGGTTTAATCATGCACAAGATAATTTTTTTTAATAGAGAGCAATTCAGTGTGCCATTCTTCTATTGTGCCATAACAAAGCAGACCTTGCATATTCTTCATTCTTTATTGCTGAAGCTCTGATATGTTCTCAGATATAGCCTGTTCATAGCAATTGGTTGAGTTGTATATAGAATCCATTTTGAAAATATACTTTTTGAGACAGTGGATAGCTGGTGCTGTATAATTAATTTTAAATATGGAGTATTCAAATGGTTTGGTCAGGATTTATTTTTCATACTGTCAGGTAAAGTAAGGCAGCATAGCTTACTTTTAGAAATTCAGGAGCTATTGCCTGAAAAATGTCTTCAAGGAGGAAGCAAAGATGATATTGAATAATTTTGCTTCCAGTCATACAGCTTTCACTGGTCCACTGGTTAAAAGAGTGGAGACAAGAGAGCTGTAAATATGGCTGCATTGTTTTCTGTATGCAATTCATTTGAAAAATTCCAAATAAGTAGTTCTATAGGACAGGATTCAATGACCAAATTAGGATTTTGTATAGCCAGGTTGCCAAATTCTTACTGTATCATGTTAGTCTCCATGTAACAAAGGGTTTATGTGCTCTGAATATTTTTTTAAATGCTATCTAAAGAGGGGCATAAGAATAAATGTTCCACAACTGGGCAAGTAGTTACCATTTCTCCCCAGTACTTTGGTGGTAAGGTTTACACATGATCTTTTTAACCATGGCCTGTTGAATAAACCAGAATATCTGGACTGACACAACACTCATCTATAAACCATAGTAATAACATGATCACAACTTTGCTAAGCCACCATGTGGCTTGATTGATTTGGGTTTAGCATGATCATTAAGGTTAAGCCCAAGAGTGGATACTGATGCTTAACTCAGTTCTGTGGAACTCATTTTTTTTTTGGGTGGATGAGTCATTCTGGATCATGCACAGCTTTGTGCAGTTTATGGCTTAGTAGAATTTTGAGTGGGGGCAGTTGAAATTCAATCTTTAAAACTTTAAGCCAATAGTCCCTGGTTGTATATGTGTAAATTGGGGAGGGGGAGGGAAAATGTTCTGCAAAGCTTAAGGTACAGATACCAATTTTGCCTATAAATTGCACAGTAACACAATATATTTCCAAATCATGGCTCAGGCTACTTTAGTGATGGCAGATGTCATCTCCCTTTTGGGACTCTGCAGAACAGAAAAACATAGTTCGGCTGCTAGGTAGAAAAAGTTGCTCATCTTGGCTTGTTGTGTAGTATGGATTTAAGCTAACCACAACTTAGCATGTGTATACTTGGTCTGAATCTCACTGACATTCATGCACTATTTAAAGAGCAGAAAGGTACAAGCCTTCTTTTTTACTGTTAGGAAAACAGTTTTGAGCAGTAAAAAACAGTATCTCCATATCCTTCTAGTTTCAAAGTTTGGGGAGTGGACCTTCAACAAGGCATGCTCAACAAGCCCCCATGAGATGATCCTCTTATGCTTGGTTCAGGGTTAATGGGTATCCCACACAACATGGGAAATGTAGCATGTTGTATCAGTAGACCAGTGTTTCTCAACCTTGACTGCTTGAAGATGTGTTTGAAACATTGACAGTTTGCTGCCTGAAGTTATGCTGACTAGGGAATTCTGTGAGTTGTTGTTCACACATCTTCAAATTGCCAAAGCTGAGAAACATTGCAGTAGACATTATGCTGAACTTTTGGTTCCAGCAAAGAGCAGATTTCCTGACCTTCAGAGCTGGCTCTGCAGAATCCCACATCCCTTTCCACTCCAAATCATTAGATGGGGACTATCAAAAAGTTGCCACAAATAATGGTGATATTGTAGCTGTTGCCTTAAATTACTCAAATGAATGTAGATCCTGGGATATATCGTGGAAATTATATAACAGTTTTTAGTTTAATGTAGCTTCTAGGAGAACGTAAGTAAACTAATTTGCTCCAATATTCAGTGTTATTCAATATTCCTGTGCTGGGAATATGAGCACCTAAGAACAAAAAGCATGAATTAATACTTGCCTCCTCCATTGTCCAACCACAAAACAATTTCTAATATTGGTGCCATCCTTTCTTGAATCTTGATGCTAAAACTTGTCTGGGTGATGATGTGTCAAGTTAGTAGCTCTTCAGTGCAATATTATAATTGTTTTATGTCTGGCCATTATAAAGTTATACCAATACCAAGAATAACTTTGCAAACATTTTTAAATGCCCATTTTCCAATTAAAATTGGACAAATTCCATTTGTCAGATCAGCAATTAAGTCGGATGGGGCTAAGAACAGCACTGTTAATTATTTGAAGCACTTATTGATATCAGTTGACACAGGGAAATCTTTTATAATATTCACTTCATTTCTAAATGATTGTTGAAGATCACCAGATTAAATACAGTTGAGAGAACTATTGAATTGACAGTAATTTATTCAGGTCTGGAAATGATGGATAGTGTGAATGCATCCTGTAGAGCAGCAGTCCCTAAGCTTCGCGGCTTGGCAGCCCAGGGGGAGGGAGAGGGGAACCGGGCTGCGCAAATGGCAGGCCGGCGCACAGCTCAACTTGTTCAAGCGATGGGCCAGCATGTGCACAATTTGACTTAGAGCTGTGTACGTGCACTGGCCCAGTGCTTACACAAATCGAGGGTGCACATACACGCCAGCTCGCCACTTGTGTGGCCCGATTCTGACTAGGCCACAGCACAGTAGTGGGGACCCCTGCTATAGAGAACATATCTAAAATGTTAAACTCTTGTAGAAGTAAAATTGCTTTGGAAAGTGAATGAAAAATTCGATTGAGTTGCTCAGCGGAAATCTTTGCTATCCAGTTGGATTTTATCTGTCTCAGATACTTGATTGTGCACAAGTTTAAATAATGTAAATGCTGCTATTGATGTTGAGGCACCAAATAAAAGTTGCCAATACTTTTCCCATTAGAAACTGATCCAGTTATAGATTCATTTATATAGTGTCCATTTAATTGTACCTGATGGTTGCTTGGAAACTTGTCTCTGAGTCATAAACATGTCATATGTCAATTCTTACTGCTCACCAAACTTTTCCAACCATCTTGTAAATGCATCAGAATTCTTCATCTTAATTATTGATGTCACATTAGTCCATATTTGCTAGCACCAAGTCTATATTAGATTATCTTCGAAATATACTGTTGCAGAGAGAGAATCTGAGTTTGAGTAAGCTTAGAAAAAATCCTAGAAAAGCAGTTTTGTATTTATGCCATCTTCTAAGTCAACTTTTCCCAACAGAATGAATTGCAGATGCATAGAATGTACAATTCTCAAAATTCCCAGACAGCAAGTATCTGGGGAATTCTAGAAAATGCAGGCTTAACACGTGGAAAGACGTTCACATCTGAGCTTATGTTTCATAAATATTCAAGCCTAAAGTGAGACATTTGTCCTAGTCCAATGCTATATCTATCTATGAACCTTCAGAAGGCATGGGCATAGAAGTCAGGTTTGCTCAAAGGTAGAAAAAAAGATCTTGGGCTTACCCTACACATAAAATTTAAACTTGAAACAAACTAATGTTATACAATTAATATATTACAAATAGATTGCATATCACTTCTGATACACTTAAGCCAAAGAAAAAGCCATATTCTCGTATTGGATCCCTCTAGTGCAATATCAACCAATCAATCAGAACAGAGCTGGAAGGGACCTTGGAGGTCTTCTAGTCCAGCCTCCTGCTCAAGGAGGAGTCCCTATATCATTACAGACAAGTGGTTGTCCAGTCTCTTCTTAAAAACTTCAAGTGATGAAGTACCCACAGTGTCTGAAGGCAGGTTGTTCCACTGGTTAATTGTCCTTACTTTTAGGAAGTTTCTCCTTAATTTCAGATTGCTTCTCTCCTTGATTAGTTAAACATTTAATCCCAGTATGTGGGTACAATCTAGGCCCCATTTAATTGACTTTCTGATAAGCGGAAAGTCAAATAAATGGGACCTAGATGGTGATACATAGGTTTTTTTTTATTTAATGAAAACCTTTATATTTGGCTAGCCAGTTTCAAAGGAATACAAATCCCAGATCATTTGAAGTTCCGTGACAAATGTTTGATTTCTTCAGAGTAGCTTGTTTAGAGAAAAGAGTTTATCCTCCTTAGGTTAAAATGACTGATCAAGATTGAATGAGTGTGACTTATTGAGAGAATGTTTATCTGTTTGAAAAGAATGCTGCCATTCTCATGCTGGTGGTAATAATACTATCATATAGGTTGAGAGTGTGTAGTAACATATATGTGCTAAATAAATAAATATGTATGTAAAAAAACTGAATGAAAGCAGTTAGTGGGAGCAATTTTTGCCCATCTCAAAGTTTTTGTACAGATTTCAAACAGAGGTGTGTGTACATATGATTCTGCATGTTTACCACAATCAAGACTGACAACTCTGTTGCTATGCCACACAATTAAGCAAGACATCACATGACCACAACTTATTATGCCAGCTTCTTCATTGACTCTGCTTTTTGGAAGTTAGCTGTGAAACATGTAAGTGAAAACCACATGACTGCACTATCATAAATTCAAAGACTGTCCTAACTTTGAATGATTGCTAAACAGGACAGTTATTAAATGAGGACTACCTCTATGGTTGGGTTCAATTCAAATTAGGAAAAAAAATCAGAGGCAAGTTTTCAAGAATGACCAGCTGTGTACATTAGACAGAAGGAATAACTTGTTCTCATTTTACCTGAGAGAAATGGGTTGGGCAAGTGTTTTTCCACATCGCATGAAAGCAACTCAAGGTGTGTTCAAGGCTTTGAAACCAATTGGAAATGATAAATCTCCTTACATGATATCTTAGAGCTTAAATGCACACTTCAGTTTAAGCTATACAATGAGTGTCTTAAATATATACACTTTAAAAACCTAATGTGTGTATTCCCCAAGTCATCCTTACATGAATTAAGGAAAATGTTTGCTCTGAATGTTTACAGATACCTACTTTTGAAAGAAGTAAGTTGCTACTGATTTTTCACTTTTGTAAATGGATTCCTTCCTTTCCTTCCTCCCTCCCTCCCTCCTGTGGCAAATGAATTCCTGATTTTGCCATTGTTAAAGTCCAGAAAACTATGTGTTCACTTTCTGTTGTGTCCCCTGCTCAATGGTGCCTAAGCATCTGCTAGTTGTTACTCTATTGAAACTGTTTTCCACTGTTAAAAACATTTTTTCACAGCTATCATTGTATTAGATCTGCATGCCACACTAAAGCAAGCTGAGCTGTATGAGAGCATTACTGAAATTCAGCTTTGTATAACTCAAAACTGTTTCAGTGACTTCCATTTTTGGTTCATCTTTTATTTCATGTTGATGTCCTTTTTGAAATACTGTGTATAATTATAAGATCCATTTGATTCCTGCAGACCTTCAATGGGATGCTTTTTTTCCCTTTGTTTTTTTTTTTTTAAAAAACCCAGTAATTTATTTTGCTTGACAGGCAGTTTATCTGTATCATTTTGTTTCTGAATAATGTTGTGGATGTCTTTCAAACCAAAATAAATGGTTATTTTATATAATTTTATTACAAATTTGCTATAATAAATCATTCTCATACCAGGTTTATACAAAGTTAGAGACCTGAGCTAATCTCTTTGGAGGCTCCAGGTTGGAAAAGGTAAGAAATACACACCTGTTTTAATCTATAGGAACAGATGTTCTTTTTAAGGTTCCAGACATCTTTCTGACTATAAAATGTTGGGGAGCAAGGAGAGGAAGGAATAACAAACAAACAAATCATCCATAGCAAGCAAGAGAAGGATTGGAGAATTGCTGCTGCTCTGTCTTCCACCATTCACTCCCCTGATGCAAATGAGCTTGGAGTAAATATTTTTAGGTAGCCAAAATGGCAATATCCCTATGGAAGAGTGGAAAAAAATAGAAACATGCCAGAAGGAACCCCAAGACTACTCCCCCACAAAAAAGAGGGACAAAAACTATATGAGAACTTTACATGATACATAGAGACACAACATCTCATGTTGAATGAAATAAAATGGGACAACTAAAGAATCTCAGTGGAAAAAAAACCTTTGGGGGGGGGTGCAATCTTGAATAAGATTACTGCATGCTGCAGAATTTAGTTTCAGGTTCCATTGGGTGATCACTATTGCCTTTTTCCTCACCTTAGTCTCTTTGAACTTTCATTGAATTTCAAAATTCCTATATTACTGCTTTCCTTTCCTTCCCTGTCTCCAGCAGTGGTTTAGGATCTATGTGAAAGTAAGCTGCAAGATTAAATCAATAAAGCAAGTCCTATTCATGTTATAGACCTAGGCATTTTATGGCCCTGGGCCACATCTGGCCCTTTGGCTGTCCCTGTCCAGTCAGCATGAGTTCATTTGGAAGTTAAAAAATAAAATGTAAATAAGTGAGCTTCAAGAGCTGGGAGAAGCAGCCAAGAGACTCCCTTAGTCGGCTAGCAAGAGAAAGCTTTTCTGCACCTGAGGCGAAGTGAGGTCCTTAAGGCTCTGTGCTCCCTCCTCCCTCAACACGTGGGTGGCACTGGCAGCAGGCGTAAGTTCAGCCTATTGGTTTGGTCCTCCACAACAATCCCAGGTTCTCATGTGGCCCCTTTGGAGAATTAATTGCCCGCTCTCAACAGAGGGGGAGAGATAAAACAACATCTATCTCTAGTCTACAACACAGTCCTTTCAACAGTTCCAAGAAGGCTGTCAATCCTACAACGAACCTGGCTGCAGCCATCTTACTTGTTCTAAGTTGCCACAAGAATGGGAGGGGGTGTGGAGGATTTCTGCTAATCTAAACATTTCACTGTCCCGTGAGACAGTGTCATTTCTATCGGTTAGGTGGAGGGTTAGAAAGCCCACCAAACTATTCTATTGAGAAATGTAGCTGATTGTATAGCACTGGGGTGGGAAGTTTAACTTTGTAATAGTGTTTTTCTTTAGAGGGGATTTCAGACGTGGTTTCACTTTTAATCGTGGTGATACTATGTAACTACTAAACATGTTCTTTGAGGAAGTTACTAGCCTCAGAGTTCTGATTTGTTTGGTCTTGTCTATCAGAACCATGACAAAGGCTCCAAACCCATTTGCACTACTCAGGTGACCTTGATGAAACCGATAAGCCTCCAGAGGCATCAACAACTTCCTAAAAAAATGCAAATGACCAGCTGTCTGCAAAGAGTATAAATCTTTCCATTCCCTACCATCCAATCAGAGCTGAAGAAGTTTCTTGGATGAGAAGTGAAATGTCTTCAAAGAAAAACAAGAAAGTCCAGTTGCCTCATGAAAAGCACCTTTGGGACGACCTGAAAGATTCAGTTTCTCCAGAAAATCTGCTTCTTGAAGTTAAAGTGATTTTTGCTGGATAAAATGAAGATGTATGAAATAGGGTCATAATTCTTTAATGAATACCAGAGAGCCTTGTTCTTATAATGTTTAATGCCAAGCACATCTTTTTAAAAGTGTGTAGAGCCCTTGTCGCCTAGTCACAAGGTAACAAATTTGACTGCAGGAAGCCTTGGATATGTATGTTGCTATATGTTCGTGTGTAACATTTTAAAAAACAAAATAAATATAAGATGAATAAGATAAGTAAGTAAAAGAGTAAAACTTTCTATTCTGAAACTGTAGGATCCAATCTGGGTCAGTCACTGGGACCAGAGATTTAGTCATTCTGAAATTGTTAAATTGCTTTTTGTTATGACATTTTCCCCAATATTCAGCTAAAATATGCCTGCCTTAAACTACTAAAATATCCCATTATTCCTTTATAAGGGGTTTTGATCACATGGTTGGGATTGCAATCTTGTCTTTTTGAACCCTTCCCCATATGCTGCTTATGTTCTGTACTTTGGGGTGAGAGAAAATTGCCCTTAATTTATTCTGTGTGGTATTCTTCAAACATTTTCTGAATGTTGATGGGTTTAATGTGTTTCCCTTGTTTCATGTTTGAGCTCAATATTTGGTAAATAGATGAGGTAGATATCTTTGATCTTGCTTTGATAACTGTTTTTCTTGGAATTTTTTGTTGTTATTCTTCTTGTTATGCAGGTATAGAGCTTTCTTTAATTAAAGATTTTCATATACCATTACACATACCTGTTCTCCTTTATCTTCTCTGCTGAATTTTATAGCTATGCTTCAAAATGGAAGCTGGTTAAGAATGCTCATTTCACTTAACCAAAATCACATATTGATCATTGCAGCAGGCTGATATGGTACAGTGATTAAGCCAAAATCTAGGTTCAAGTTCCCACCTGACTACGGAGCTTTATGAGTGACTATGGTCAGTTATTCTCTTTCAGCACAACAGCCCTCATAGGCAATAAAATGATGGAAGGCACACTTGGGAGATTCCAATATATTCTTTGAGTTCCCAATAGAAAGTTGTGGAAGGACTTTGATAAATAAGACAATTTTTAAAATAAAGGAGCTGTAGACTTTGCCTTTTGGGGAGCTATGTAAATGCATAATACAATATTGTACTCTTTTTTTAATATGGTTTCTAGGGACTTTGAAATCTGGTCTGAAGAATACTTCACCATCAGTGCAGGCATGGCACTTATTGCAAAACAGTCAACAGGTTCCTCAAAGAGAAATCTAATAATACAGGAGTAATTGTTCCTGTATTACTAAGTGAAACTGGAATTCTAAATAAATTCTAAATACTCCATAAATATGGAAGATCTTATTGGGCAGAAAGACTGTGCTTGGAAAGATAGAATGGAAACTGTAAAATGAAACTATTTCTAATGAAAATTTACTCATAAATTTACTGTGTGTTAAATTTAAATTAATACCAGATGAAGAAAGCTTTATTTCATGAAATCTTAAGAGTTTTACCATAGAGCTTTATGAAGTCTTTCAAGTTACTTTTTGCCACCCACCTCTAACATTGTGTATTAGGGAGAGACTAGAAGCTGTTTGAAAAGAACATATATGAATTGGGATACTCGATTCACAATATTTACAGCTTAATGAAGTGCTTTTCTGTAGTATGGCATTTTTAGTCTGTGTCCTAATTGCAAAGAAACATACCCCACACAAGCTGAATTTTATGCTTATTCATACCACATCCTGATTTCAAATATGTACATGAAATAAGAATTTTAAACTTAAAGAACTCTTTAAAAATCTATGGCTCTATAATTGCAAATTGCAGGTTAGAGATCAAAGCTTACTATTTAAGTAGGTTAAAGCCCTGTGTAATTTGCCAAATACCACAAGATGGCAATGTTTTAGAAATGTTATATCCTGCTATATTTTTAACTGACTCAATTAATTGTACTGGGTGAAAAAAGTTTCAAAGAATAACTTTTATAACATTTATTTCCATTTATCTACAGTTTACAATAATCTCTGAGTATTCAAAGAATAATGTTTTTAATAAGATAGCAGCATAAATATAATTAAAATAAAATCTGAAAAAGGAGAAATAGATTTCTATTTCTCTCAGCACTAACTTATTACATTTTGCAAATAATCCCAAATAAAATCATTGTAATTTTCAGAAAAAGTATATCTAATCTCTTGCTTTGCTTTGGTTCCTCTAAAATAGATTTGGCAAAATAAGATCTCTACAGAAATTAGCAGAAAATATCTTAGTTGGTTTCATTGGAACTATGGATTTTATTCAATGGTAGGGGTCCATCATCTGTCTGGATTTTTGTATACATGTATTTCATACTGCAGGTAACAAATGTTTCTGGGAAGTCATGAAAGACTATTCCATGAGCTTATAAACACTATTGCAATATAAAGTATTTTAAAGATCATGTGGGTAGCATTCTATTTATTTTGCTGAAATGAAGGCAATATTATTTTCTAATTTTTTAAAATACTTTTCAGGATGATATTGTAATTTCATATGGACGAAGAAACAATTTTATTTTGATGAGTCTTCAGGAGCGTATTTGGGTTTGGCTTTCCCTTTCTCTAAAAGGATCAATTCAGTTCTTGCTGAAGATGAAACAATGGGCTCTGATGATGTATCACCTGAGGTTTCATTTTCTTCTTTCTCTGTGAGTGATAAGGTTTCCTGAGCATCAAAGAAAGTTTCATTTTTTTCTGTTAGACTTTCTTCATCTTTTTCTTCTTCTGAATCTGTTTCCTTTTCTTTGTCCATTTCCTTGCTCTTTTTTGTTGGAGATGACAAACCTAACTTAGGAAATTTAAACCATCCTGTTTTGTCCGCTTCTTTGGCGGTATCACTATCTAATTTGGATGAATCATCTGGCTGAACTTTCTGTAAAGCTTCAGGTTTTGAATCTGATGTTGAGTCATCGGTAGTGGAAGAAAACCCAATACTTGGAAACCAAAGTTTAAATTTACCAGATCTCTTACTATCAAGTTTTTCTTTTTCATCTGTGACCTCATCTGTGCTACTTGTAAATATTGTTTCTTCTGCAGTTTCTGTAGCAGATTTAGATATCTCTATTGACTCAGAGTGACTCTCTGCAAATTCACTAGAAGATTGTATGTCAACTGTAAAGGATTTAAGCTTTGTCAGTGTTGCAGCAGCAGATGTTCCTTCAGTAAATTCATAAGTTACATCCTTATCTTTATCAGATGGTTTCACTTCACTCAAACCAGCCTTTTGTGCTGCTTCTCCTGTACCTGAAAGTTGATGATCCTTATCCTCAAATATTTCACCCATACATTTTGTAGAAGACAACTTGATTGGTACATCTAAGCTCACATGTGATTCCTGGATTTTCACTTTGCGAAGTGAAAATCCAAAGGCAGCAGTTTTAACTTCTGATGGAGGAATCTCAGATTCTTTTACTATTTGAGTGGAGAAAGTTTCCTGTGTTTCAGCATCATCACCAGAGCCAAAGGTAGATTTACTTTCTATTTTTATTTCTTTACTGTCAGTGATTGATCCTTTAACCTGTACTGATGCACTTGAGCTAAATGGATCTTCAGGCTGAAGTTTAATTTCAAGTGGTGCTCTTTGAATATCTGGCTCCTTCGGTGTTGTAATTTTAGTGACTGACTTTTGAATGTTACCGTCTATAGTGTCTATTTTCTCTGTAAAAAATTCAGCACTGAATTCCTTTGGCACTTGTTTATACAGATATACTGTTGTATCTGCAAAAGAAGAGTCTGTAGATGGGAATTTACTTCCAACTTGTGGTCTTTGAATGGCAGGTTCAGACAATGTTGTAATTCTGACTTTTGATTTCTGAATATCATCTCCTTTATCATCTCCTTTATCTTCAGGGAACATAGTCTTGAACTGCAATTGAGAAATATCATCATCAGTAGTATCCTTTATCTCCATTGTCTCTTCTGAAATCAGTTTTTCTCCTTCAGAAATTCTATGTGTGAACTTCGGCATTTTGAATTTGGGCATTTGGAAACTTACTTCTGCATCTCCAGTTTTTTTATCCTGAACTTGGATTTCTTCCTCAGATTTAACTAATGACACCTCAATCTGCTCTTTTGGTGAATCAACCTGAATTCCTGCACCCTGAGATTTACTGCGCAAGTTGGCAAATTTTGGTATCTTGAATTTAGATGCTTTTGTTTTACTTGTTTTCTCTTTCTCTTCTGCTTTCACTTCACCTTCTTTAGGCAAATCTTTTTCAAAGCCCTCAACTGGGAAATCAATGATTTCAAAGTCTTCATCAGTGATTGAAACATCCATTTTAACTTTGGAAAGAGTAACAACAGGCTCTTCTAGGTCAGATTCAATACCGGGAACAATGGCATTGCTCTTTGTGGTAGACCATCCAAACAAAGGCACACTGAATGTTGGCATTTTGAATATACTTTCTTTTCCTTGAGAATCCTTTTTTGGTGACTTCTTTTCAGTCCCCATCTCTTCAGGTTGTGTATCAAGGCTTTGCAAAGGCTCTGTGTCTGTAATAATAGCATCGATTTTCCTTCCCATAGTAATTTCAGTAGATGGTATTTCAGTCACTGCCATAGTATCCATGATTTCAGGTTGCTGAATGGGCATCTCACTTCTAGGGATGTTTCTGTCAATATCCATCTTTGGGACAGTGCCAATGAATTCAGTTTGAGAACTTTGTCCTTCTGCACCATCTTTAACTACATTAGCATACATTTTGGATTCCAGGTCACTAGGTTTTCTGCCAATTTTTTCTGAGGAGTGTAAAAAACTGCCTTCACCCACTAATTGGTCAGTGGTAGATTGCTTTTTTTTCTGTACTATAACATCCTCTTGAGGAAGCATGACTTTTTCTTTTGAGATGTTTTTTTCACTGTCAGGTTCCCTTGAGATGGTTACAACTTTAGGAGATTTTACTTCAACTTGTAATTCAGTAACATGAGCTTCTCCAGTGATGTCTTCAGTTTCAGCATCACTTTTTCTTGTCTTTGAAGTTCGACCAAATGAAGGCATTTTGAATTTGGGCATTTTAAACCAACTCTGAGATTCCTCAGTCTGAATTTCTTCAGAAATTCCTTCATCACTTTTAACTTGTAAGGACTGAGCTTTTCCACCAAGTTTATCATATTCTGTAATCTGAAACTGAGAGACGTCAGATTTAGGTTTTGGTGAAGTGATTCCACTGACTGACAGATCACTTTCTGACAGATCTGAAATTCCAAACTTTGGCATTTTCAGTTTTGGCATCCTAAACTCCCCCTCTGTACCATCAGATTTCATACTTGCACTGTCCATACAAATGTCACCTTTGAACTCTGTTTCTAAACATTTCTGTTCAAATGAACCTTTTGCCATAGGCACCTTAATATCAGTTTTGAATAAGTTGATATCTGTATCTGTCTGGAATGTTTTGGTTTCTTCTTTGATTTCACCTTTCAGCATTTTTACACTTATTTCTGTTTCCTCTACTTTTCTTGTAGTAAAACTGCTTTCTATGTCAGGTATTTGAACCAAAGCTCCATCACCTTCCACTACTATATCCACATCTGCTTTTGGTAGCTTTGTCTTAGACAGTGAGATTTTGGGCATAATTAAATGAGGTCTTTTTATCTGACCTTTTTTGGTGGCTATGTCTACATTTCCATCAGTATGAACTCCTTGATCTTCTGAAAGAGTTACTTTTGGTTCTGTGCCTGTATCATCTGATACTATGTCCAGTTTGGGTTCTTCCAGAGGTTCTTTTATATTTGTTTTAAGGCTTGCTTCCTTTTTAGGAGACCAGCTCAGTGATGGCAATTTGAATTTTGGCATTTTGAAATGTGCCTTTTCTTCTCCATCTAAACTTCCTTCCTTAATTATCTCTCCCTTAGTTTCTGGCTCCTTTCCTGCACCATGTAAATCCTGAACGCCTACTTCTGACTGTGTGACAGAAATATCAGTAGTTGATATTCCCACTGCTGCAGTCTTCACATCAGCTCTAATAATTTGGGGCATTTTTATTTTCTGTTCCAAAACATTCTTTTTTTCACCAAGTATATCAGACTCCATTTCAATTGTTGGAGCTTCCACTGCAACATCAATAATATCCGTTGTTGTTTTTACCCGGGGAACATCAAGGTCCTTTGATAGGCCAATAGCAATATCTGGAACTTTTCCTTTAGAAAATGAGATCCCAGAGTTAGCCATTTGAAATTTTACCTTTTAATTTTCTTATATTACAACTTTAGTTTTTAATTTCTGTTCCACTTATAGATATTTCAGTAGACAGTATTTCTACTCTAATTCCCAATACTTTCATTTTAAGAACCTTAATTCCTGCTATTGACTTATCATTTCTGTCATCAATATCATCTGGTTATAACTCTCATTTTAAAATCTGACACCAAGTGAAGGAACTAAGAGTTTAGGTAAACTGATTTCCATATCTACTGTAGAAGCTTTAATTGTTGGTCTAAAAAATGTTTTGTGCTTGGAACCTTAACTTTAGTCATTTTAATATTTTTTTTATATCATATTCAATGGTTTTTATCCAATATTTCTTGTCAAATATACTTTTCTTCCTTAGAAACAGACACTGCCATGTCATTATTCAGTGACAGCACACAGGTATTTCAGCTTTATAATCTTTCATTTTTAGCAAACTAGAATGAAGCCTTCTAATAGTCCTTTCCTCCACAGTCAGGTTTAATTAAAATTCTATTCTTTTGTTTCAACTGTAAACAAGAGATCTTCTCTGCTTGCCTTAATAACAGTGGAACCACTAGAGTCTTTCTTGAAGTCCAGCTAAATAAATTTTCAATTTTGGCATCTTAAAATTATTTTTTTCTTATGTCTTTAATTTCATTTTAATATCTTTGCTGATTAAATCTTACCACCATTGTGTGCTATAAAATATCTTCAGATGAAAGGACAATATCTATCTCTGAACTTTTAATACTGGATTTCAATATAAGGAATCTTTCATTGGTGAAATCTGCATTTTTATACATGAAAAACCTGACACTACTTCAGAGATTTCAGATGATCTGACATCTAAAGTTTTCATATCAGAATTTACATAAAAATATCATCTCAATCTTGCATACATTTTCATCTTTCCCTTTGAAAAGTCAGCCTTTCTCTTAGCTTGCTAAAATCAGAATCAGTTGATACACTTTTAACTCCTAAATTGGAATAAATGTAGTCAATAAACGTTAAGTCAAATCTAGCCCATTCAGCCAGAATAATATTGCTAGTAGGCAAGTTTTCACTTTTGTCATATTTAGAAGGAACTATTTAAATCTTTGAGAAACCAAAATTAGGTATATAAAAACTTAGACAAATTGATATTTATACCACCAACATGACAGTGAGATTCCAAAATATCCATGTTGATACAGGAACTCCTGTATCAGATCTTTCCAAACTACAGTGTTACTTCTGACAATTAAGTTCCCTCACACAGATAAAATTACATATACAGTATACTCAGTGTGATAGGAACAACTTGCAATTCTGGTCTTACAATGTTTCCTTCAGACAGAATGTCAGTTTTGTAGGAAAAAAATATTACAAAAGAATAAATCTTAGGCTTGTAAAATTTACTACATTTCTTCATATTTCTCTAATGATCTAGAACTATTTTCAATGTTAGAATCTAATTCAACATCTTCAGAACACAGAACATCTGTACATATTCAGAACAGAATTATCCAAGGCTGGGAAGTCAGCAACTATTTTCAGTAATTAAATATCTTATTTAGTAATTTTAGATTTTTTTGAGTGATGGCACAGACACCCTCATGTGAAAATTTATATATGAGATTAATAATTCATGAACTCAGCATTGCAATCAACAGCTGTCATTGCAAGGTCAACTTTCAGACCAGCTTTGAACACATCTGTTTCTGTTAAAGGCAATAAGACTTTTTCCTTTATTGCAATACTCCCATTAGGAGAGAAATTTCCAACTTCGACATTTTGAATTTAAACCCCCCACTTTTCATCTTAACCTTGCGCCCCCCCCCAACCCCATAGAAACATTGCCAAATGGAGGCCATACTATAAGTCAGGAGTTCTATGATCATCTGGAATCTCTACATCAGATGCTGAAACACCAATGTCAGCCATAAATGCTAATATCTTCAACTGAGATTTAGCTGATGTCCATGTGGTCTTGGGCCCCTACCTTCTGGTTTGGAAACTTCCATGCTGGACATCTTGAACTTGGGCATGGGGATTTACATCTCGCTTCCCTTAATTATGCTTTCAGCCTCCACAACTAATATTGGACTTGATTTTTTTGGAGGGTGAGAGGATCCATTTTCCTTTGGGAAGGAAAATATTTGCCTCAATTTATGACAGGGAGATCTTTGCTTCTGGAGTCTTCAGTTTGGAGACTTTGATGCTAGTCATCTTGATTCCAGACATTTTGCTCTCACCATCCTCTCTGACCTCCATATCCAGGTTGGCCCCTTCAATTTCCACTACTGGCAGTTTTACAGTATTTCAGCTTCAGGTTCATCAATTAGGATTTCAGATTATATGCTTTGGGGTGGTCTGCTTCTAAGGAACTAGGGTATTAGGGAGCCCAGCAAGGGCATTTGAACCTTTGAACTTATTACCCCACCACCAAGCTCAAAACTCTCCCCTGCACAATAACCTTACCTGAAGAAGCTTGTACTTCTATGTTGGGAGCTTGCAGCTCCACAGTGACTGGGACCCAGGGAATCTTTACTTCACGGGCTGCTATTCCGATGTCGCCCTCCAATTCAGCTGTCTTAAGCTGGGGTTTTGTAATGCTGAGCTCAACTTTTGGAAGAGAGGTGTGTACATCAGGCATGCTGGCATCTGCATCTATTTTGGGTCCCTTGATATCAGATTTGGAGAACCCCATGCTGGGCATCTTGAACTTTGGCATGTGTATTTTCATCCTGCCTTTTTCACGACCGCCTTCTGCCTCCACCACTTTGCTGGTGGCCTCAGAATCAGGCAGTTCGGCATTAGCTTTGGAAAGGGAGATGTCTACCTCAACTTTTGGAAGGGAGATGTCTACTTCTGGTGCAGTGAGTTTTGGGGGCTTGACACTAGGCAACTTCACTTCAGGCATTTTGATCTTCCCCTTCTCTTCAACGTCCACGTGCAGGATTGGGGCCTCCATGTCAGCTTCAAGCTCTGAAGAGGGCAGAGTGATTTCCATTTGCAGATTTGTTTTGCGAAGGTCTCCTTCCATGGAAGGTATGATGACTTCTCCCTCTGGGACATCTTTCGCTTTGGACTTTGAAATACCAAATTTGGGCATTTGGAACTTGGGCACTTTGAATTTACTATCCCCGCTTTCCAGCTTGACATCGGGGCCCTGCACAGAAACCTTTCCAGATGGAGGCTCTATGGCTATGTCGGCAGCTTTCAGTTCCAGGCTGGCCGAACCTGTTTCAAACTTTATTTCAGGTTCTGATATGGTGATGTCTCCTTCCTTCACCTCAGGTTTCTGAAACTGGAGCTCAGGTTCGGGAAGAGTAACGTCCACTTTAGTCATACTGACATCCACATCGACTTTGGGGCCCTTGATGTCTGGTTTGGACAATCCCCTGCTGGGCATCTTGAACTTTGGCATGTGTATCTTCAGTGCTCCCCTGTCGATGGTGTCTTCAGCCTCTGGCAATTTTACGGCCTCTGCACCATCACACACTTCAACTTTTACTTTGGGAACGGTGACATCAGCCTCAACCTTTGGCAGGGAGATTCCAACCTCTGGCCCTTTGACCTTGGGGACCTTGACACTAGGCATCTTAACGTCAGGCAATTTCATTTTGCCCTCAACAATATCCACTTCTAAGCTAGGTGTATCTACCTCCACTTTTGGCAGCTTAAGATCAGCTTCAAACTCCACAGAGGGCAATGTTGTTTCTGTTTTCAATTCTGTCTTGGGCAGCTCTGCTTCCACAGAAGGGATGCTGATTTCTCCCTCTGGGACACCTTTCCCTTTGGGCATTGAAATTCCAAATTTGGGCATATGGAATTTGGGCATTTGGAACTTCCTATCCCTGCTTTCCATTTTAACATCAGAAACCTTTCCAGATGGGGGCTCTACAGCTATGTCGGGAGCTTTCAGTTCCAAGCTGGCTGAGACCGTTGGAATCTTTACTTCAGGTGCTGATATGGTAATATCTACTCCTTTTACCTCACGTTTCTCAACATGGAGCTCAGCTTCAGGAAGGGAAAGATCCACTTTAGGCATAATGATTTCCACATCGACATTGGGGCCCTTGATGTCTGGTTTGGAGAATCCAATGCTAGGCATCTTGAACTTTGGCATGTGTATCTTCAGTCCTCCCCCTTCGATGGTGCCTTCAGCCTCTGGCAATTTTACAGCCTCTGCACCATCAAACACTTCAGCTTTTACTTTGGGAACGGCGACATCAGCCTCAACCTTTGGCGGGGAGATCCCTACTTCTGGCCCCTTGACCTTCGGGACCTTGACGCTAGGCATCTTTGCTTTAGGAATTTTGATTTTGCCCTTATCTCCAATCTCCACATCCAAGTTGGGTGTATCTACCTCCACTTCTGGCAGCTTAAGATCAGCTTCAAGCTGCGCAGAGGGCAATGTTATTTCTGTTTTCAATTGTGTCTTTGTTTCCACAGAAGGGATGCCGATTTCTGCCTCTGGGACACCAGTCCCTTTGGGCAGCGAAATTCCAAATTTGGGCATATGGAACCTAGGCATTTGGAACTTCCTATCCCCGCTTTCCAGCTTGACATCGGGGCCCTGCACAGAAACCTTTCCAGATGGACTCTCTACGGCTACATCGGGAGCTTTCAATTCCAAGCTGGATGAGCCCGTTGGAATCTTTACTTCAGGTGATGATATGGTAATATCTCCTCCTTTCACCTCAGGTTTCTCAACATGGAGCTCAGCTTCGAGAAGGGAAAGGTCCACTTTAGGCATACTGCCATCCACATAGACACTGGGGCCCTTGATGTCTGGTTTGGAGAATCCAATGCTGGGCATCTTGAACTTTGGCATGTGTATTTTTAGTCCGCCCCTATCCATGGTGCCTTCAGCCTCTGGCAATTTTATGGCCTCTGTACCATCAGACACTTCAACTTTTACTTTGGGAATGGTAACATCAGCCTCAACCTTTGGCAGGGAGATCCCTACTTCTGGCCCTTTGACCTTCGGGACCTTGACACTAGGCATCTTTGCTTTAGGAATTTTGTTTTTGCCCTTATCTCCAATCTCCACATCCAAGCTGGGTGTATCTACCTCCACTTCTGGCAGCTTAAGATCAGCTTCAAGCTGCACAGAGGGCAATGTTATTTCCGTTTTCAATTCTGTCTTCGGTAAGTCTGTTTCCACAGAAGCGACGGCAATTTCTGCCTCTTGGACACCAGTCCCTTTGGGTAGCGAAATTCCAAATTTGGGTATATGGAACTTAGGCATTTGGAACTTCCTATCCCCGCTTTCCAGTTTGACATTGGGGTCCTGCACAGAAACCTTTCCAGATGGAGGCTCTATGGCTATGTCGGGAGCTTTCAATTCCAAGCTAGCTGAGCCCGTTGGAATCTTTACTTCAGGTGATGATATGGTAATATCTCCTCCTTTCACCTCAGGTTTCTCAACATGGAGCTCAGCTTCGGGAAGGGAAAGATCCACTTTAGGCATATTGACATCCACATCGACTTTGTGGCCCTTGATGTCTGGTTTGGAGAATCCCATGCTGGGCATCTTGAACTTTGACATGTGTATCTTTAGTCCGCCCCTATCCATGGTGCCTTCAGCCTCTGGTAATTTTATGGCCTCTGCACCATCAGACATCTCAGCTTTTACTATTGGAAGGACAACATCAGCTTCAACCTTCGGCAGGGAGATCTCTACTTCTGGCCCTTTGACTTTGGGGACCTTGACGCTAGGTATCTTTGCTTCAGGCATTTTAATTTTGCCCTTATCTCCAATCTCCACGTCCAAGCTAGGTGCATCTACCTCCATTTCTGGCAGCTTAAGATCAGCTTCAAACTGTGCAGAGGGCAGTGTTATTTCCATTTTTAATTCTTTCTTGGGCAAGTGTGCTTCCACAGAAGGGATGTCAGTTTCTGCCTCTGGGACACCTTTTCCTTTGGGCAACGAAATTCCAAATTTGGGCATATGGAACTTAGGCATTTGGAACTTCCTATCCCCGCTTTCCAGTTTGACATTGGGGTCCTGCACAGAAACCTTTCCAGATGGAGGCTCTATGGCTATGTTGGGAGCTTTCAGATCCAGGCCGCCCGAGTCCGTTGGAATCTTTACTTCAGGTCCTGATATGGTAATATCTCTTCCTTTCACCTCAGGTTTCTCAACCCGGATCTCAGCTTCGGGAAGGGAAATGTCCACTTTAGGCATACTGACATCCACATCGACTTTGGGGCCCTTGATGTCTGGTTTGGACAATCCCCTGCTGGGCATCTTGAACTTTGGCATGTGTATCTTCAGTCCTCCCCCATCGATGGTGCCTTCAGCCTCTAGCAATTTTACCTCTGCGCCATCAGACATTTCAGCTTTTACTTTTGGAAGGGCAACATCAGCCTCAACCTTCGGCAGGGAGATCCCTACTTCTGGCCCTTTGACCTTGGGGACCTTGACACTAGGCATCTTTGTTTTAGGAATTTTGATTTTGCCCTTATCTCCAATCTCCACATCCAAGCTGGGAGCATCTACCTCCGCTTTGGGCAGTTTAAGATCAGCTTCAAGCTGCGCAGAGGGCAATGTTATTTCTGTTTCCACTTCTGTCTTTGGTAAGTCTGCTTCCACAGAAGGGATGCTGATTTCTGCCTCTGGAACACCTTTCCCTTTGGGCAGTGAAGTTCCAAATTTGGGCATATGGAACTTGGGCATTTGGAACTTCCTATCTCCGCTTTTCAGCTTGACATCGGGGTCCTGCACAGAAAACTTTCCAGATGGAGGCTCTATGGCTATGTCGGGAGCTTTCAGATCCAGGCTGCCCGAGTCTGTTGGAATCTTTACTTCAGATGCTGATATGGTAATTTCTCTTCCTTTCACCTCAGGTTTCTCAACCCGGATCTCAACTTCGGGAAGGGAAATGTCCACTTTAGGCATACTGACATCCACATCGACTTTGGGGCCCTTGATGTCTGGTTTGGACAATACCCTGCTGGGCATCTTGAACTTTGGCATGTGTATTTTCAGTCCTCCCCTATCCATGGTGCCTTCAGCCTCTCGTAATTTTACAGCCTCTGCACCATCAGACACTTCAGCTTTTACTTTCGGAACGGTGACATCAGCCTCAACCTTTGGCAGGGAGATCCCTACCTCTGGCCCTTTGACTCTGGGGACCTTGACCCTAGGCATCTTTGCTTTAGGAATTTTTATTTTGCCCTTTTCTCCAATCTCCACATCCAAGCTGGGTGCATCTACCTCCACTTCGGGCAGCTTAATATCGGCTTCAAGCTGCGCAGAGGGCAATGTTATTTCCGTTTTCAATTCTGTCTTGGGCAGGTCTGTTTCCACAGAAGGGATGCCGATTTCTGCCTCTGGAATACCTGTCCCTTTGGGCAGTGAAATTTCAAATTTGGGCATATGGAACTTGGGCATTTGGAATTTCATATCCCCACTTTCCAACTTGACATCGGGGCCGTGCACAGAAACCTTTCCGGATGTAGGCTCTACGGCTATGTCGGGAGCTTTCAGTTCCAAGCTGGCTGAGCCCGTTGGAATCTTTACTTCAGGTGCTGATATGGTAATATCTTGTCCTTTCACCTCAGATTTCTTAACATGGAGCTCAGCTTCGGGAAGGGAAAGATCCACTTTAGGCATACTGACATCCACATCGACTTTGGAGTCCTTGATGTCTGGTTTGGAGAATCCCATGCCGGGCATCTTGAACTTTGGCATGTGTATCTTCACTTCTCCCCCTTCAATGGTGCCTTCAGCCTCTGGCAATTTTACAGCCTCTGCACCATCAGACACTTCAGCTTTTACTTTGGGAATGGTGACATCAGCCTCAACCTTTGGCAGGGAGATACCAACCTCTGGCCCTTTGACCTTGGGGACCTTGACGCTAGGTATCTTTGCTTCAGACATTTTGATTTTGCCCTTATCTCCAATTTCCATGTCCAAGCTAGGTGCATCTACCTCCACTTCTGGCAGCTTAAGTTCAGCTTCAAGCTGTGCAGAGGGCAATGTTATTTCCGTTTTCAATTCTGTCTTGGGCAGGTCTGTTTCCACAGAAGGGATGCTGATTTCTGCCTCTGGGACACCTTTCCCTTTGGGTAGCAAAATTCCAAATTTGGGCATATGGAACTTGGGCATTTGGAACTTCCTATCTCCGCTTTCCAGCTTGACATCAGAGCCCTGCACAGAAACCTTTCCAGATGGAGGCTCTATGGCTACGTCGGGAGTTTTCAGTTCCAGGCTGTCCGAGTCTGTTGGAATCTTCACTTCAGGTGCTGATATGATAATATATCGTCCTTTCACCTCAGGTTTCTTAACATGGAGCTCAGCTTCGGGAAGGGAAAGATCCACTTTAGGCATACTGACATCCACATCGACTTTGGAGCCCTTGATGTCTGGTTTGGAGAATCCCATGCTAGGCATCTTGAACTTTGGCATGTGTATCTTCACTCCTGCCCCTTCAATGGTGCCTTCAGCCTCTGGCAATTTTACAGCCTCTGCACCATCAGACACTTCAGCTTTTACTTTGGGAATGGTGACATCAGCCTCAACCTTTGGCAGGGAGATACCAACCTCTGGCCCTTTGACCTTGGGGACCCTGACGCTAGGCATCTTTGCTTCAGACATTTTGATTTTGCCCTTATCTCCAATTTCCATGTCCAAGCTAGGTGCATCTACCTCCACTTCTGGCAGCTTAAGTTCAGCTTCAAGCTGTGCAGAGGGCAGTGTTATTTCCATTTTCATTTCTGTCTTGGGCAGGTCTGCTTCCATAGAAGGAACATCGGTTTCTGCCTCTGGGACACCTTTCCCTTTGGGCAATGAAATTCCAAATTTGGGCATATGGAACTTGGGCATTTGGAACTTCCTATCTCCGCTTTCCAGCTTGACATCAGAGCTCTGCACAGAAACCTTTCCAGATGGAGGCTCTATGGCTACGTCGGGAGCTTTCAGTTCCAGGCTGTCCGAGTCTGTTGGAATCTTTACTTCAGGTGCTGAAATGGTAATGTCTCCTCCCTTCACTTCAGGTTTCTCAATCCGGATCTCAGCTTCAGGAAGAGAAATGTCCACTTTAGGCATACAGACATCCACATGGACTTTGTGGTCCTTGATGTCTGGTTTGGAGAATCCCATGCTGGGCATCTTGAACTTTGGCATGTGTATCTTCAGTCCTCCGCTGTCAATGGTGCCTTCAGCCTCTGGTAATTTTACAGCCTCTGCACCATCACACACTTCAGCTTTTACTTTGGGAACGGTGACATCAGCCTCAACCTTTGGCAGGGAGATACCAACCTCTGGCCCTTTGACCTTGGGGACCTTGACGCTAGGTATCTTTGCTTCAGACATTTTGATTTTGCCCTTATCTCCAATTTCCATGTCCAAGCTAGGTGCATCTACCTCCACTTCTGGCAGCTTAAGTTCAGCTTCAAGCTGTGCAGAGGGCAATGTTATTTCCGTTTTCAATTCTGTCTTGGGCAGGTCTGTTTCCACAGAAGGGATGCCGATTTCTGCCTCTGGGACACCTTTCCCTTTGGGTAGCGAAATTCCAAATTTGGGCATATGGAACTTGGGCATTTGGAACTTCCTATCTCCGCTTTCCAGCTTGACATCAGAGCCCTGCACAGAAACCTTTCCAGATGGAGGCTCTATGGCTACGTCGGGAGTTTTCAGTTCCAGGCTGTCCGAGTCTGTTGGAATCTTCACTTCAGGTGCTGATATGGTAGTGTCTCCTCCCTTCACTTCAGGTTTCTCAATCCGGATCTCAGCTTCAGGAAGAGAAATGTCCACTTTAGGCATACTGACATCCACATCGACTTTGTGGCCCTTGATGTCTGGTTTGGAGAATCCCATGCTGGGCATCTTCAACTTTGGCATGTGTATCTTCAGTCCTCCGCCATCGATGGTGCCTTCAGCCTCTGGCAATTTTATGGCCCCTGCACCATCAGACACTTCAGCTTTTACTTTGGGAACGGTGACATCAGCTTCAACCTTTGGCAGGGAGATCCCTACTTCTGGCCCTTTGACCTTGGGGACCTTGACGCTAGGCATCTTTGCTTTAGGAATTTTCATTTTGCCCTTATGTCCAATCTGCACATCCAAGCTGGGTGCATCTATCTCCATTTCGGGCAGCTTAAGATCAGCTTCAAGCTGTGCAGAAGGCAATGTTATTTCCGTTTTCAATTCTGTCTTAGGCAGGTCTGCTTCCATAGAAGGGATGCCGATTTCTGCCTCTGGAATACCTGTCCCTTTGGGCAGTGAAATTCCAAATTTGGGCATATGGAACTTGAGCATTTGGAATTTCACATCCCCACTTTCTAGTTTGACATCGGGGCCCTGCACAGAAACCTTTCCGGACGTAGGCTCTACGGCTACGTCGGGAGCTTTCAGTTCCAAGCTGGCTGAGCCCGTTGGAATCTTTACTTCAGGTGCTGATATGGTAATATCTCGTCCTTTCACCTCAGGTTTCTTAACATGGAGCTCAGCTTCGGGAAGGGAAAGATCCACTTTAGGCATACTGACATCCACATCGACTTTGGAGCCCTTGATGTCTGGTTTGGAGAATCCCATGCTAGGCATCTTGAACTTTGGCATGTGTATCTTCACTCCTGCCCCTTCAATGGTGCCTTCAGCCTCTGGCAATTTTACAGCCTCTGCACCATCAGACACTTCAGCTTTTACTTTGGGAATGGTGACATCAGCCTCAACCTTTGGCAGGGAGATACCAACCTCTGGCCCTTTGACCTTGGGGACCCTGACGCTAGGCATCTTTGCTTCAGACATTTTGATTTTGCCCTTATCTCCAATTTCCATGTCCAAGCTAGGTGCATCTACCTCCACTTCTGGCAGCTTAAGTTCAGCTTCAAGCTGTGCAGAGGGCAGTGTTATTTCCATTTTCATTTCTGTCTTGGGCAGGTCTGCTTCCATAGAAGGAACATCGGTTTCTGCCTCTGGGACACCTGTCCCTTTGGGCAATGAAATTCCAAATTTGGGCATATGGAACCTGGGCATTTGGAACTTCCTATCTCCGCTTTCCAGCTTGACATCAGAGCCCTGCACAGAAACCTTTCCAGATGGAGGCTCTATGGCTACGTCGGGAGCTTTCAGTTCCAGGCTGTCCGAGTCTGTTGGAATCTTTACTTCAGGTGCTGAAATGGTAATGTCTCCTCCCTTCACTTCAGGTTTCTCAATCCGGATCTCAGCTTCAGGAAGAGAAATGTCCACTTTAGGCATACTGACATCCACATCGACTTTGTGGTCCTTGATGTCTGGTTTGGAGAATCCCATGCTGGGCATCTTGAACTTTGGCATGTGTATCTTCAGTCCTCCGCTGTCGATGGTGCCTTCAGCCTCTGGTAATTTTACAGCCTCTGCACCATCACACACTTCAGCTTTTACTTTGGGAACGGTGACATCAGCCTCAACCTTTAGCAGGGAGATCCCTACCTCTGGCCCTTTGACTTTGGGGACCTTGGGTATCTTTGCTTCAGGCATTTTAATTTTGCCCTTATCTCCAATCTCCACGTCCAAGCTAGGTGCACCTACCTCCACTTCGGGCAGCTTAAGATCAGCTTCAAGCTGTGCAGAGGGCAATGTTATTTCCGTTTTAAATTCTGTCTTTGGTAAGTCTGCTTCCACAGAAGGGATGCCAATTTCTGCCTCTGGAATATCTGTCCCTTTGGGCAGTGAAATTCCAAATTTGGGCATATGGAACTTGGGCATTTGGAACTTCCTATCTCCGCTTTCCAGCTTGACATCAGAGCCCTGCACAGAAACCTTTCCAGATGGAGGCTCTATGGCTACATCGGGAGCTTTCAGTTCCAGGCTGTCCGAGTCTGTTGGAATCTTTACTTCAGGTGCTGAAATGGTAATGTCTCCTCCCTTCACTTCAGGTTTCTCAATCTGGATCTCAGCTTCAGGAAGAGAAATATCCACTTTAGGCATACTGACATCCACATCGACTTTGTGGTCCTTGATGTCTGGTTTGGAGAATCCCATGCTGGGCATCTTGAACTTTGGCATGTGTATCTTCAGTCCTCCCCTGTCGATGGTGCCTTCAGCCTCTGGTAATTTTACAGCCTCTGCACCATCACACACTTCAGCTTTTACTTTGGGAACGGTGACATCAGCCTCAACCTTTAGCAGGGAGATCCCTACCTCTGGCCCTTTGACTTTGGGGACCTTGGGTATCTTTGCTTCAGGCATTTTAATTTTGCCCTTATCTCCAATCTCCATGTCCAAGCTAGGTGCACCTACCTCCACTTCGGGCAGCTTAAGATCAGCTTCAAGCTGTGCAGAGGGCAATGTTATTTCCGTTTTAAATTCTGTCTTTGGTAAGTCTGCTTCCACAGAAGGGATGCCAATTTCTGCCTCTGGAATACCTGTCCCTTTGGGCAGTGAAATTCCAAATTTGGGCATATGGAACTTGGGCATTTGGAATTTCATATCCCCACTTTCCAGTTTGACATCGGGGCCCTGCATAGAAACCTTTCCGGATGCAGGCTCTACAGCTATGTCGGGAGCTTTCAGTTCCAAGCTGGCTGAGACCGTTGGAATCTTTACTTCAGGTGCTGATATGGTAATATCTCGTCCTTTCACCTCAGGTTTCTTAACATGGAGCTCAGCTTCGGGAAGGGAAAGATCCACTTTAGGCATACTGACATCCACATGGACTTTGGGGCCCTTGATGTCTGGTTTGGAGAATCCCATGCTGGGCATCTTGAACTTTGGCATGTGTATCTTTAGTCCGCCCCTATCCATGGTGCCTTCAGTCTCTGGCAATTTTACGGCCTCTGCACCATCGCACACTTCAGCTTTTACTTTGGGAACGGTGACATCAGCCTCAACCTTTGGCAGGGAGATCCCTACCTCTGGCCCTTTGACTTTGGGGACCTTGATGCTAGGAATCTTTGCTTCAGGCATTTTGATTTTGCCCTTATCTCCAATTTCCATGTCCAAGCTAGGTGCATCTACCTCCACTTCTGGCAGCTTAAGTTCAGCTTCAAGCTGTGCAGAGGGCAGTGTTATTTCCCTTTTCATTTTTGTCTTGGGCAGTTCTGCTTCCATAGAAGGAACCTCGGTTTCTGCCTCTGGGACACCTTTCCCTTTGGGCAATGAAATTCCAAATTTGGGCATATGGAACTTGGGCATTTGGAACTTCCTATCTCCGCTTTCCAGCTTGACATCAGAGCCCTGCACAGAAACCATTCCAGATGGAGGCTCTATGGCTATGTCGGGAGTTTTCAGTTCCAGGCTGTCCGAGTCTGTTGGAATCTTTACTTCAGGTGCTGAAATGGTAATGTCTCCTCCCTTCACTTCAGGTTTCTCAATCCGGATCTCAGCTTCAGGAAGAGAAATGTCCACTTTAGGCATACTGACATCCACATCGACTTTGTGGTCCTTGATGTCTGGTTTGGAGAATCCCATGCTGGGCATCTTGAACTTTGGCATGTGTATCTTCAGTCCTCCCCTGTCGATGGTGCCTTCAGCCTCTGGTAATTTTACAGCCTCTGCACCATCACACACTTCAACTTTTACTTTGGGAACGGTGACATCAGCCTCAACCTTTGGCAGGGAGATCCCTACCTCTGGCCCTTTGACTTTGGGGACCTTGGATATCTTTGCTTCAGGCATTTTAATTTTGCCCTTATCTCCAATCTCCACGTCCAAGCTAGGTGCACCTACCTCCACTTCAGGCAGCTTAAGATCAGCTTCAAGCTGTGCAGAGGGCAATGTTATTTCCGTTTTAAATTCTGTCTTTGGTAAGTCTGCTTCCACAGAAGGGATGCCAATTTCTGCCTCTGGAATATCTGTCCCTTTAGGCAGTGAAATTCCAAATTTGGGCATATGGAACTTAGGCATTTGGAATTTCATATCACCACTTTCCAGTTTGACATCGGGGCCCTGCATAGAAACCTTTCCGGATGCAGGCTCTAAGGCTATGTCGGGAGCTTTCAGTTCCAAGCTGACCGAGTCCGTTGGAATCTTTACTTCAGCTGTTGATATGGTAATATCTCCTCCTTTCACCTCAGGTTTCTGAATATGGAGCTCAGCTTCGGGAAGGGAAAGATCCACTTTAGGCATACTGACATCCACATCGATTTTTGGGCCCTTGATGTCTGGTTTGGAGAATCCCATGCTAGGCATCTTGAACTTTGGCATGTGTATCTTTAGTCCGCCCCTATCCATGGTGCCTTCAGCCTCTGGTAATTTTATGGCCTCTGCACCATCAGACACCTCAGCTTTTACTTTGGGAACGGTGACATCAGCCTCAACCTTTGGCAGGGAGATACCAACTTCTGGCTCTTTGAGCTTGCGAACCTTGATGCTAGGAATCTTTGCTTCAGGCATTTTGATTTTGCCCTTATCTCCAATTTCCATGTCCAAGCTAGGTGCATCTACCTCCACTTCTGGCAGCTTAAGTTCAGCTTCAAGCTGTGCAGAGGGCAATGTTATTTCCGTTTTCAATTCTGTCTTGGGCAGGTCTGCTTCCATAGAAGGGATGCCGATTTCTCCCTCTGGAACACCTTTCCCTTTGGGCAGCGAAATTCCAAATTTGGGCATATGGAACTTAGGCATTTGGAACTTCCTATCCCCGCTTTTCAGCTTGACATCGGGGCCCTGCACAGAAACCTTTCCTGATGGAGGCTCTATGGCTATGTCGGTAGCTTTCAGTTCCAGGCTGACCGAGTCCGTTGGAATCTTTACTTCAGGTGCTGATATGGTAATATCTCGTCCTTTTACCTCAGGTTTCTTAAGATGGAGCTCAGCTTCGGGAAGAGAAAGATCCACTTTAGGCATACTGACATCCACATCAACTTTGGGGCCCTTGATGTCTGGTTTGGAGAATCCCATGCTGGGCATCTTGAACTTTGGCATGTGTATCTTTAGTCCTCCCCTATCGATGGTGCCTTCAGCCTCTGGCAATTTTATCTCTGCACCATCAGACACTTCAGCTTTTACATTGGGAAGGGCGACATCAGCCTCAACCTTTGGCAGGGAGATCCCTACTTCTGGCCCTTTGACCTTGCAGACTTTGACACTAGGTATCTTTGCTTCAGGCATTTTGATTTTGCCCTTATCTCCAATCTCCACGTCCAAGCTAGGTGCACCTACCTCCACTTCGGGCAGCTTAAGATCAGCTTCAAGCTGCGCAGAGGGCAATGTTATTTCTGTTTTCAATTCTGTCTTTGGTAAGTCTGCTTCCACAGAAGGGATGCCGATTTCTGCCTCTGGAATACCTGTCCCTTTGGGCAGTGAAATTCCAAATTTGGGCATATGGAACTTAGGCATTTGGAATTTTATATCCCCACTTTCCAGTTTGACATCGGGGCCCTGCACAGAAACCTTTCCGGAGGCAGGCGCTACGGGTATGTCGGGAGCTTTCAGTTCCAAGCTGGCTGAACCCATTGGAATCTTTACTTCAGGTGCTGATTTTGTAATGTCTCCTCCTTTCACCTCAGGTTTCTCAACATGGACCTTGACACTAGGCATGTGTATCTTCAGTCCTCTCTCATCAATGGTGCCTTTAGGCTCTGGCAATTGTACAACTGCTGCAGCATCAGACCCTTCAACTTTTTGTTTGGGAAGGGTAACATCAGCCTCAATCTTTGGCACGGCGATCCCTACTTCTGGCGGTTTCAGTTTGGCGACCTTGACACTAGGCATCTTCAGTGCAGGCATTTTGATTTTGCCCTTATCTCTAATCTCCATGTCCAAGCTGGGGCCCTGTATGTCAACTTCTGTCAAGTTAATGTTGGCTTCAATCTCTGCAAATGTTTTGGGGAGGTCTGCCTCTATGGAAGATATGGACTGTTCTTCCTCTGGAACACCTTTCCCTTTGGGAAGTGAAACCCCAAATTTGGGCATTTGTAATTTTAACATGTTAAACTTAGTTTCTTTATCTTCTAGGGTAATGGCTGAGCTTTCTGCAGGAATTTCTTCTGATAGAATATTTCTTTCTCGGTCTGGTGTTTTCAATTCCAAAATGCCCTGGCCTGCTATTGACTTTACGTCAGATAATGAGATGTTGATATCAGCAGTAAGCTCAGGTTTGGTAGCCTTATGGTCAGCTTTGGGAAGGGAGAAATCCATTTTAGGCATTTTGATATCCACCTCAACTTTGGGACCTTCAGTTTGTGGTAATACATACTTGCTAGCAATATTTGTTTCTTTTCCTTTTTCCTCTTTTGGATATTGGGTTTCAAGTTGTACTTTTGAATCTTTTAGCTTTTTTTTCCTTATTTTTGGAATATTTTGTGAAACTTTGATCTGAGAGTCTGTAATGTCTTTAGTATGAATTACTGCTGTTTTCATCTGTGTTTTTACAACTGTAGGTTCTTGTTTTGTAAATTCTATATTGGGTTTTAGTTTCTTCTCTTTGGGTTTTGTAATAGTTACTTCAATAGCAGGGTATTTTTGTGTATGTTGTGGAATTGGAAATACTGTGTCTGATACACCTCTTTTTGGCTCTTTTTCTTTTGATTTTCTGTCTACATTTAATGAAGTATACTCTCTTGTCATTACTTCTGAGAGCTCCATAGTAGTATCATTCTCATATTCTTTGAATGGATTTATTTCATATGGTTCTTGTTTACTTTTGTGCATCTTGAATCCAATAGTTGGAAACTTTAGTTTCTTTTGGCTTTGTTTTTTCATTTTCCCATGAATTTCTTCTGGCTGGAATTGTGATTCTGTATCGGTGCTTGTGGGAGAAACATCTGGAATTCCATGTTCATATGCATCTGATGTACTTCGAGATCTTCTGTGTCCCAAAATCTTCTTTCCTTTAATGGACTGGAATTTTGGCCATGAGAGTCTATCCTTCTTGGTTCTTTTTTGTCTTCCCACTCTTTGTTTTACAATTAAGTTTGCTTTATCTTCTTCTGAGATTGTCTTCTCAGATATTTCCATTGTATCCATTCCCTGGGGAGAAAAATTCTAAAATGAATAGGTTTGTTTATGAAAGTGTATATGGAACATTATTTATGTCATTTTTAATTTTTATTTACAAGGATTATACGATGCCACAGTGAGCTCCCCAAATCTTAATTAAAATAAACACAATTTGTGCAAACAATTATGGGCATCAGGAATAAAATATTTTTTTAAAAAATATAATTTAAAAATTTTGCTTAGCGAAAGAGGCTTGGTAAAATACTACCAACTACTGTCTTTCTGAAGATCACAATGGAAAGGCCCATCCAAATGTCTGGTAGATTACGATTCCTGAGAAGGCACCCTGACTAATGAGTAACAAGGCATGCTTCTGTAGGATTCATAGGTAGTAATGTCTGTTCAAAAGGATACAAGATTTCTTTATTGGATGTTCCTAGATGGGCAGCTAAGATCCAGGCCCTGAACCATTAAAGGTGACAACCAGAGGCTGGAAGTCAACTGGCAATTGGTGTGGCAGTATCAGCATCAATGCTATATGAGGAATGTTGTTTTCACTTTTTAATTAATTTTAAAAATGTTTTATCATGCTTGCCTCTTTTTAAATTTTCTAACTTTTATATACTGTTTTTATTTTTTAATATTTCACTGTACACAGTCCAGACTTTCTTTTTGAGGGAGATAAGCAGTTCAGAAATATGAAAAATCAATCAGTCAACCAACTTAAGATATGAGGAGCAGGATAGAAAGAATGCTGATGCTTCAGAATTTAATATTGGAGAAGACTCCTGAAAATACCATGGATAGCCAAGACAATAAGAAATGGATCAGAATAGCAGAATAACAGAGTTGGAAGGGATGTTGGAGATCTTCTACTCTAACCCCCTCCTCAGGCAGGGCATCCTATATTATTTCAGACAACTTGTTGTCCAATCTTTTCTTAAAACCTCCAGTGTTGGAGCACCCACAACCCAGAGTCTCACTTGAGATACAAATGACCAAGATCAAATTATAATTCTTTGGAATTATAAGGTTAAATGTAAAAATTCTCTAAAATACAAAAAAGGAGGATTGTGATTGCCTGACTTAAAATTGTATTTTGTAGCCTCTTATTTGGTTTGGATAAAATAATTGTTACTATTAAGAAATAAGAGAATGTTAGAACTATAAGAACACAACCTAGAATGAGTTTTGTGATATGATAAAATTAAAGGTTTTATCTTTAAAATATGGAACAGATATAAACCCAAGCTATGCCCCAAAATATTTAATGGCTTCAACAGGCACAGAAAAATGGTTAATATATCAAGATTTATTAGTACAAGAAAATTGAGAAGTTAAGATGAAATCAGGAGAACAAATGACTGCAGGGGATTTATTTATCAATAGTTTTCTTAAGCACAATGAAGGGAAAAGTTTAATATTGATAAAAAGCTACCAGGTATAAGACAAAATGCAATTTGAAATAGAATTACGTATAAATGATGAACATGTATTTGCTAAAATGTACCAACTTTTACTAAGATTTGAAATTAAGTTAAAGAGTGCATAGTAAAGTGGGCTAAGAAATTTGATTAAACATACAAATGACTCAGTTGGAAAGAACGTGATTAAAGGTGGTTGAAATCCACATTCTTTTTTCTTCATCTTTATTCCTTTCCAACCCTTCAATATTTTTTCATGTTTATCTTTTATCTTTGTAAAAATTCTTTAATAATTATTTGGACATATTATACAGGTGGAATTGTGGAAAATCCATTTCTGATCACAGACTCTATTACTTTCTATAGCAGTGGTTCTCAACCTGTGGGTCGGGACCCCATTTGGGGTCGAACGACCATTTCACGGGGGTCGGCAAACAACGCAGCCCGCCATTTTTCCCCCCTTTTCCTTAGCTATGCTACTCCCTTTTATTCTATTGGCTTTTGAAAGCCAATAGAATAGACTCTCTTGAATAGAGTCTAATTCTATTGGCTTTCAAAAGCCAATAGGAATTGTCCAGGCTGTCTCTGCCCTTGCTGAGCCCGCCAAAAGTCCCATTCTGCAAACGGTGCTGCACCAGTTGAGTAGTCCTTGACTTACGACCGGTTGAGTAGTCCTCGACTTACGACCGGTTGGGGGTCGCGGCATTAAAAAGGTTGAGAATCACTGTTCTATAGCTAGTAGTAACAATTGCTGTAATGTGTTTTTATAAACACATTACAGTAATTGTGTTTCTTTGTTAAATTTATAGTGAGAATTGAGTTGCCTTACTTTCAAATATCTCCTGAGCAGAAACGCAGCAGATCAAGAGAAAACTGAGTGAATAGAATAGAATAGAAACTGGAAGGGACCTTGGAGGTCTTCTAGTCTAGCCCCCTGCTCAAGCAGGAGAATCTATACCATTTCAGACAAGTGACTGTCTAATCTCTTCTTAAAAACCTCCAGTGATGGAGCGCCCATGATTTCTGAAGGCAAGCTGTTCCACTTTTTAATTGTCCTCACAGTCAGGAAGTTTTTCCTTAATTCCAGGTTGCTTCTCTCTTTGTTCAGTTTCCAACCATTGTTTCTTGTCTTGCCCTCTGGTGCTTTGGAGAATAATTTGACCCCCTCTTCTTTGTGGCAGCCTCTCAAATACTGGAATACTGCTATCGTGTCACCCCTATTTCTTCTTTTCTTTAAACTAGCCAAACCCAAGTCCTACACACCTGTTCTTCATATGTTTTAGTCTCCAGGCCTTGGATCATATTAGTTGTTCTTCTCTGAACTTTTTCCAAGGTCTCAACATCTTTTTTGTAGTATGGGGACCAAAATTGATTGCAGTATTCCAGGTGTGGGCTCACTAGGGTTTTATAAAATGGTACTAATACTTTGCATGATCTTGATTCTATGCCTCTGTTTATACAACCCAGGATTGTATTAGCTTTTTTGGCTGCTGCAGTGGTTTTAGATTATTTAATTTTTCTCATCTTAACTTTATCTCATCTAAATCTTAGGGATATAGTGACTATAAAATGAGCTGAGATACAAACATTTAAAGATCAGGCATCAAACAAGTAAGGAAATGCTTAGAAAAAAATTTCAATCAATTCAAACAATTAAAATAAATTATATAAGAAATTGTCGATGGAGCCTGACTTTTGGAATACCCTGTATCTCTTCATTGTACTTATCCTAGGGAAGAACCTCAAAGTTTTGCCTCAAATTTTATTTCCCTTTGGGTGGGATGGGGAAACTTTTTTAAAAGTCCTAAAATTGCTTTACTAATGGGTGGATTTTCATGATTACAGCTTAATCCATAGTATAATTTAAGAATTATATATTACCTGACTTAATTTTTCCTTTTTGGACTGTGTTGCAGAATGTATTGTTTCCAGCTCATCTTTCCCAACAAGTTTTCTTTTAAGACTGAACTGTACTTTGTATGGTTCAGAATATTGTAGTATTTTAAGTGCATCTTCATATTTGATGTTATCAAAAAAGATCGTGGCGCTCAAAAGCTGATCACCTAGAAAACAGAAACAGGGCTTACAGACGATCAAATAAATCCATCAGTTCCTTGTCTGAATTTGCAAATTATACTACTTTTCATTCAGTTTTTAAAAGTATATACAGGTACTTCTCAATTTACAAGTGTAATTGAGCCTGGAATTATGGTTGTAAATTATACTGGTCATTAAGCAGGTCATTAAACAAGTGACCATGCTCAATTTTACAGTCTTTTCGGTTGTGGTCATTAAGTGAACATGGCAGTCATAAAGTGAACACTACAATTGACAAAAAACACAGTAAATTGCAGTCGTGTGACTGCAAGATGTTGCAAACGGCCATAAATACAGGCTAGTTCCTAAGTGCCCAGATGCAATCATGTGGCCCGTAGGGGCAACCATCAGAACTTCAAATCCAAGTCATATGTACCTTTTGGGGGGTCCACTGTAACTTTGATCTGGGCATAAGTCGAGGACTACTTGTACTACTTTACCATGCCCTGCAGAATGTTCATCATTCACTAGTATGCATACCTTTTATAAAGTACTGTATATTATTTTTTTATTTTTATTTTTAAAAAATATGTTTTATTGATTAATAAATACCTTAATATTTGGTAAACATCATTTTATCTGGGTTAGTATTTAAAAAACAATCAATAACAATTAATTTCTATAATTCTATAGTCTATATAATAGCTTTACTTGATTTCCTCTTCTTCCAATAATATTCTCTTTTGTCAACCTTAAATTAATACAGTTGTTATTTAAATAAATGCCAATTAAATATAAACATTTTTCTCATGTTTCTGCAAATAATAACCACATCAATATAAAGCTTCTTTCATTGATCATCTTGACTGCCTCGTCATAAATCCTGTTTACATTCTTATTTAAATTTGTTTTCCCCACAATATTCAAAACATTCTTACTGGTTAAGATTTTCTCAAAATTAGTTACACTTAAGTATTTAAGTCTTTTTTCTCATACAAGCCATCACATTTTTACATTTCTCATATCTTAAAGAAAAATGAGAGAGAAAAAGACAAAACAGAGAAAACATTTCTTTTATGTAAACCATCCCAACATTTTTATATTTATCATGTCAAAAAACCAAACACAAAAGAAAAAAGAAAGCATACTATATTACTTGAGGGGTTCATCCCTCTTAAACTAATCTTCATTAATATTCAAAATCTTTCTATTTCTTTAACCATATTCAAAAAAATGTTTAATTTTTAAATACTCCCTCTGGTAATTCCCATCATCTAATTTCTTAATTCTCACTTCAGCCTTTTTTTTTTGCCCAACATCTTCCCTGTTTAATATGCTTCAATCAATCAAAGAATCTTCCCATAATCTTAGAAATGTTGTTGCAGGTAGAAAAGGCAAAACAGGCAAGATGTTTTTATAGGAAGGTTATGCCTTTCATATTCATTGAAAATCTTTTCCTCTTTTTCTTTCTTGATTTTCTTTATTATTTTTTGTCTCTCAAGTTCTCATAATTCTTCTGGCAAAATCCATTTTGCCAAATCTTTTTTCTTGTCCTTAAACTTATTTGTAATCTTAAAGTGTAGTTTGCTGTAATTTTTTTTCCATCTGGGTTAAGCCATACTTCCTTGTATTGTTAAATTCCATCTTGAAATATCTCTCCTCTGTCTCGTATTCAGTTGTCTGTTTTTTCTGCTCACTCTCTATTTTTATTTTCTGAGAATTTTTATGTTATAAAATTAAATTGGAGATGTGTTTATTTATGTTTTCAAGGTTATGTTTAATTTCCTTGTGGTTTGAGATTATTGTTATTTCTCTGCAGACAGCTTTAGATTCACAGTTGAGTTAGTACTTGTAATCCAGAGAGGTCAATTCTTTTTTTTTTTTAGAGTTTATAATTCTCACTTTGAAGAAAGCCCAAGATGTTTTCTTTTTTTTTTTCTTTCTTTTTTGTCACAGTTGTTCTCTGTTATTAAGACATTGAAGGTCACCAAAATCAAATTTATCTTTTCCTGGGCCTTGCCAGTCCCTGTAATAGAGCAGCTGTTGTATATTTTCATCTACCATTAGATGTCAGCACCAGTTCTTTCAGTAATAAACAATTATTTACTTCTATTTTCATGATATAAAAGGAAAATCTTAACAGATTCCACCGATTTCAAACTTTTCCAAGTTAAGTCTTATATTCTTTTCATTTCAATATATTTCTGTTCCCCCTGAAAGGTTTAATTTGCTGCTTCCATCTGCAGGAGGGGAGGCAAAGGTCCCCCTCCTTCTCACTTTTGGAGGCTTTTTGCTTCTTGGAGTTTTTCTTTTCTTTTCTTTTTTTCCTAGGAAATCAATTTCTAAGCAGAAGAGAGAAAATAACTGTTCTTACCCAGTTCCAAACACATTGTTTACAGTCAGCTTGAAGTAGTACTTTTGGACTTCGGTTGCTTGTAGGTTGGGCTAGACCACAGGTCCGCAACCTGCGGCTCCGGAGCCGCATGCGGCTCTTTGAGCCTTCCCCTGTGGCTCCCAGCCTCCTCTGCCTTTGCAGAGAGAGACAGAGACAAAGAGAGGCAATTGCGCTTCCCTGCTTCTCTCTCTCTCTCTCTCTGTGTGTGGTGTGTGTGTGTGTGTGTGTGTGTGTATGTGTGTATGTGTAAAAGAGAGTGCACTCACATTGTTCTCCGAGGAGCTGAAAAGCTTTCTGGGCGGAGCTCCTCCCTTTGCTGCGTCTCAGCAGGAAGCAGGAAGGGCAGGAGAGAGCTAGCTAGCCCAGCTAGGCTGACTCAGGAATTCTGGGAGTTGAAGTCCATGAGTCATAAAAGAGACGAGGTTGCCTACCCCTGAGATTGTTGGAGAACAACTTGAAGCTTGCCAGGTGAGCAGCAGATGGGGGGGGAGAAAGAGAGAGAGAGAAAGAGAGAGAGAGAGGGAGGGGGAGAGAGAGAGGAAAGAGAGAGAAAGAAAGAGAGTGGGGGAAGAGGAGTGGCAGACCAAGGGCAGAGAGGGAGGGAGGGAGAGAGACAGAGAGAGAGAGACCCTTTTGACATCTAAAATGAAGATAACACTGCATATATCCTTTTTTTACCTGTGTGTGTATGTAATTTTATTCTCTTAAAGCATTCTCTCGGTGATCATTGTTTTAATAGTATGGATATTCCCAAGAGTCATATTTTTACTTTTATTTTTAATGTGTGTGTGTGTGTGTGTGTGTGTGTGTGTGTGTGTGTGTATACACACACATACACAAACACACACTCTCTCTCTCTCTCTCACTCACACACACACACACACACACACCTATAATAAAGATAAAAAAGGATATATGCAGTGTTATCTTCATTTTAGATTTCAAAAGGGTTTTGCGGCTCCCGGTGTTTTGTTTTTGGTGGGAAACGGGTTCAAGTGGCTCTTTGAGTGTTTTGGGTTGCCTACCCCTGGGCTAGACTCAGAAGTTAAGCTAGCCTCTTCTCCTGCCGGTTTCTGGAGGGCTTTTCCCAAACCAATTGGATAAACCACTGTCTATCCACAATTAGTGGGACTTCCTCCCTTCTATGTTGCCTCTATGGGGCAACTTCAGGCCCATTCAGGGTCCCTGGCAGGCAGAACTCAGCAGAGGTGCAGAGCCCTGCAATCCCTTGGCTGCTGAACTACTGCGCAAAACCGGAAGTCTGTATATTATTTTTTTTAATGTATGCTTTAAAGATATGGCCATTTTCTTAGATAATGATTTAAAGAGAAAATGTAAATATAATTTGAGAGCAATACTGTACCTTCTCTTAGACTAAATAGTTTTGATGCTGAGGACTCCTTAAGCACTTGCTTCACAAATAGGCCTTCGGCTCCCCCACCAACCACACTGAATCCACTTGCGCCAGATTCCACTTCTGTTTGTAATGTCACTTCCATAGATTCCTAGTTAGTCCCAAAAATTAAGCTATTAAATCTCATCTCTAAATTAGTTCATTCTTCAATTCATTTATATCATAAGGTCACTTACACTGTCATTAACATAATCATAACCTTCACTGTACTATATTGCCAGAAATATCACATATTAAATTTACTAAAACACCACAAACATTTCCTGGCACTGAAAGACAAGCAAAATTATAGAACAGATAGCAAGGTTTTTTAGAGATTAGATTTATTATCAGCTTGCTGGATGAGTACTGTGAATAAGCCTATCACAAGATCAGAATGTAGGATTTGACAAGAAAGTATTAATATTTCTTAATGATCCATGACAGGCAGATAAAGATTTTTAGAAGATATAAACATCTCTCTGATATTTTTAGAATGGAAGACAAGTAATTTTAAATAAGAATTAAACAGTCAGCAATGATAAAATATCTAACCAGATAAAATCTTCCATCTAAATGTCTTAATACCATACATATGTATAATTATTTTTCAAAAGACACATGTTCCTGAAAAAAAAAACCCTCAGAACACACATCTTCATTCCTTTGGATCTTATGACAATACTATTTATAGTCACTAGTAATTCATAAAATTATAAAATATATTCGTTGAAAAGGACTGTGTTGATTTGCCTTCTCTTCCATGTAATGAGCTTTTAGGCAGTTGCATTACTCCTTAGTATTCTTTTTTTTTTTTTTTAGCTAATCATACCCAACTCCTTGATTTCTTTATTCATTTCTCATAGAGCTTGCTTTCCAAGCTTTCCATTGTTTCCCAGCCTGGTAAGTTTTCTCTCAACTTATTCCAGTTTCTCCACATCCTTTTTAAAGGAAGGGGGGGACATATGGCTTGACCAAAGAAATATTACTTCCTGTAATTTAGATGTAATACTTCTGTTAAAGCAGAACAAGACTGCATTGAACATTTTAGCAATTGCATAATTCCACTTGTTCAACTAGTACTATAGATTTTTCTCACACTCTTCAATTTCTAGTATTTAATTTTGAAAAATGCTAAGGTAATATAATTGTCTACTTAAAAACAAAACATTAATGGCTTCTTCCAGAAGAGATTTTGTCTTCTACAGAACCTAATTTTATTATCATAGTACTTTAACTGTTCCTTCCTTCCTTCCTTCCTTCCTTCCTTCCTTCCTTCCTTCCTTCCTTCCTTCCTTCCTTCCTTCCTTCCTTCCTTCCTTCCTTTATTTTCATTTAGTAAAATGAATTTATTTAGGACATTAATGGCTATAATTTGACTTCAGCCACTAGCAAATCCTGTTTATTTACATAGGTATTCAACTGTAAATAAATCAGGCATCAAAATAACTTGAATAAACATTGTGGAAAAATATGCATACTAACTTTTCCACAGGATTTGATTCCCAGCCCTGTATTATTTCAAATAGATCAGTGCCAGAAAACTACAATTAGCCTACTGGACTTAGTCACACATACTAAGATGTAAAATGTGATCGGCGAGACTAAATTTAAAAGGCTTTAAGAGGATTTAAAGGACTTGTTTAATTGTTCAAAGGCCAGCTAGTTTACCAGCTTGAACTAAAGAGCTCTTATGCTACCAACCAGTCTCTAGATAGGTTTGGTGAAATTTTATGTTCTATATTTGTCGCCTTTAAAACAGAACAGAAACAGAAATAATGTTTCTCTATGCTATATGACAACTTATGACCACAACAGAGCCCAAAATTTCTGTTGCTAAGTGAGACATTTGTTAAGTGAGTTTTGCACCATTTTACAACCTTTCTTGGCACAGTTGTTAAATGAATCATGCAGTTGTTAAGTTTGTAACACAGTTGTTGAGTGAATCTGGTTTCCCCATTGACTTTGCTTTTCAGAAGGTTGCCAAAGATGATCACATGACTCGGACTCTGCAACTGTCATAAATATGAACCAGTTACCAAGTGTCTATATTCTGATTGTGTGACCGTGGGAATGTTGCAATGGTCGTGAGTATGAATAATGTTTATTTTTTTTTTAAATAATTTTTTTAAAATAATTTTTTTCAGTGCCATTGTAACTTCAAACAGTCACTAAATGATGGTTGTGAGGACTACCTGTATAATAGTAGTATACTGAATTATATTATAATCTAGCAGAGGGAATCTATGCAAAATTTACAGCAGGATTATTGTTGGCATTTATTAGGAATGATATATGTTCTTGGAACAGGACTGCATCTGTAGCAAATCAGTTGTTTGCCAGTTTGAATAGCTCCAATCACTTATTCAATGTAAAGGACTAATTCTAGCTGCAGTAATGCTATCAGTGCTGGTTGGAGCGAACATTTGCTGTGAATGTGTTCAGGGCTGTGTGCAGAAATATTAATAAAATGCAGAATGTGATAGTGGGTGAAGAACTCATACAACTTGCTTATTTTAAATTTATGTTGGAGTGACAGAATATATATTAGTGTAATTATGTAATAGTGTTGTGAAATTTCAGTTCCAGAAGTTCAGTTCGGTTACAAAAAGTGACTGAGTGAAAATTTCACGTTGTTTAACATCTGTACCTATCTAATGCAAGTAAAAAAATCAATTGTCATCTAATGAGACTCAGGATTTTCAAGAATTCTAACACAATGTTTTTCTATATTAAAAGATACACCGGAAGCTTAACAAATACTTAATCTCACCTGTGAGTCACTCATTTTGAAGGTTGATTCTCTTCTTTGTCTGTTCTCTATATCTTGCTGAAGCTGGAAATAAACATGCAATCTTTAATGCTTAGTTGTATGTCATCAACAGTGAAGGGAGTATGAACCAAAGAAACAGTCCTGGGAAGATGCCTCAGAAATACATATAACTTAGAGGCTTAGATGGCAGCAGAGTTCTACTGATAATGTTTGGACAAAATGGCAGCAGAGCACTGGGAAGAAGTCAGCCTAGAAAGTGATGGTAAGAATGGATCATGCCACAAGTGGCAGAACTGGCCTCCAAGGAGAGTGGTGGATTGGACTGTGAAGGATACTGAGATGCCCTCTGCTTCCTCAGATTCAATGATGGCTTTTCCAGGATCATCATTTGCCAGTATGGATGCCCCATTTGCCAGTATGGATGCCCCATGAGATGGCATTGGCAGGAGACCTTCCATCACACAAAAACAAGAGGCTTTCAATATTTCTAAGATGTGACACAGTTAACTGTCTTTTTTTTTTTCCAGTTAACTACCTTGTAACGAACAACATGTGGGACAAAGGTTCTGCAGTTTACATGAAGCTAGCCTTAAACAAATCTGTCATATCCCCCCATTTTGGCATTGCTCCTGACTTATACTGAAGATAAAAAAAAACACCCATGGCTCAAGTTTTGTTGTAGAGAATACTGTTCTTATTCCAACCTCAAAGACTATAATGCTTCATGTCTCCCTATTTACTTCAGCAGAATGTGTAATACAATGTACATTCAGCACTCTCTGGGCCAGCAGCTCTACATGTAAATGTACATACTATGCTCTCCTGCCTATCACTCTCTATGCTGGCACCTCTATGTGCAAAAGCCCATCATGTAGGAGCCTTGGTGGGGCAGTGCTTAGAATGGAGTATTGCAGATTAACTCTGCGCATAGCCTAGAGTTCGATCCTGATGGGGCTCAAAGTTGACTTCCATCCTTCCGAAGTTGGTAAAATGAGGATCCAGATTGTTGGGAGCAATATGCAAATAATGCTGACATTGTCAACCACCCAGAGAGTGCTGCAAAGCATTATGGAGTGGTATATCTTCCAAATACTATTGCTATCATATTCTACTGTCCCTCACTTTTTCCATCAGCAACTGTATGCAACTGCACACATAATGCTTGCTTAATATCTGCTCTTCCTGCTGGGAATTTGACATATAAATACAGTCATCTGCCTTTTCACTTTCAAAGCTGGGAGTTTCAGCACCTTCTATCTTTCCCTGGAGCATTACTTTCCCTTTAAAAAGAGCCAATGCTCTAATTTTACTTTTTTTTTAAAAAAAGGTATTTTTTCATTATCTTAAGCAACCTTGCAGTTTTCTCTTTCATTTCTGAATCATTGCATCATATATAAGTGATAATAAGTGATGGTACAGCATTTTTGCTAGGATACTCTTGCAGAGCATACAGAACAGGAAAAAATGTCTGGCCTGTTAGCCAGTCAATATTAATTTTGACTTTAACTTTAAGGGGCTAAGGAAGGCACTATAACTGTGTCAATGGCTCCAAAGGCTTACAGATTGTTACCTATAACTAAAACGTACAGTATACTATAAACTCTTTCATTTTGAATCTTACCTTTTTGTTAAAATATTCGTCTTCTATGCAATATTCATACACTGGAGAAGATCCTTGTGGCCTAGGTCTTATACTTTCAGTTGTCACTTCACTGATCTATAGAAACGGAGAAACACCATTAGCTTATCCCTTATTGAATCATACACAATAACATTTGGAGTCCTTTAATCTAGGAAGGCTGTCAGTCCAGAAAGGATAAGCTTGGAAATTGTTAAATCATTTCTCTTTAGTGGAGAGTGTAAAAACTAAAACAGTTTCATATAAGAATTATGGTAGAGAAGCCACATTTAAAAGTATCATACAATTCTTTTTTTTTTTTAATTGAATTTTTTTTCAAAATTTTTACAAATAAACATCCACCCCCCCTCCCAAACCACCCCCCCTCCCCCCCCGACTTCCCAGAACTGAATATAGGATTATTTAACAAATTTTAAAAAATAACGTTTACAATTTATAAGATAATTAATAAAAATAATAAAGGTCATAATAATAATATATATAATAATATATATAATAATAATATGCATAACATAAGCTTTAAAATGAATAATATATACTAAAAAAGAAAGAAAAAAAAGGGAAAAGAAAAGAGAGAGAGAAAGAAAAAAGAAAAAAGTAGACGAAAAATAGAACATATATATAAAAAAAATATATATATAAGTAATAATACGTAAAGAAAAAAGGAAGAAAGAAAGAAGGAAAAAACAATCATTACAAGTTATAAAAAAGCTAAATGGTATTTTTCCATATCCAAATTATATTGTATGAAATTTATCCATTTTTCCCATACTGCAAAGAATTTCTCTTGAGATTGCTCCTTTAAAAAAGCCGAAATCTTTGCCATTTCTGCCAGATACGAAACTTTGTGAAACCACTCTTGCAAAGTAGGCAAGGATTCCTTCTTCCAATATTGCCCTATTAACAGCCTAGCGGCTGTAACCAAATTTAACATCAATATAACCTCCTTAGCATCACAATCAGTAACAATACCTAGTAAAAATAATTGCGGAGTAAATTTTACCCTCCGTTTAAAAATTCTTTGGATATTCCACCATATCTTAATCAAAAGTATCATACAATTCTTAATTAGGGGTCTTTTGTTTTCATGTTAATTTCATGGACTTAAAAAAATGATTCTCTATTGTGAGAAACAAGATGGTGGATTATACTATTCTTCAATTTGATCGAGCAGGACACTGAATAATGTCAAATTCTTATTAAATTAGCCAAATGGATATAATATAAGTAGTCCTCACTTAACAATCGTAATTGGGACTGGAATTTCTATTCCTAAGTGACGTGCTTATAAAGCATAATATCATTTAATGACAGAAATTCTGGTACTTCCCAATGTCATCATTAAGTGAATCACCATGGGTCATTAAGCAAGAACATCATATAGCTTCCATTTATGACAGGGGTGTCAAACTGCCAGCCCATGGGCCAGATGCGTCATGTAGAAGCCGCATTGCCGGCAACGGCAAAACACTCCCGATACATCGCGCAATATCATGTGACGTCGCGAGTTTGACATGTCTGATTTATGATCTCCTGCCAGCTTTCCCATTGACCTGCTTATAGGAAGTTGTCAAAGAAAGTTGCAAATAGCGATCATATGATTGTAGGATGTTGTGATGTTGTCATTGTGAGCTAGAGGCTGATTGTGATTGCATGACTACAGTGACTACAGGAATGCTGCAACCAACATAAATATGAGAACTGGTCATGAGTACTATTTGCCCAGTGCCTTTGTTAAGTTCAAACAGTTGCCGAAAAAGTGATCATTAAATGTATCTTATAATCACTTAAATATGAGCCAGCAGTGTGCTGCAGCTGCCAAAAAGGCCAAGACAACAGTGCTGGGCTGCATTAACAGAGGGATAGAATCAAGATCACATGAAGTTTTAATACCACTTTACAATGCTTTGGTAAGGCCCCACTTGGAATACTGCATACAGTTTTGGTCACCACGATGTAAAAAAGATGTTGAGACTCTAGAAAGAGTACAGAGAAGATGTAGGGGACTGGAGGCCAAAGCATATAAGGAAAGGCTGCTGGAATTGGATATGTCTAGTTTAATGAAGAGAAAGATGAGGGGGGACATTATAGCAGTATTCCAATATCTCAGGGGCTGCCACAAAGAAGAGAGAGTCAAGCTATTTTCCAGGGCCCTTGAGGACAGGACAAGAAGCAATGGATGGAAACTAATCAAGGAGAGAAGCAACCTAGAACTAAGGAGAAACTTCTTGACAGTTAGAACAATTAAGCAGTGGAACAACCTGCCTCCAGAAGTGGTGAATGCTCCAACACTGGAAGTTTTTAAGAAGAGATTGGACAGCCATTTGTCCGAAATGGTATAGGGTTTCCCGCCTGAGCAGGGGATTGGACTAGATGACCTCCAAGGTCCCTTCCAACTTTATTATTATTATTATTATTATTATTATTATTATTATTATTATTATGATCATCGCACAGTCAGCCAGATGTTCAGACTGGATTTGGCATTTTGTCTACCTATCGAGTCCTTACCCAGGACCTGGGATAGGCAGATGTGGATGTTTGATGGTATTACAGATATCGTCGCAGGATGGAAGCAGTTCCTAATAAGGCTGCCTTTTGCAATTGACTAATAGCGAATTTGTCAATGCCAATGGTGTTCAAGTGGTGCTCCAGTTGTTTTGGGATTGCACCCAAGGAGCCTATGACTATTGGTACTACCCTTGCTTGCTTTTGCCACAGTCTTTCTATTTCTATTTGTAGGTCTTTGTATTTTGTTATCTTCTCCAGTTCTTTCTCTTCTATTCTGCTGTCTCCAGGCACTGCCACGTCCACTATCCAGACTTTTTTGTCTTTCTTATCGACAATTGTTAAGTCTGGGGTGTTATGTTGCAGGTGCTTGTCTGTTTGAATTCTGAAGTCCCAGAGCAGTTTAATTTTATCATTTTCTATGACTTTCTCTATTTTATGATCCCACCAGTTTTTGCTTACAGGCAAATGATATTTTTTGCAGATCTTCCAATGCACCATTGTTGCTACTTTGTCATGCCGCTGCTTGTAATCAGTTTGTGCAATCTTCTTGCAACAGCTTACCAAGTGGTCCACTGTTTCTTCAGCTTCTTTGCATAGGCGGCACTTACTGTCTGTTGCTGTCTTCTCAATTTTGACTTTGTATGCATTTGTCCTTAAGGCTTGGTCTTGTGCAGCCAGAATTAGTCCCTCGGTCTCTTTCTTCAATTTTCCTGCTCTTAGCCATTGCCAGGTTTTATTATTATCTGCTTTCCCAGCTATTTTTTTCATGTATTGGCCATGTAGTGCTTTGTCTTCCCATGCCTCTATTCTGTTCTTCATTTGGTCTTTCTTGTAGGCCAGTTTGGTCTCTCCAGTAGTTAGTAAGCCTTCCTGATATACTAATTTCAGTGCATCTTCATCATTGTTCTTCAGATATTCTTCCAAAGCCATTTTTTCTTCTTCAACCATCTGATGTACTTGTAGCATTCCACGCCCACCTATTTGCCTTGGTAGATAAAGTCTATCAATGTCACTGCGTGGATGAAGGGCATGATTCATTGTCATTATTTTTCTGGTCTGCCTATCCATTGCTTTTAGTTCTGCTTGAGTCCAGTCCACTATTCCAGCTGTGTAGACCCCAGGTGTGATTGCCTTTGGTATTTCCTCCACTTTAAGATCTTCTTCACTCTCTTGATGTATTCACCTCTAATCTTTTTCTTGACTTCAGTGTGCTTGATGTTGTCAGCTTGAAGGATACCCAAGTATTTGTAGTACTCTTCCTCATCCAGACTCTTAATGTTATTTTCGTGGGGCATCTTGATTCCTTCAGTTTTCACTATTTTTCCTTGTTTGATAGTAAGTGTGGCACATTTGTCCAAGCCAAACTCCATTACAATATCTTGGCTATATATACGGACAGTGTTGAGCAGCGATTCTATTTCAGATGATGTTTTTCCATACAGCTTCAGATCATCCATATAAAGGAGGTGGGATAGTCTGGCAGATGTTTTTGATGTTTGATAGCCATGTCCTGAGTTATTCAGTATTGTTGACAGAGGAAACAGTGCAATAACAAATAGTAATGGTGATAATGAATCTCCTTGAAATATTCCTCTCTTGATATTAACCTCTCCCAGCCTCTCACCATTGATCTGCAACTGTGTCTTCCATTGTGCCATCGATCTTTGCACAAATTTTCTGATGTTTCTACTGACTCCTGTTATTTCTAGGCACTTTATTATCCAATCATGTGGCAGAGAGTCAAATGCCTTTTTGTAGTCAATCCATGCAACATTCAGGTTGGTCTTCCTTCTCTTGCAGTTTTCCAAGATCATTTTGTCTATTAGGAGTTGATCTTTTGTTCCTCTGCTGTTGGGGCGGTTTCCTTTCTGCTCAGGTGGAAAGAGATTGTTTTCAACTAGATGCTGTTGCACTGCATCAGCTACTACACCAGTTAGTAATTTGAAAGTTGTTGGTAAGCAGGTAATTGGCCTGTAGTTACCTGGTGTTGCCCCTTTTGCTGGATTTTTCATTATTAGGTAGGTTTTCCCAGTTGTTAGCCACTTTTCAATTTCTCCTCCTTGTAGTATATTGTTGAACTGCTTGGCAATGAGTGGGTGTATAACAGTTAGATGTTTCAACCAAAACCCATGCAGTTCATCTTCACCTGGTGCTGACCAATTTTTGATTTTCTTTGCTCTTTTTTCTACCATTTTTGTTGTTATTACTAGTTCTTTCATTTCAACTTCTGTTTTATTTGCATCCACCTCTTTTAACCAAGCCGCATCCTTGTTGTATTTCTTTGGGTTATCCCATATCTGCTTCCAGAACTGCACTGTTTCTTCCTTGTCAGGTACTGACTGATTCTTGCAGTTTCTCCATTGATGGATTGGTAGAAACGTTTCTGATTGGATTGAAATTGGAGGTTCTGCCTATAGTTTGCAATTCGAGCTTCATATCTACTGATTTTCCTGGCTATAGCTGTTATTTGTTGCTTTATTATTTCCAGTGCTTCCTTGATCTTCCTTGTTTCTAAGTGGTATTTCTTGATTAGGTATTCTTTGGTCTTCTTGTTCTTCAGCTTCTTTTCTTTCATCTGTTCTAGCTTGCTTGCATGTGATCTTAACTTGCTGATCTTATTTTCTAGTCTAACCTTCCATTTTTCTGGTGCACTGTTTGTTTGTTTTTCTTCTTTGTTGATTTTGCATCCCAGGTATTCTGTTATAACTGCAGCTGTGCTGTACATTAGTTGGTTTGTTTCTTGCAATGAATTGGTGCTTATACTTGATTGCAGTATTTGCAAATATTTGCATCTTTTAATGCTTGTGCTAGCTGTTTCTTTGGAACAAGCTTCAATGCAGGTAGCCTTATTCTGTTGTTTTTGTGCTGTTCTAGATGCTCAGTTATTCTTTGTTTCAATTCTTTTATTTCTTTAGTTAGAGGGTTTTGTTCTTCCTGAGGAAGAGGTGCCTGGTTTCCAAATGAGAACAGTTGTATATCTCTGCTGGATTCCTTCACTGCCAACTCCCCCTGGTTTGCCTCTACATTCTGAATTACTTCTGGTAAGGCTTTGATTTCTTTGCCCTGGGTAAACCTTTGCAGTTCGTCCAATTCTGTTTCTGTGAATACTTTATTTTGTGTTATAAATCGGCGTTGATCTGCTAGTCTCTGTTCTGTTATTTCTGATTCTGGATGTTGTTCTTTCCAGAACTGGTGCATTCGTTTTAGATATCCTCTTCTTGTTGGACTTGATCTGTAGTAACAGATCATTATTTCTTTGTTTTCCATCACTGTGTATCTGCGACGGGTAAACACCTTTTCTTCCAGTAGTTCTGCAGCTGCTGGCCCTGGTTGCTCAGCCAACAGTCCTGAGTTGTTGTTGTTGTTGTTGTTGTTGTTGTTGTTGTTATTATTATTATTATTATTATTATTATTATTATTATTATTATTATTATTATCATCTCCATTAGATACTCGGCTAACATGTGTCATGGATTTTTTTTGTTTTAGAAGGATCTAGTTTAAGGTAAGGACCTACCTCAGCTAAGCTCCCAAGAAAGCAGAACTCTTGAAACAGGCATTGTCTCAAAAGGAATTTTTATTAGGGGTTAGTGACAGTAGGGAATCAAGGCAGAATCTGAGAGAAAAACCCACAAAGCAATATATTAAAAGGAACGTTCAATACCCCTCCCTCCAGAGTCTCAGAGTTCGTTTGAGTCCCAGCCAATCCACAGATGGCAGTATGTTTTGGTAACTGGTCTTTTTGGCGGGTTCTTCAAGGTCTTTCTCACTTTCAATTTCCTCTTGCTCCAAGCCCAAACCATCTCTCAGATAAGGGAGAGACATTCCATCCCCTGGGGGAAGGGCATCCTTCAGACAGTACGAAGCAATCCCAAAAGCTCCCCCCTCCCAACAGAATGGCAGGCCACAAAGAAAGGTTACAGAAAAAGGGAAAATAGGCATAGGGGTAAAATACATTTCTTTGGGGACCTAACATATAGTTTAACTTGTGACTGAAGTTGTTCAGGTTCAAGTTAATAAAAACTTGATAATGATTTCTGAATAGATTCAAGTAATGAATATTATTGTGTTAAAAATCAGATGTAAATCATAACTCATTAAAACAGTTATAATAATGGTATAATTGAATATGCTTAACTGTATATTTAATGTTTAATAGTGTTAAACATTTGTTTCAAACAAATAACTTAATCTTTGTTTTAAATGTCAGTCCTGGGCCAAGTTGAGCAGAGACTTTCAAGAAAAGATTTTGATTAAATTCAAGAAGAAGAATGGTTTCATTTGGCCTGTTATTTGATTAGATGAAGTTTGATTTCCTGCTGTGAAGTTCTATTGTAAAGGAAATGGAGCTTTGCAATTCCCAATTAAAACTAATAGAGTAATCTGGATTACTTACAGAATCATCTTCTGCATCGGCCTCACCATCTGCCTCTGTATCTTCAGGTCTCAGCTGTGTACCTGATACTGGAATTATTTAAAAAAAGCATCAAAATTGTTCCATCCATCATAGCGGTGAAAAAGAATGTATAGCTTGATGTAAAATTAAATTTTAAGTATTATTGCTGATCTAGTAGTAGCTATTAGAACATCTAGTTCTGCCCTCCAATGGATATTTAATGGATGTGCATTAATGATTTCTCATTTAAAAGATATCTTCAATCAATAGTTCATGGGATATAAATAAGCATTATGAAGTAGCAAAGTAGAGAAGACTCATCTTACAGATCTCTCTTGGTTTGGCTTAATTAGGCTATACATATTACTGAATTCCTCGTTCAAAATTTGAGCATTAGAAGCATGTAAGGATTGTTTCCAAAAATTAATAACAGACCAAGTTTATTTTAAAAAATCATCCTGCTGTTTCCTGTTTTGTTTCCCATCTGTTCATTATGAATGAGATATATAAGAAACAATCATGGTTAAGTCTAGTACAGTATAGTTAAAACTATATATTCAAACAAATTGAATTCATTCTGCAACCTGAGACTCTATATTTGATTGTGGCAGGATATAAATATAATAATTAAATAAATATTGTATTTTTGATTATATTTTTGTATTTTGCACAATTTATTCTAGTTCTACTACTCATAGTAACAAGTGAGGAATATGCAAGTCACTGAAGCCCCATCTTTCTCTACTAATAGACAGCCAGTTTGGTTCAGTGGTTAAGCCGCTAGGCTAGAAATCAGGAAACTAGAAGGTCTAGGCCTGCCAACAAAGGAGAGTATTTGTGGCTCAGGCTTGAAATGAGGGTGGGTGCTCTCTGAGCTCGTTATTTTCTTGCAGACATTTCATTATCCAAACTAGGTAACATTACCAGAAGCTAGAAGGAGCGGGATTTGTTCTCTGTTTATAGTCTAGCGGCTTGCTCTGTCAGTTTTGGTGGGCGTGGCCTTAGAGATTCTTTGCATTGTTTGGCATTCCTTGATTAGGATATTGTTTATTTGATTGTTGGTCTAATTTTAATCCTGGAGTTAATCTATTCTCATCTGGGTACACACACACACACACACACACACACACACAGAGACACACACACATACACAAAGACATAATATCACACCAAATTAAATGTAGACACCTCCTATGACAACAATTGGTGTGGCAGTTGGAAAGAATTCCAGAAGGCATGTTCTGCATGTTTTCTCTCTCTTTTTTTTTAATCTCAGAGAGATGAACAAACAAACAAACAAACATACAAATGAGATAAATTTGAATGCCTAAAGCTTAGGATACCATTTTGCTTCTTAAAACACTTTGAAACCAAAGGAGAAAATAACACCGATTTACCTCAGACAAAATGTAAGCATCAATGAACCAATCAGCTTTGTTTCAGCTTTTAAAAAAAGCTCCAGTTTCTCTCTTTGAAACTGTGCTTTATAGTCTTATGATGCTAAAATATTCTGATCTGTCTTTACTCCTACACTTTTCTTGCAAAATTATTCCTTTGTTTTGAAAGCAGCCCATTGGCCACTGGGAACAGTTACAGTGACTAATTCCATCATATTTGTGAAAAAAAAAAGCTGAAACAAAACACCAGTTGTGAAAGATTTATGAAAGAATGAAAACTCTACTAATCTAACGAAAAATAGCCTAGAGATTTCTGTCCAAATCTTAATTTAAGTAGTAAAATGCTCAAAATGGGATTTGTTTTACTTCTGATTTTCAAAACCTTTGTACTTTGAAAACCAGGCTGTTAGTAAATGTCTAGAAGTGAATCAAGCTAATTTTAAAAAGGAGCTTGGTGTTTAGCAGGTTTTGTATGTGGAGAAGGATGAACAGAAAAAGGAAGAGAAGCAAAGTGATGATTCAAAGACAGCCAAGAAAGTGTCCGGCAATACAGCTGGAAGGCCCAGAAGACTGGTAAGTCCTGAGGACAGGAATGTTTCTCAGAGCCCAGCAGGCTGGCAGAGCCCAGGCAAGGGAGCTCAAGGCTGCAATGTAAAGGGTTGCACCAAACATTGATAAGTCTCAACCCAGCCTCCACTCCTTGCAAACAACCGTACTGTATTAAAATGGAATAGCTGCATATTTTTGAGCATGAAAATTAATTGAAACTGATGTCTGGAAATTTCTTGCTGTTTTCTTAATATAAGCTGATAGCCTTTTAAAATTTAAAATGAGCTGTAAATAGGATGCATCATGGTGGAACAAAGATAGTCTGGAAGTACAAACAGTATAATCAGTATATCTCTGACAAGATAGCATTTGGTTTTGGTAATTTCTGATTAAACATTATTTAGCTTTTGTTATTTTTTAAAAAACTCCAGATGCCTACCAGATGGTAAAATCTGGTACAATCAGTAGTGGGATTCAGCCAGTTCACACCAGTTCGGCAGAACGGGTAGCTAATTTTTTGTTGCCCAGGCCCAGAATGGACTTTTGGAAGTGGCATCCACACAGAGAACCTGTTGTTCACATATTTGAATCCCACCACTGGGTACAATCCAGGTAATTATCCTATCACGTGCTCATTGTCCAATAGAATAAAGCCAGATTTAATTCTTAGTGAACAGTTGCACAAAGAATTATGTGCCCAAAGAATGCCCAATACATTACCACAGGAAAATGTAAAATTGAAGATAGCCCTATCCATATTCAATTAGCTCCAATCAAATAAATTAAAATTACATATAACTTCAGAAAACTGGCAACATTGTTTATTAGAAAGTGAAGAAAGAATAAGAGAAGGAAAATTCAGTCTAGTTCACATTTCTAACCCTCTGATTGATATGATCATTAACTTTCTAGCCTGTTGTAAAGTAAGAAAGCCAGCTGTTAAAAGCATAATATAATAATAATAATAATAATAATAATAATAATAATAATAATAATAATAGTAAAGTTGGAAGGGACCTTAGAGGTCATCTAGTCCAACCCCCTGCTCAGGCAGGAAACCCTACACCATTTCGGACAAATGGCTGTCCATTCTCTTCTTAAAAACTTCCAGTGTAGAGCATTTACTGCTTCTGGAGGCAGGTTGTTCCACTGATTAATTGTTCTCACTGTCAGGAAGTTTCTCCGTAGTTCTAGGTTGCTTCTCTCCTTGATTAGTTTCCACCCATTGCTTCTTGTCCTGCCTTTGGGTGCTTTGGAAAATAGCTTGATTCCCTCTTCTTTATGGCAGACCCTGAGATATTGGAATACTGCTATCATGTCCCCCCTTGTCCTTCTCTTCGTTAAACTAGACATACCCAATTCTAGCAACCGTTCCTTATATGTTTTAGCCTCCAGTCCCCTAATCATCTTTGTTGCTCTTCTCTGTACTCTTTCTAGAGTCGCAACATCTTTTTTACATCGTGGTGACCAAAACTGGATGCAGTATTCCAAGTGTGGCCTTACCAAGGTATTGTAGTGTGGCATTAATACTTCACGTGATCTTGATTCTATCCCTCTGTTAATGCAGCCTAGCACTGTGTTGGCCTTTTTGGCAGCTGCAGCACACTGCTGGCTCATATTTAGGTGATTGTCTACTAGGACTCCAAGGTCCCTCTCACAGTTACTACTATTGAGCATGGTGCCACCTATGCTGTACTTGTTCATTTGGTTTTTCTTGCCTAAATGTAGAACCTTGCTTTTTTCACCATTGAATTTCATTTTGTTAGTTAGTGCCCAGTGTTCAAGTCTGTCCAGATCCTTCTGTATCTTAAGCCTGTCTTCTGGAATGTTGGCTATTCCTGCCAGCTTGGTGTAATCTGCAAATTTGATGAGTTCCCCATCTATCCCTTCGTCCAAATCGTTGATGAAGATGTTGAAGAGCACTGGGCCAGAACAGAGCCTTGGGGCACCCCACTACACACTTCCCTCCATGTAGATGCGGTTCCATTGAGGACCACACGCTGAGTATGGCCAGTCAGGTAGCTACAGATCCATCTGGTGGTGATTCTGTCTACCCCACATTTTTCTATCTTATCAAGTAGTAGGTTGTGATCTACTTTATCAAATGCCTTACTGAAGTCCAAGTAAATTATGTCCACAGCATTCCTCTGATCCACTAATTTTGTCACTTGGTCAAAGAATGCAATAAGATTTGTATGGCATGATCTATTTTTGACAAACCCATGTTGGCTTTTAGTAATGACTTTGTTTGCCTTTAGGTGTTCGTTGATTCGTTGTTTGATTATCTTTTCCAGGATCTTTCCAGGTATTGAGGTCAGGCTGATAGGTCTGTAATTTCCTGGATCCATTTTTTTCCCTTTTTTGAGGATGGGAACTACATCAGCTCTTTTCCAGTCCTCTGGTAGTTCCCCTGTGTTCCAGGATCTTTGAAAAATATAGTTCAGTGGTTCCGATATCACATCTGCCAGTTCCTTGAGAACCTTGGGGTGTAATCCATCTGGTCCTGGCGATTTGAACTCATCTAGGCTGGACAGGTGCTCATTTACCATTTTCTTGCCTATCTTAACTTGTGTTTCTATTTTGTTTTTTATGGCACTATTTTTGATAGATTGGTCTGTTTTTTCCCTTTGTGTAAAGACAGATGCAAAAAATGAATAAATAGTTCTGTTGCTTGTCACCTTCTTGCCACTTCTACCCACTAATGGACCAATCATTTCCTTCACTTTTTTCTTGTTCCTTACATGTTGAAAGAAGCTTTTTTTGTTATTTTTGACTTTGGTCGCAAGCCTTAGTTCATTTTGAGCCTTGGCTTTCCTCACTTTATCTTTGCAGGCTCGGGCTATTTGCTGATATTCTGACTTAGTTATGTTCTCCTCTTTCCACTTTCTATACTTGTCCTTTTTATCTTTCAATTTGTCAGAGAGTTCTTTATGCAACCATGCTGGTTTCTTTTGAGAGCTGTTGTTTTTCCTCTTTGCTGGTATTGTGCTAGACTGTGCTTTTATTATCTCATTTTTCAAAATTTCCCAAGCTTCTTGAGTTGTTTTCCCCTTGAGGATTCTCATCCATGGAATCCTTCCCAAGCCCTCTCTCAGTTTATTGAAATTAGCTCTCTTGAAGTCCAAGACTCTAGTTTGACTGTGTTCTATTGCTTGTGCTTCCATAATGATGAATTCTAATATTGCATGATCACTTCCTCCCAGGGTTCCTATGGCTTCAACACCTTCTATCATTTCATCTCTGTTAGTGAGAATTAGATCCAAAATGGCTAATCCCCTAGTTCCCTTCTCTATTTTTTTGGGATACAAAGTTGTCTGCTAGGTTTGCCAGGAACCTGTTTGATCTTCCACTTGGTGCGGAGTTTGTCTCCCAGTTGATGTCAGGGTAGTTAAAGTCCCCCATTACTATTGTGATGTGCTTCCTACATACCTTAGTTAGCTGACTAGCAAAAAGTTCATCTATTTCCTCTGTTTGGTTGGGTGGTCTGTAGTATACACCTATGGCAATGTCATCCCCCCCCCTTTTATATTGACCCAAATGCATTCAAGAATGAACAGTATGAACAACTGTTATCTTGTTTCAGTAAAGTTATCTTGTTTCAGTAATTGTACTGGTCAGAACCTTTCTGTATATGCATATGTATATGCATATGCATCTGTATATGCATCTTTTACTGAATCGGGTGTCACTTTCTTTTTAATTGATGCCAAGCAATTCAGGGAAAAATGCATACTTCTGGCTTTGCTGATTAGGGATGATGAATGCTGCACCAGGTTGGGGAACCAAACTTATGGCCCTTTGGTGAGATGTAAGAATTTATTTCCATACTCAAATTCATTCACACAACAACAGGAATTCTACTTGATATGATGTATGAATTATGTTGTCAACCCTCTACCTTTTTCCTCATTTTGACATGGAATAATATTTTGAAATGAAATAAAAAATATTCACAAACAAGAAAATAAAAATTCCATAAAATGATGTAATAAGAGCACTAACCAACAAAGAAGTTCACCACCTGCTACAATTTTTAATATATTAAGGTTTAGTTTGTTGGGTAGCCTAGTTATAGGATAGGACAATGGCTTTGGTGAAAATACAGTTGATTGTAATTTAAAATAAACAAAACCATGAAAATATTACATCAACACAGTATTTATTTTTAGTGCATATTTCTAGGCTAATATGTATACCATTTAGGCCTGACTGAGTAGGTTTTGTCTCAGTGAAGCATTTCATGTTGCAAATATGACACAATTGTCCTTTTCAAGGCGATAATATAGTTTACAGCAGGGCTCTTCAAACTTGGCCCTTTTATGACTTGTGCACTTCAACTCCCAGAATTCCTCGGCTAGTGTGCCTGGCTGAGGAATTCTGAGAGCTGAAGTCCACAAGTCATAAAAGGGCCAAGTTTGAAGATCCCTGGTTTACAGTATGTTACCTCTTTGTATCTGCACATGCAGATATCTCTTTTAACTACTCAAAACTGTTATAGGAAGCATCAGAAGGGAGTATACATACTTTGTGGGGCTTTGAATTGGGGCTTTCATAAAATATTACCAGTTCAAAAGAGTACCAATCTCATAAGATGTCTTTGAGTGAACTGGCAAAAGAATGGCCTTGGCATAAAGTGATAAAATTAAATTCCTTAAATTTTGCAGAAGTGTTGCAGAGCAGTGTTATGCTATTCAGAATGTGCTCATTCTTCTTAATCATTTAAGATCAGTGCTTTTCAAAATTGGCAATTTTACAATATGTGGATTTCTACTCCCAGAATTCCTGAGCCAGCATGTTGCAAGTTTGAAAAACACTCATCTAAGATCATTTGATACAGTTCATCAATGAGAAAAATAGAGCAAGTGCTTGCTCCAAACCATTGTCCCGCCCTATTTCACATTCTCAATTTCTGAAAATAAATTCAAGCAATCAACAGAAATGAAGAGTGATTCCCTACATTATATTTTCTAGCGCTCCTTTACATAAAATATTAATCCCCATATTAACTTTGATACCCACAGCAAGCTGGCTGATGCAGGTACAATGTAACCTAAAAGATGGTTGGGTAACATGGCTTATGAATTCCTTTCCAAATTCTACATAGCAGCTTCTGACTGGGTTGCAAAGTCAGGAGGGAAATGGAAAGTTAAGCATTAATAACTAATTAATTAACCAAAAACAAAGCATTAGGCAAGCAGAGGTGTTCCAATCCACCCCCAACAGCTTCTCCCATTGGGATGCACTGAGGAAAGAGGATGGGGCTTGCAAAGAGTTTGGCAAGAAAAGCGGACCTTATCATAGGTCCTTTTTTGCCATGAAAGGCTGAAGCTCCCTGTCAGAGAAGTCTTAGACTATGAATTGTCTGCACCTAAAAGTTGCTCTTAAAGGCAGAGCAGTGGTGACAGTGCACGTGTCCATTGTCAGAAGGTAAATGGAGAAAGCATAGCCTTGTTAAAGACCAAGGACCTCAGACAAGTTTAATTAAATGTGGAAATCTTCTACAGCAGGTTTGCTCAGTTTGAGATCTGACTGAGAAAAAAAAATCAATCTATCAACAATGGTTGATGCAATCAGAGTTGTGAAGCCCAATCCAGTTCTTGTTTAAAACTGCAAAAATGTGGGGAGGCAGATACTCAAGAACATCTGGTTGGCTGCTGTGCATACAAGGTAACTCAGAAGCTGTGCAAGCTTGTTCTGGAGAGAGTTAATAATTGACAGTATTCTGGCACTTCTATTGGACTTTTGTGGGAGGTGGCTCTGCTTGCAGTAAATTTTTGCAGTTAATTTTTCCTACAATGCTCTGGGATCACAAGGCATCTACAAGGCATTGTAAGGAATTTAAAGTAGTGTTTTGGCTTCCTAGGTGCCTGCTTCTTTCTTCATCTATTTCAAGATATTTTGGTGATTAAGGTAGACAACAGGGTACCTCCTTTTATTTTATGTGCACAACATAAAGCTGTTCAGTGTAGCTATGGAATAATTGTGGGACAATATCCCTGTACTATTAGGAGGTTCAGGATAAAGCACATGGTTTTGTCCATTCTCCGGCCATCAGCATTAATTTCCTGTAATGGCTGTTCTATGTACATATTACCAGGGTTGCTTCCAAGTAATTTCACATCTGTGAAGATGGGAGAAAGTAGAGGAGAAAGAAACCAGATGGCACTTTGCCAAGGGCTTCTTTAAGCAAAGAACTTGCTCTAACTTAGGCAAGAATTTAGAAATAATGCCAGTTAGAAAATAAATCTAATAAATCTCTGACTTGGCTCTGCCCAGACAATTTCTCACCTGCCAGAATTAAAGTAGGCCACTTGCCAATGAATTGGTCTGAAATGTTAACAAAAGTACTTACTTTGATTTTTTAAAAAAAATAATCCAGAAGCTTTGATCACTGCTAGGTGAACTATTTCCATAATGCTAAGGTTAGCAGTGCAACTATATCGGAGTTGCATAAGCAACAGCAGCAATTCAGTAATTGTCCAGATTTTTGCAGTACATGTTTCGGATAGGCCAAACCTACTGTAAACCAGTTTAAGTTGTGGGGGGGGGGGACTTATAGCAGGAACAGGTGAAACATTTTTTAGTATTGGAAAGAATCATGCTTATGTATTCAGCTTCTTGTACAGGTAAAGGACTTAATTACTGTATATCTAACATTTCTGACTATATTTTGCTGTGCTAAATCAGAAACTGGTAGTGACAGAACTTGGTTTAAGTGTTATCAATTTGCAATGGTTCTATTCCTTATATTAAAAAAAAAATCCTGAAGCTTCTGTCTAAAGAAAATGGTTTGGAAATGTTAGGGACTAATGGCACCAATTTTTTAAAAAATGCAAGGAAAATATGACAATATGACAGCCAACTGGTGGGTGGATCAGTCAATCCCAATTAATCCATCTCTTTGCCGCTTCATTTTTTGGTTTTCTTGCTCCACATTTATCAAGTAATCAAGCAGAATCAAAACTGATGCATTTCTCTCCCACATCAAAATACATTATTCCAAGGTATATTTAGGAACAAGTGAGCTTAGGAACAGCAACCATTGGTGGCCGCCAGACACTTAAATTTGCAGAGAGGGGCCAAATGCCAAAGTGGGTGGGGATCAAAATCTTCATTGCTTGCTGCCAATGATTTAGCCTGAAGGATCAGACAAGTTTCTTGTCTATGGTGGGTGGAGGTGGGAAAGAATGTGAGCACCTGGCGGCACTGACTCAGGAGTTCCTACCAGGTACAGCCATCATTAGACATTCATCTGCAACTCCACCAAGTAAATGAGTTGCACTTGGGAAGAAGAAGGGAATAGGACTAGCAATGAATGGGAACCATAAGGATGGAAACCCTGAGACAGAGCTATTGAGTGGGAGCTGTAAACAGGTGTTAGTCTTTGTTATTGCAACAGGCCAGCTAAGCTCTCTGACCCTCAAAGATAAGAATGGAGTTATGGCTGTTTTTTTTTTATTCAACATGATCTACCATGATATTTTGATAGTAGGGAGAACTTTTTCATCATGCAAGTGCTGTTGGTCTTACTATAAATTTTTAAAATTATTTTAAAAGACTATCTCAATAAATCCTATCTACATCATAGTAATTTTTTTCAGCTGGCAAATAATGAAAAATCCAAATAAATACCCAAACTGCATACATAGAAAAAAGATTCTAAAGGCTCTTCTTGACAAAGAACCAGAAATCAATAACAAACAAGAATTCATATCACACAGTATGACAAATCCCAGAGATAGCAGCAGTCATTGAAATTAATGAAAGGACCTAAACAAATTTCCTAAATGACAAATAACTCTATAAGTTTCCTTGTACAGAGAGTTCCAGCGATAAGGTTTTACTGCAGAGACAACTGGAGCAGCTATATCCAGAATGTGACCTAAACCTTCTTGTTTAGACAAGCGGAGACCTTATAGAGACTGAATCCAGGGCACTTGTTGTATTCCCTGACATGCATACTCCAAAACTTATTAAAATACTTCTTATGAGCCTGAAGCCTTTTTTACATTTTGTTTCCAGTTCTGGCTTGTGGTACATGTTTAGTCCTATTTTGCTGTTCTATCAAATCCAGAAACTTTAACCAGGTTTGTGTGCAAAATTCTGAATTGGGTTAATACAATAATTCACAGGGTCTGGACTCTCACCTCATGTTTTTAATAACTGTAGGATAGAAAGATGCAGCAGGTTCAGCTTATTCCCAAGGTTGGAATACACCCCAAGAGGGGTAATCTTTAAGGCCACGCAGGACCTCAGATCTGATTGTTCAAAAATACTCTGGAAACTGCAGGGATGGGAAGACACCCATGCCTTTTCCCTGGGATTACTAGGAGCTGCTTTTAGGTGTTTCAGACGAGTATTACATTCGTATTCCTATGTGCTCTGAATCACCTTCTAGAACAGACTTGCACAACTTGTAGAGGGAAAAAGGCCACAGTGATAAATTAAAAATCCTGAGCCGAAAAGGAATACTAGGTGCACTAGCTATGTGGCGTCTAGCAGTGCTGGAGTCAGCAGTGGCAGTGAGGCATTCGAGCTGCTTGGCAGTGCATCTTTTGGGCTGGTGGCAACAGTGGTGGTGAATTTAAAAAGAGTGGTGGTGAATTGGTTTTAAAAAACATCAGCAGATTTCTTGGCAGACCGCATGGTCTTTAGACCTGTTTTAGAGATTGAATCCAGGGCACTTCCCAGTTCCAATAAGAGCTTCATCTATTAGTAAAACCAGCATAGCGTTTTGCAACATTGTTGAGGACTAATAATTGTATGATTGTCTAAGCTTCTGTGGATGCAACTGTATCTATTACCAGGGTCAGCACTATTTTCTGAAAGACTCATAATTCAAAAGTATGAATAGACCCCACTTAACAGACTGTTATGTAGCAACAGCACCTCTTAAAAATTAAGCAAACTCTGGGCAATGTCAGGAAAAAAAATGTGTTTATAGCTCCCTGCCAGTTTCTGACTCATGCTTTTGTTTGTTGCTATAGAACCAGCCACAAATCCATCAGTCGAAAGGCATGTTTATGTCCAACTTTGTCTGAAAAATGGAAATTGAGGAAACAATACAAGAAGACTGAAAAAGGAAATGCCTACTTAGGCACCCAATCTACCCAAATCTTAAACTAAGAGAGTGAAAAGTATTTAAAGATGGGAGAAAGAAAGAAAAAAAGAAAGAAAGAATATATGGGTTTCCCTTTTTTCTTTCTAAACTTAGTTTTACAAAAGGAAAAATGAAAAGTAATCTATAACATAGAAAGCATAACATAACATAGAAAGCAGCTGATAACATTACTGCTATTCTAGCTATTTCTCAGAACAAAAAAAAGCAGCTTCCAATTTCCTTCTGGCTTGACTGACAGCCAATCAAGGGACACCAGTCTACTTAGCCTCTGAAGGGCTGGGGTGTCACTGGTCTACTGAACCTCTGGACAGTGGTGTGGCAGTATGCAACACTGAAACAAGCACATATTTGTCAAATTTCAATCCCATGGGATTCTCATTGGATTCTGTAAACTAGCTCATTTGAAGTTACAAATTGCTGAATTTTTGGTTCAAAAGTATGAACTGTTTCATCCAGTTAAAGTTACAGACATGAGAGTCTCAGTAGAATAGAGATAAGCTACTTGAGGGGGCTAATATCTTGATCAGTGTTTCTCATGCTGGCAGAGAAATTCTGGGAGTTGAAGTCCACACATCTTCAAGTGGCCAAGGTTGAGAAACACTGATCTAGATGAACTGATAAAGATTCTTTTAGACACAGCTTTAACTTCCAGTTCTGAACTTCTTAATGGAATCTATCCTCCCTCCTACATTGGAGACACAGTTAAGAATAAGATGGAATTGTGTGGAACATTAATTGTAGATATGGTTCTACCGTAAAAAGAAAACACAATTAAGCTTTTTTCCTAGCATTTACCTGTTAATATAGATTTTGTACGAAAAGCCTTGCAACAAGGGCTTGTTATGGTTTCATTTTGAAATAAAACTTTTTTTGAGCTTAGAAACTTTCTGCCAGAGTCATTGTTACACACAGAAGGAAAAACTAACTAAAAAACTAACCTTAACTTCTGTTTCCCCAGATTTTTCTCTATGGTGTATTCCCAAATTAACTTCTGAACCAAGTATATATCATTCTCTTGGGGACAGTTTTATCAGGTCTGTGTTTTGTCAGCTTTTTGATATTGGAGATGTCCTGCCTTTGAAGTCATGTTTCATTATCATATTTTTAAAAGTTATTTTTTTCTGTTAAAATATAGATTGATATATTATAAAAGCAAGAAATGAATTTAAAAAGTCATCCATCTGTTGATCACATTATTCCTACAGGAAATGTATATGAAGAGCCAATAGAAGTACTGGAGCAATATTGGATCATAATATATTTTCTCACTATTCAAAAGCCTTATGTATGTACAGTGGACAAGCAGATTGTAGATCTTTTATGCAGTGGTTCTGCTCTAAAATGACTTTACTCTTACACAGAAGGTAACATATACATTTGATTCTTACTTCTTATTTTGGATAAGCGAAACTAAAGCATATGTTTCAGCTAGGACAGTGGTTCTCAACCTATGGTTTGCGGACCAGTGGGGGTTTGTGATGTCATCAAAGAGGGTCCGCAAAGACTTAAATAAATATTATGATTTAAATCTTGAATTAAATCTTGGTGGTCCGTGGCCATGATCCCTGGCTACAAAAGGTATTTAAAAGAGGTCCGTGGTGAAGAAAAAGTTGAGAACCACTGAGGGGATTGCTGGAATCCATTTGATCTGAACAGCATAAATGGTGAAAGAGAATTAATTCTGCAGCCCAAACTTTTAAAAATATCTTGTGCAACTCCCTTTAAAAAAAATAAAATCCAGAAATACCAGAAATGCAGCTTTATGGGTGCCCTGGAATTTTACTGCTGGCAGATTTTTTTAGTCAGGGTGAGTAATACTATCTCACAGAAGCTCTTCTGTTGTCAAAAGGAGATGTAGGCTATAGGTGTTTTATTACTTCCTTACAGGTAGGTTGTACAATTGTACAATTTCAGTTTTACAGTATGTGTCTTAGACCTCTCCTACTTCTGGCAAGAATCCTATTTAAATCAAAGCAGGTAATTCTTCCAGGGCCAAAATGGCCTGTGACCAGCATGGCTAATGCCTTACTTTGGAACAGACCTGCCTAACTTTTGACCCACAAAGATGAATGCCATTCTCCAGCTGAATACAATGCCACCTTTTGTCTTAGCAGCTCCAAGCTAGCATCAAAAACAATTTTCTTGAGCCTCTGGAAGTCTGCCAGCCATAAAGAAATTTATTATTTAGTGCCTGGATTTATCATTTTATTTTATATAATTATCTGTTCTTTCCAGTAAAAATAGTGCCCCCAAATAAAATATGAATGCACAAATTATAATTAATCTTACAAAGTACCTGGAAATATGATTAAGAAGATCTGTGTTAAAGAAAGAAAAAGCAGTTTCAATCAGTTAAAATCTTTAAAATCAAAACCCTTTGATAAAGAAAACCACTTTGCTGGAAATAAAAGTATGGAGCTATCTGCCCCCCCAACAATCAACTATTTGTTAAGCATGCTTCTTGTCTTCCTGTGCGCCATACACATATACATGTACACATCAAAGTAAATTTGGCAAAGCATAAGTAGGTAGATGAAAAAGAGGGAAAGTATTGGTATGTTCTTCTGTTCTATTAAGCATTTTAAATTATACAATAATTAAATGCTGCAATCAGAACATATTACGTAATGTCAATAAATTTTGTCCTTTCTTGATGTATGTAACTTCCTTTTTGAGAAATCTCATTATTTTTTTCTCCTCTTTTCACTTCCTGTCAACTGCATAGCAGCACAAATTGAAGCTAACCACTCCAGAAGAACTTGGAAAGGAAGAAATTTATAGATATTTTAAATCTATAAAACCAAAACACCATCTCAACCTTCAGGGAGTTATGAGTGAAAATTGGGTTCTTGAAGAATATGCAAATTAGCTCAAACTAAAGCACAAATTATGGAGAAAAGTCTTTCCTTAATGTGTCTTGTCTATTTGCTGATGCTTCCTCTGTTCTTCTCTATTCATCCTACAATGTTTTATACCAATTAGCTTATTGATTTTTGCTTAATTTGAATATTCTTGAATGCTTCACTTTCAAAAAGTTGTAAAGATGGAGCACACGAAATAGCAAAGATTTAAAATATAACAGTACAATATCTAAATGTCCTAAGAAAGTTAATACTATAGAGAATTTTATTTGTAAAAAGTAATTTTAAAGTGTCTACGCAATAATAAAGTTTGGATCTCATGAAATCTTGTATTTTTATGTTAGCAGTTTGACAGAGATGGGTTCCAGTGGATACTCTGGATCTACTTTGCCAAATAGTATAGAATACAACTAAGGTGCCAGTCATATCTTATTCTATAGCTAGGGAACTTTTCTCATGTGTCATTAACAAATGCACTCATGTAAGCTAAGGAAAAAGATATTTGTGGATGGTCTTTGGTGATATTTGTGAGAGGTCCCTTCATTTCAACCCTGAGCTACAAATATTCGCCTTTATACTAGTTGTAGTAATTTAAATTGTAGCAATTATTTTCACACTTGCAACTGAATACATATACTATTGAATGTCAGTTCATTCGTTTCTCTTTTCTTTTTTGCATTTCTTATTTTTTTTTACTGATGAACCAACCTAATGATGCTATGTACTGTACTTTGCCCAGGGTACTTTAAAGCTGGATGTACACTCAATTTAAGGTTTATGTTTATCTTGTGAATCATTCCATCACATAAACCTGAATCTAATATTAGCACCCTGTATGTATCAGCACTTTTTTACCCATAGAAAGAGGGACAGTTATTTATTACAAGCTTGCAATTAAGAGCACGTGCTGAATACAGAGGAAGAGAAGCAAATATAAACAGCCTCAGAGGATTATTACAAAAGTAAAAGGGACCAAGGTAGCAGCACATGAAGCATTAACCGTTCCATTCTCAACAGTCAATTTTGAGTTTGGTTCCCATGTGGCCACTTTAAATATGGACACTGTAAATTGCATAGTACTCTTACATTTAATATCCACAGCAACTTCCTGGGTCCTAATAATAGTCTTTACTCCACATTATAACTCCCAGAATGTTTTTCCCTCCCATCCTGAATGGCTTTGGCAGAACTATGAAGATAATCAAAGTAAAGATAAAGTATCCTTTCTTGTGATGTGAGATATCCATGTAATTTTTTTGACCATGATAGGGAAGTATTATTCCCATCTTCCAAGATGCTCCTTCAAATGTCTGGTCTAGTTTACAGCTTTGGGCTTTCCACTTGGCAATAACCACTGTTTTACTACCTTTGCTTTCTTATAATGCCTGGATCTCAGACTACTCTCTTCATTGGTTATGGTAGTATTTCTCACCTTGGCAACTTTAAGATAGGAAGACTTCAATTCCTAAAATTCTCCAGCCAGCCAATTAAAAAAAAAAACCTGGGTTATGGGCATGGAGAGGGTGGTGGCCTTTGCTTCTATGGACTAGGTCATGTTGTGAAAAAAAAAGTGTTTTCTAAATGACCACCATTTGTACTCAGTCTGGACAAAAGCCTTGCTTATACTCATAAAAGAAGATGCTTCTTGAAGTACCTGATGGTCTATAAGAATACAGTGGTCCATTATGTCTAATCTGCCTCCAAAAGGTATAAAGGTGATGAGCCAGTGAAGGAGGTAAGGAAAGAAAACTGGTTTGAAAGGAGCACATGCAATTGTGAATGGACAGTAAGTGTTCAAGAAAACACTTGCTGGCATTCAAGTCCATTCTTGAAGGAGGGTATTTCTTTTTGAAAACCAGACTCATGGACAAGAAATCTCCATAGGTTTCCAAAAATTAGTTAAATGATCTACCTAAAGTATGGGCCCAGTGCTCTTCATCAATGATTTGGATGAGGAGATAGATGGGGAACTCATCAAATCTGCAGACGACACCAAGCTGGCAGGAATAGCCAATATTCCAGAAGATAGGCTTAAGATACAGAAAGATCTTGACAGACTTGAACATTGGGCACTACCTAATAAAATGAAATTCAGTGGTGAAAAAAGTAAGGTTCTACATTTAGGCAAGAAAAACCTAACGCACAGGTATAGTATAGGTGGTACCTTGCTCAATAGTAGCAACTGTGAGCGGGATCTTGAAGTCCTAGTGGACAATCACTGAAATATGAGCCAGCAGTGTGCTGCAGCTGCCAAAAAAGCCAACACAGGCTGCATTAACAGAGGGATAGAATCAAGATCACATGAAGTGTTAATATCACTTTACAATGCCTTGGAATACTGCATCCAGTTTTGGTCATCACGATGTAAAAAAGATGCTGAGACTCTAGAAAGAGTGCAGAGAAGAGCAACAAAGATGATCAGGGGACTGGAGGCTAAAACATATAAGGAACGGTTGCTGGAATTGGGTATGTCTAGTTTAATGAAGAGAAGGACAAGGGGGAATGCAGGAACTAAGATAAAACGGACCTAAGCCAATAACAAGGCTTCATTTTCACAAATCGTTGACTTGTCAATCTGCATCATGAATTCTGTATTTTTCAAGGTGTCAATAAGGCTGTCTTCTACATTAGCAGCCATTTCATCAATTCTTTTTGACACGGTGTCATTGCTCAAAGGAATTGATTGCGTGATAGTGCTTGCATTGGGCCCCAACATGGTGGCAACAATCTGTTTCACTGTTGGTAAAATCAGCGTTTCTCCAATAGTGTGAGGTTTGCCACATTTTGCTATCAACAAAGATACTTCATAGGAACAAATGAGCCCCTTGTCGGCATTGAGTGACGATTTTCCAAATAACTTCCCAACAGTGCTGCGACCCTCAAACTTGGCCTTTAAGGATTGGAAAAACGATGCCGGTTTGTCGGCTTTACCCGAATGAATTCTTACCAAATGGTCTTTCAGTCGGGAAGGCTTCTTCGCTTCATTTGAAAATGTTTTCTCACAAAGAAGACAAAACGGAAGCTGTACGTTAGAAGGAGATGGAATGAATTCCAATTTTAGGTATTCTGTCGAATATTGGCGACACATCCTCTTCTCAGCCATGTTGAGAGGTCTTCAAAATGAAAGGCACTACCTGCAAATTAAATTTTCGACTCCACTGGAACACTAGAAAAACACACATGGACGTTGATAAACCTAGTTTCAACAGTTACGTTGACATTACAGCTGACGTCATAGGGGACAGCCACTCAGCATGCGATGTTTCGAAAGAAGCGCTCCCCCCTCCATCACTGCCCATTCTGGCCAATGGCGCACCACTGTATGGGTAGAGGCTGCTGCGCAACACGCATGAAGATAAGCGATGCGTATTCACATATGTACAACATTCTGTACTGAAGCTAGCTGGAGGAACATTTGAAAACAATTCAATCCACCAATAGCGAGTGATCTGATATTTTTGTATGACAGATATATAGCGATTCACTGTACGAAAAAGTCTCAAGTGTCCCCAAAACTTCTCGCTCTATTGCTCCCATATCGGCCTTTTCGTTCCTTCGCCTCTGCGTCACCCCTTTTTGTTCCATCGCCCCCCTGAAAAACGAAATCGCCCCCTGGGGGGGTGATATCGCCCAGGTTAAGAACCACTGCTTTACAGGATTGCCTCAGCCCTTTTCCAGTTCTTGGAGAAATGAGTGCGAATGAGAGCCATTAAGCCAGGGGTCTTCAAACTTGGCCCTTTTATGACTTGTGGACTTCAACTCCCAGAATTCCCCAGCCAGGCACGCTGCTTGAGGAATTCTGGGAGTTGAAGTCCACTAGTCATAAAAAGGCCAAGTCTGAAGACCCCTGCATTAAGCAATCGCACAGTTCTACCTATAGTCCTAGGTAATCCATCACTGAAGATTTTCAAGAAAAGTTTGGACAGACATTTGTTAGAGATGGTATGAGGATTCCTGCACTGGGCAAGGGCTTAACATCCAAAGAACACCAAAGTCCCTTCCAACCCTATGGTGCTATTACTTCTGCAAGACTGAAGTCATTGCAGGGATGCAATTAAAAATATTATATATTGAAAGGGCCTTCTATCCCTGGTGCTGCATTATGCACATGTGCTTCTGAGACAATTGCATGGCTGGTGCCTGGTGAGCTGGTTTTTAGAATAAGTGAGTCCTATACTGCAGGGATGGGAAACATTTAGGGACCACATATTTTTGCCTTTATACAAAACTATTCAGTGATTAGGTGGCATAGCTGGATTACATAGAATAATCTTTTTTTCTTCAATTTAGTTTTAGGAGTTGGGTTGCTGGCTTTAGGATAGATTTGGAGCAGGAGACCTCTGGGAAGTATAAATGCTCCCATTTCCAACAACAACTCCAAATTCTCAAAAATGGTCCAACATCAGCCACAAACAATATTTCAAACCATTTGAGAGGTGTGAAATTTTAAGAACAGAGACAAGAGTGGTTTGACTTCAGATGTTTCCTTTTCTAAATCCCATCCCTAAAGCCAGTGGTGGGATTCAAATATGTGAACAACCAGTTCTCTATGTGGATGCCACTTCCGGAAGTCCATTCTGGGCCCGGGCAACAAAAAATTAGTTACTGGTTCTACCAAAGTGGTGTGAATAGGCTGAATTCCACCACCCCCTAAAGCCCTGGAGCGGGGAAAAAAAATGCAAAACAGAGATTGTGGTTTGCAACCATTTGGGAGGTTTTGGAAAAGACTTGAAGGGTGGGATTTGGAGGTGTCTCCTAGTAGACTCTTCCTCTCATGACCACTCTTAATTTTGAAAACAAAATTTAAAACCACCAATATTTTACTTCTGAAATCTGGCAGTGTGATTTTGGGGTGTTGAGGTTGAAATTTGAGGACTGGAGAGTTAAGTGTTTATCTTTTGGTACACCTTACTCAGAAAAGTCTTCAGGGCATGGTAAAAAAATTTAGATGGTGCCACATAAAAAAAAGAGGGGAGCTTCAATTGCACTATTACGGCTGCCATCTTGATTTTTTGACCATAGGGACACTTCTGGCCCTACTTCTATGGTTCATAAATAGGTACCTCTTGTTGTCAGTGGCATCCAGTCAACATATATTTGCCTCTAAGCTCACAACAGAAAGGCTCCATCATGGCCTTCAATCTTTTAAAAAAGTGAAGCAGATCATAGTCTGATGCATGAATAGCACATAGCCATAGAAATTTCTAGGCAGTTGCCCACAGAAGGATGGTAGATAGCCTGAAGTAGCTTGCCTGATTTTCAGGCAAGACCAGAGGGCTACAACTTCAGTTCAAAGCCTCTCCAGTTAGAAAAATATTGAATATG